TTCGCTGTAAGCCAGATCCCTAAATATTTTATTTTCTTGGTTATACTTATATTTGTTTTATCTTCCAATTTCCTTTCTTGTGCCTTTGTAAGATTTTTTGTTATTAATTTGGATTTATTCTTATTAATCTTAAGTCAGCTGATGTTTTAATAATGAAAAGGAATATTCAAATAACAAACCAGAACAATCACTTGATAGATTGCTTATTTTGGATTTATAAGACACTTCTTAAAGTCTTGAAGAATCTTTTGAAGAGAGACAAAAAGAAAATGAAAAGAAATCAAATTCTGGGACATTATTTAAAAGAATCAAAGAGCAAGATTGTTAAAGGCAAGGGGAAGTAATCTAATGCTGGTTTATTTGATCAGGGTTAAATGTATATGTTGTTTATAGATAAAAGAATGGGAAGAAGAGATTTTTGTTGTTGCTGTTTTTAGAAAAAGTGAAAAGTTATTGTGTGAAAAGTAGAGTAAAGGAATGCAAAATTAATTAAAGTTAATATATATGTGAATGGTTTTTTGCTGATTAGAATTTATTTATGTTTTAAGAATTTCTTTAGAGAAAAAGAGATGAGATATGGGAAAGAGATATTTTGATGTATTAGTAGAGAAGGCAATATATAACTGAAATTATTTGATTTGTGACGAAGGGGAAAATCATTTATTTATATTTTCTTTTTTCTTTACTATATTTTTCCCTTTTTCAGTTCATAATTTTTTTTGGCTCTTTTTATTTTTGCTTTGCATTCTTTTCTATTTTTCTTAGTTTCTATTAGTCTTTTTTCCTTGTCACTTGAAACTGACTTTCAGGTTTAATCTTTGTAATTGCAACTTTACATTATTACAAAGGGAAAGGGGGAGAGAATTTCACAAAAGCCCTGCTCTCCTTTGAAGAAAACTTCAAATGCAACACAAATGACTAGAAATAAATAAATGTTCTTCTATCAAGTGAAAGAAGGTTGAAAGGAGAAAAAAACAGGAGCATTTTTCTGCATGGGGCACATGACATCCCTTCAACTAATCCCTCCCCCAAAGCTTCAAGCTTGGGTGAAACCCAATATCGGTATCCCAAACCACTACACCAGGGTTTTGCATAGGACCTCATTTGAAGAGAAGGAAAAGCAATAGTGATAGCACTTAGATTTACTGTATATACCACTTCATAGTGTTTTACAGCCCTTTCTAAGTGGTTTACAGAGTCAGCATATTGCCCCTAACAATCTGGGTCCTCATATTACCAACCTCGGAAGGATGGAAGGCTGAGTCAACCTTGAGCCGGTGAGAATTGAACTGCTGGCAGTCAGCAGAATTAGCCTGCAATACTGCATTCTAACCACTGTGCCACCAGGGATCTTAACTGTTTAAGAGTTTAGTTGTTTCTGAGAACAAGCAAATAACAAAGGCCTGAGGACAGCAAACTCAATTTTCCTTTTTTTTTTTTTTTGTGCTAGCCTTGGCCTAATTATAACCTACCTGCAGACTTGGTATTCATGAGCTATTTGCCAGGCTTTCAAATGGACTTGGCTGATATATTCTGGCTGTGTTTTGCTTGAGTCACAGGAATAATTAAACAAACCTTATTCTTTCTCTCTCTCTTTGCAGTGCTAACAAATGATTAATGGTAATTTATTAGCATTTGCCCCCGCTTTTATGTAGGAATGGACAAAACCTAGTTTTGTTTCACCCCATCCCTACCATAGTTTGAAACAGTCCCTCATTAGTTTACAATGATTTAAAAACAACAACAACAAATCAGTGCAAAATGGATTTGCATTTCTGGGAAAATTCTGGAATATTCCATGCATAACCTGAATTAATCCAGGCATTCTTCACGTTAAAATGGAATGGAAATATGAGATGCAGGAGATGTTCTCCAACAACTACGGAAAGAATAGAAATGTCTCCCTTTTCAAATTGCAACCATCAAGTGTCTTTTCAGATACCCAGGCTTGCAACGGAGCCAAGGCGAAGAAGCCCTGGGCTGGCCTTCATACTTAATTCATTCCCAACAAGCAAAATTTATGTTAGCCTTGGCTGCTGAATTAGCTACACCGAATGAGATGTAATGGCCCTTCCATTTTAGGTCACCCTTTTTTCTTTTTGCCCCCCTCCTTCTCCACCAAACTAGACATGCATCATTAAAAACACTTGCCTGGAAAGGTAGCCAGCTCCTAAAAGAAAAGCTAAAAATAATTTATAAGTGACATAATCTACATCAACGATTACTAATGAAGCTTATCAGCAATGTAATATAATTTCGGGCCTGAAGAATTAATGGGGCTTGCCAAATTTGGCCAGTAACTTCATTTCTGAAGACAAGAACTTTCCAGGGAACACATTAGCTGCCATCTTTCCATATGGAATGATTAAAGAGCAGAAGGGGAAACAAAAATGTACCATCAAAAATGTACTTCTCAAAAATGGAAGAGCCATGTACGTTTTATTCAGTGTAGCTAATTCAGCAGCAGGGCTAGCATAAATTTTTGCCTGTCGGGTCTGAATTAAGGATGAAGAGCAACACCATTGCTTCTTACCATCACTTTGGCTCCTTTGCAAGATCGTGGTGGCGCAGTGGTTAGAATGCAGTATTGCAGGCTAACTCTGCCCATTGCCAGGAGTTCAATCCTGACCAGTTCAAGGTTGACTCAGCCTTCCATCCTTTCGAGGTTGGTAAAATGAGGACCGTCCTAGATTGTGGGGGGCAAGTTGCTGATTTGGTAAACAGCTTAGAGGGCTGTAAAGCACTATGAAGCAATAAGTAAGTCTACGTACTATTGCTATTGCTAGCTTGTGCATTGAAAAAAACTCTCGATGGTTGTAAGTGGAAAAGGGAGAAATATATATTATTTCCTTAATTGTTGGAGAACACCTCCTGGATCTCACATTTTCATTATATTTTAACCTGACGAAGGTTTGGATTAATTCTCATTCAGGTCCTGCATGGACTATTGCAAAATTTTTCCTTATTTAACAACTGTTAATTGTTTGTCCTATTTAACAATAGTTTCTGGAAAATGACACTCCACAAAGTATGGATCACCATTTTTCCGCCTGGGGTGCTCAGCCTTCTTTAACTTTTTCAGCAGGAAGTTTTGAGTTGCCTGGATATTAAAATCTAAATAAACAGGACACAACTGAATTGGATATGCACAAACCAAAGTGAAGAGTGTCTTTGTATAAATAGGCGTCTTAAAAAAAAAAAGATTAAAAGCTATCAGAAATCTTGCTTTCTCCCCTTCAGATAATTTTGAAAGGCCCATATTTTCCTTGTCATTCTTTCTTGGCGTTCAAGAGATGAAAACTGTTTCCTGCATAACCTAAATACTCGCAGAATTTGCTGAGTACAAAGGAATATAGGCTTTAATTAGCTAATGCTGTCAAAATAGCAAAGTCTCAGCAACCATTTTTATTTTTACAATTCCAAGAATTTCCAACTTTCTTTTTTCCTTTAATGAATGCATTCTTGGACTATGCACATAGACGAACAAGCTATCGGGATCCTTATATTGAAACAACATATTTCACGTGCAGTCAGAACTCAAAAATCCCATGTAACATGGCCCTTTATCTACATATGTGAATCTGATCGGGGTACATCATAAGGGAGACTCAGAAATATTATATGTATAATATATAATTACATATATATATATTTCCTCTTCCTCCTATTTTCCCCAAAACAACAGCCTTGTGAGGTGGATTAGGCTGAGAGAGAGAGTCTTCAGAATCGCTGAGGCATCTGCCAGAGAATTGGAAAATGGTGAACAGGGGAAAACCTCAGTTTCCTTTTTTTTAGGGTTGGTTGGATAAAGGAATGGAAGAAATACTGTTCTAACAGGAACAGAATCCCATGGAATTGTGGATCAAACTGCACCTGAGAACTATCTCTAGCTGTGAATTGAGTTGGGCTCCAGCTGTTCTGTCTGCTGTGGGCCGACAGAACGAATAGCTTCAGAAACCATTTGAAGTCCTTCTTATACTATTCAGGGTAGTGGGATGCTTAGAGGGTAGGAACCAAAACAGAGGCTTTGAGAAACGAGGAGAAGTCAAAGGGTCTGGGCAACATAGCAATTAAAGTCCTGAACTACAAATGGAGAGATTTAAGTTCTCGTCCATCTTCAGCTGAGGAACATCCCTGAGTGTGAAGTAAAGTCATACTATAATCTGTAATCTACCCATAATCTTGGTATTAGGGATATATATGCTTACCTCTGCTCCAGAAACAGTAAACAGTTTTTACTCTATCCAACCATTATACCTACTTAAGAGCTGTGGTGGCGCAGCGGTCAGAATGCAGTACTGCAGGCTAACTCTGCTCACTGCCAAGAGTTCAATCCCAACCCGCTCAAGATTGACTTAGCCTTCCATCCTTCTGAGGTCGGTAAAATGAGGACCCAGATTGTTTGGGGGGAGGCAATATGGTAACTCTGTAAACCACTTAGAGAGGGCTATAATGCATTGTGAACAGTACAGTTCACTTAGTGAGGTTCAAAATTACAACAGCACTGAAAAACGTGACTTATGACCTTTTTCACACTTATGACCGTTGCAGCATCGCCAGGGCCATGGGATTTACATTCAGATGCTTGACAAGTGATTCACATTTAGGACGGTCACTGTGTCCCAGGGTCACGTGATCCCCTTTTGCGACCTTCTGACAAGCAAAGTCAAGGGGGAAACCAGATTCACTTAACAACTGTGTGGCTAATTTAACAACTGCAGGGATCCACTTAACAAATGGGGCAAGAAAAGTCATAAAATGGGGCAAGACTCACTTAACAAATGTCTCACTTAGCAACATAAATTTGGGGCTCAATTGAGGTGGTAAGTTGAGGACTACCTGCATATAAGTCTGAGTACTATTGCTGTTGCTACTTTCCCCTTAACATGGCCTCTATGATCTAAAATTATTTTTTAGGATAGATGTTCCTTATGACAATTTGTGGTGGCCAAAAGATGACTTACCTCTTGTTCTTCTCTTTCCCATCTCTTCCCATCCAGGACCACGCAGACATAGAATGGAAGTTTGCACGCACAAAGCTCTGGATGAGTTACTTTGATGAAGGAGGCACTCTACCCCCTCCTTTTAATATCATCCCTAGCCCCAAGTCATGCTGGTACCTTTGCAGGTGGGTCCACAAGCAACTCTGCCCATTCCGAGACCCAGAGCATGAACAGAAGCACAAGAACCTGAAGACTATCACGGTGAGGAACAGTGGAACACTTTCACTAATTAAGGGAAGGTTCGTAGCCTAGCCCTCCCTTTCTTGATTTTTGCAGGCAGGGGAAATGTCTAGTCTGCCATCTTTGTCGGATGCCTGTCAAGCTCCTGGGCAATCAAGAGACTCAGGCAGTTCAAAAGAGTATCAAGATTTATTGCAAGCTTAAGCTTTCTACAAGAATCTGGCCAAGTGACCACTAGAGGAAATGAGGGGAAGATAAGAGAGGCATTCAAGGTGGACTGGACTTGATCTCTTGTGGGCACAAAGGTACTTAGGATACATTTGACCCCTCCCTTGGGCTCAGCCTGGTCATCTCCTACAGTTCCAGTTCCAATTAGTCCCCAATCAGATGGTCAGGAATCAAAGAAGAATGGAATGGAAGACTTTTTGCAACATCTGAAAAATGAATAACGTAACAACAGTGTGGGAAGGGACCTTGGAAGTCTTCTGCTCAAGCAGGAGCCTATATATCATTCTGGACAAATGACTGTCCAATTTATTCTTTAAAAGTTCCAGTGATGGAGCACTCACAATTTCTGGAGGCAAGTCGTTCCACTGGTTTATTGTTCTCCCTGTCAAGAAATTTCTCTTTCATTCTAGACTGGATCTCTCCTTGATAAGTTTCCATCCATTTGATTCTTGTCCTGCTTTCAGATACTTTGGAGAATAGGTTGTGCCTCTCTTTTTTTGTGACAGCCCCTCAAATATTGGAAGACTGCTATCACGTCACCCCTAGTCCTTCTCTAACCCTCTCTAATTGATGAGTCTAATGAATTTAAATGAGAAGCTTAGCATCATTTTCTGATTCTAGGTCTCTGTCTTTCTTCGCCCTTCTTCTTGCCAAATAATACCAAATAATTTATCCTTGCTAAGGAATCTGACAAATAGGTCAGATAAACTGGCATAAACACTTTCCTGTTTTCACCAGAAAAATCCACTCTCAAACTGTTTGGGATTCTCCGTGACAAAACATGAGTATTGTGGTGAAGTTCAGAGCCTTTAGGGCTTGGTTTTCTAACATCCTCAGTTCCCACTTAGTAACATGATGCTTGGCACTAGGCCGAGTGGTCCAGCAGAGCATCAGAGAAGCTTAATCAATTGGCACTGCTTGAAGCAATGCCATCAAAGGAGTCTAGTACCCTAATCTTAGGGACGGCAAAGTGAGGCTGAGGTCCGTCTAAATGGGTGGCTTTTCATTATTGAGGTACATATCATCATACAGAGGCAATCAAAGGCATTTGAAATGTACTACAACTAAGCAGTTCATTTAATTCCTTACTTTGCTCCCTTACTACCTCCTCCTGCCAGATGAACTAAGGGTCTGATTTATTCTGATCTTATAATTGAGAGCTTATTTTCATAAACTTGCAAAGCCACTGAAGAAGCACACATAACCACTTTGGTCCAGGAGTTTTCAACCTGTGGTCCGCAGATCCCTGGGGGGCCCACAATGTCTTCACAAGGGGTCTGCAAACACTTGAAAAATGTTATGATTTAAATCTTGAATTAAGTCTTGGGGGTCCGTGGCCATAGTCCGTGGCCACAAAAAGGAATTTAGAGGGGGTCCATGGTGAAGAAAAGGTTGAGAACAATTGAAGTAGCCTATGGAATTTACCATCATAAGATGCATTTGATGATTTGAAAGAGAGAGAGAGAGAGAGTGAAGGGGGGGGGGAGAAAGAGAAAAAGAATGCACATATATGTTCATGAGTAGTTTTTGTCCACAAGATGATCAATAGATGATCTAAGATAATCGTGATGATCTAAGACATAAAGACAATTATTATTATTATTCATAAGCAACATTTATAGTGAGAGAACTGAAGTCTTATGACTTTGTGTTTCATCTCTATACATGAATTCCATTGTTCATTTCAGGAACGTCACGCAGACAACTTGATTCAGAATCAACATTACCAGGTAAACAAATCCATTCTTTAAACTGCTTTGTCAAATGTCCTTAGATCTTCTGTGGCACCTTCCCTAATCTGATAAAATGAAATTACAGTCCCTATCACCGCTATTGGATTTTGTGGGCGATGAGAGTTATGGTCTTTCAGTTGAAGGCACTTGGGTTGAGGAAGCCTATGCTGTGGACTGCAGTTGAAAAAGATGCAATAAGTATTTATATGGTATATTTATAATCTGTCTTTCTGGTGAAGCAGGTTTCCCATCCTAGTTCCAGCTTGATTATTTCATTTAAAAACAATATTTCTGAATGACTTGACTCGGTACCACATAGAAATGTCCACAAGGGCATTGTTAAAAAGTTCCAGATGGCACCTACAAACATATGTCAAATCCTCAGCCCCATTTTATGTGGGTCCAGCCTGCAGATATCCCTGGTTCCATATTATACCTTCAACTGCTTTTGATAATTTAGCATGTAGCATGCTCCTGCAATGGGGATTAAGAATTATGAGTAGGCACAATGGTTTTAGTCAGGTCTCCAATGATAGCAGTTGATCTCATCCAATCAAATAAAATATTCATTTTTTAATTAAAATACAAACTCTATTTCAGAGAAATCTAAAACTGTTAGGGGGATGTCAGAACTTCATTTTTTAAAAAAAGGATAATGGCAGCGATTTAGAAAGTAGTTTGATGCTTGCCTTAGCTCTCTGATTTGGTAGTGGCTAATATCTCTGCAAGTCATAAAAAGCATTATTACCCCCTCATTTGGTTAGCAGAGAAAAAATATTTCACTCACTGTCCTAGTGCACAAGAAGATTTGTGCTATGAGTTGTTTTTTTTAATTTAATCCTAAATTAACTGGGCATAATTTGCACATAACTGGTTGGGTTCGGCTGTTAAGAGACAACTTGTGTTTCCCAAATGGTTGAAACACTGATTTACAATAAGGACATTCCAAGTCAAATTGTGTCATACGATCAGGAATAATCTGGACCATCCATTCCAGGGGTCTTCAAACTTGGCCCTTTAATGACTTGTGGACTTCAACTCCCAGAATTCCTCAGTCAGGCATGCTAGCTGAGGAATTCTGGGAGTTGAAGTCCACAAGCCATAAAAAGGCCAAGTTTGAAGACCCCTGATCCATTCACTTGCAGAATAGAAAGTAGAAAAACATATACACAAGAATCTAGTCAAATAAAATTCAACACTAAATTGGGGGTCAACCAAATTCAAGATGGGTTGGATTTGGGAAACTTATGAGAATGTAATGACTCCAAATTGATGATGCACTTATCTCCCCCACCCCATCCCTGCAGTTTTGCCTGCTCTTCTCCTAGATCAGGGGCCTTCAAACTTGGCCCTTTTATGATTTGTGGACTTCAACTCGCAGAATTCCTCAGCCAGACACGCTGGCTGGGGAATTCTGGGAGTTGAAGTCCACAAGTCATAAAAGGGCCAAGTTTGAAGACCCCTGTCCTAGATCTACAATGCTTTACAAGTGTTTTTGCCAAAGGAGAATCTATTTAGCTTCAGACTAAGAAAAATCAGACAAGCTGAGCAGCTCCTTCTGTATTTCCATGCAACTCATGACTGCTGTTCCCAACTTCTTTAACTTTCAGTTAAGAAATTGACCAAAATTAGAGGATTTACAGCACCAACAGTTGCACATCTTAGCGCCATCAAAACTGCAAGGAAAAATACGAGGTGCTTCAGCAGGTGGGGGGGTCTTTACAGCAGGACAAAACAGAAAGATAAAGTATCTTTCATGATCTCGTCTTGTGTTGCTTGATGCCATTTCAAAGGTTCACTGATCAAACAGCAAAACAGGAATAATTTGTGCGGAAGCACCTCCATCTGTTTGCCAGATAGCAAATGGTGAGGAATAGAGAGACAGAGAGAGCAGGATGAATGAAAACATCAATTTCCCTAGAAGCAAAATCAAGAATTCGATTCCCCTAACATTTTAGTCTCTTTCTTTAAATAAAATTCTGCGAAGAGAGAAAGAGAAAAAAAAGGATTATTTTCTTTGAACGTATGTTATGGAAAGTTGCACACAAATGAAGATTAATATTTTTAAAAAAAAAAAATTACACAGGGCAAGTGTGCTTTTCTGCATCTCTTCGGCCTTCTGGTGGGCATCTGGATTTTGATAGCCCGCTTAGAAGCCCTAAGATGTTAATTGGGTGAATCAGATTCAGAAAGGATGTGTAACAGGTCTCTGCAATTTAGCATGCTTCATTATGCTGGGTTTTAATTCCAATAATTGAATGCAATTTTTTATCTGTTATGCAGAAAATCAGTTCTTAGATGAGTGGAATTGATTAAATCAATTGATATATAGAGATATAAGGCCAAAGTTTGTTATCTTATTGGAACAATCCCACAGATTTGCAATGGAAGGTTTTTCTTTGTTGGCATTTGGCATTCCCAAACTGTCCCCTCTTCTTGATTTATGGGAGAAGTTTTCCTTTCTATTTTATTGCTTTATTCCCCCATTTTTGAATTACTGAAGGTTCAGGACGTAACCCGAAGTCTCTTTCCTATAGTAACTTCAGATCCTTTATCAATGAATATGTATGCATCCGTTCTCTGTTGCTTATGTGTTAGTCTCTCCTGCCTTTCAGAAATGTATAAACAGGAGTGCATCCCTGTGTGTGACTGTGTGTGTGTGTGTGTGTGTGTGTGTGTGTGAGTATTCTTTGAAGGCAATAGATTTCAATCTATAGGAAGTTTTTTGGAACAACAAATGTTGTGGAGGTACCCACAAGAGAGGCTTATGATTTGGGGGCTTGGGATCCAATTGTTGGGAAAAATCCTGGTTAATATTTTAAGGAAAAGCCTTATTATTAAAAATCAGTTGATAATATTTGATCCTGGACAGATCAGAGATAATGATTGTGGTGGCTTATGGTAGAATAGAAGTTATTGTGGGCTTCCTGTGAGTGAAATACAATAATAGACTGATAGAGGGCTTTGAGGTTTAACTCTGCTGTTGGTTTTACCTGTTAACTATGGAGAGAAAGAGAGAGAGAGAGAGAGAGAGAGAGAGAGAGAGAGAGAGAGAGAGAGAGAGAGAGAGAGAGAGAGAGAGAGAGAGAGATATTTACCTAGATAGATAGATAGATAGATAGATAGATAGAGAGAGATTTACCTAGATAGATGATAGATAGATAGATAGATAGATAGATGATAGAGAGAGAGAGAGAGAGAGAGATAGATAGATAGATAGATAGATAGATAGATAGATAGATAGATAGATAGATATTTATCTTGAGTGGTTTTTTTTTATGCACCCTGTCGGCCCAAATATGGGACGAAGAAATCTTTTGCCTATATCAGCTCAATCTAGAGCCATCCACAGGCAGCAGTCGCTACTGCGACATCATTTGTGTTTCCTAAATTTTTGGATTGCTAACAAAAAATTAAGGGTTTTTGTATTTTCTTTTCTTCCTCCCTTTTTGGGAACTTGTAGTTTAACATTCTGAATATTTCTTTAAAATATTCTTTGGAGGGAGTCCCATCAACACATGCTGTCTAAAAAACACCGCAGTAAGCTTTGATTATTTGCTTTGGTCCCTATGTTTGATTCCACACTTTTAAGAGCCTGAATTCTGAAATGGAAGTGTGGAATCTTCCAAGATTTAGTTTTGTTCTTCAAAATATTTTGAAGGTCCCCGATTTAAACCCTAGTTCCCAGCTCCACAGTGTTGAAGACTAGATCTTAAACTGGCCATTTATCCCAAAACAAAACAGCTTCATGCTGTGATTAATATATGAAATTTGCTATCCTAAGGAGGGCGCGATGGCTCAGTGCTTAAAGACGCTGACCTTGTCTGGATTCAAGACCCAAGCTCAGCAGAATGGGATAAGCTCCTGTTACTTGCCCTAGCTCCTGCTCACCTAGCAGTTTGAAAGTGTGCAAATGTGAGTAGATAAATAGGTACCACTTCAGTGAAAAGATAGCAGCGTTCCGTATGCCTTGCTTATAGTCATGCTGGCCACATGACCATGGAAGTATCTTCAGACAATGCTGGCTCATTTGGCCAAAAAATGGAGATGAAGACCGTGCTCTGCGGTTGGATATGATGACAGGGAAACCTTTATTTTTTTAAAACACTATTTCATGATTAAGAGCCTTGCAACTTTCCACCAGTGACTTTCATTAGCTCAGGTTGTGAGGGACCCCCACTAGAATCCATAAACATCTAAACCAGGGGTCTTCAAACTTGGCCCTTTTATGACTTATGGACTTCAACTCCCAGAATTCCTCACGCTGGCTGAGGAATTCTGGGAGTTGAAGTCCACAAGTCATAAAAGGGCCACGTTTGAAGACCCCTGATCTAAACAGTCGCAGACTGTCCTTGTCAAATTAGCAAGCATCGTATATCAATAAATTCAGAGTTTTATCTGCTCTTGAGTTTAATTATGCAATGCTGTTCCTACACTCTGTGCTTTCATTCTGTTGCACGCATTCCCATGGATTTCATGAAACCAGCTTGGGAGGGTTACGTTCTTCATTTGCTTACTAACCCCTTGGTTTTAGTATATTGTAAATAATATTACCAGATAAATTACATAATTTAGTTCAGGTTGTAGAGTCATTTGACAAAGTAAACCTGTCTCAAGGAAGGGATGCATTTTACGTACAACTGGAGTAATTTCATTTGTCATTTATGCCTAATTAACTAATAACTTAATTCATTCTAATGTCAGAATTGTTTCCTGCTTATGGAATTAATTTTCCCCATTGCATCCAGGGTATTCTTAATGGCTTACAAATCCGTCAGGGTTTCTAATTAACAGCCATTCTATTAATCCTGTAGATATAATTAACTCTTTGCTCCGGAATCACATTTCAATTAATTTATTGATAATATCACAAATTAACAGGATAATCAATGGCCTCTCTGGAGATAGAGTTTGATTCAAACTAACTTCAAAGGGGAAGAAAATGCCCATGTATGGAGTGTGATTCTTGCCCTTATTAAATATCATGATAACTTGGAAGAAGGTTAAATTTCTGGTGCTTTTGATTTCAGGAAGTGATCAGGAATCTGGTGAAGAGATACGTTGCTGCCATGATAAGGAATTCAAAAACCAATGAAGGCTTAACTGAAGAGAACTTTAAGGTAATATCTTAATGGGGTGTGTGTATGAAAGAAAGAAAGATGGAGAGAGAGAGAGATGGAGACAGAGAGATGGAGGGAGGGAGAGAGAATGGACTATATTAAGGTTCACATGCCATGGTTCAACCATGCTTATTGATATCCATAATTGTTTATCAATTATATTAAAGTAGTTAATTGTCGTTGTTGTTAATTGCGAAGTCGTGTCCGACCCATCGCAACCCCATGGACAACGTTCCTCCAGGTCTTCCTGTCCTCTACCATCTTCTGGAGTCCATTTAAATTCACACCTAGTAGTGTGTGAATTTAAATGGACTCCAGAAGAGTCCATTTAGTTAATAGTTAATATATTTTGCTAATATATTTTTGCTAAATAAATCACCATTAGCTGGCTTCATGCATCACGTTAAATTATAATAGATATGATTTTGGCTGGGGTTGGCAAATCTATTTTATGTCCAAGAAGCATCTCACTTTTTCTATTAAATATTATTTATCAAGATTGGTGCAACATTATCCCATTCACATTTTGCTTTTCTAAAAGCAGAGGCAATGAAATAGGAATGGACAAAAACTCTGGAACATTGATGTTCTATTTCCGAACAAATGTTTAGTTACTATTATGTGCCTGGGAAAGCTGAAGGCTCTTTCTGTTCCCCGGTCTCCACATTTTATGTCAAGTGCTTGTTGAAAGGTTTGGCTCCATATTATTATGTGCCATTTCACTGAGCGCTGTTCAATAGAACTATCCCACCGTGCTAAATAATGAAGTATTTGCAATTCTTGGAATGCATTAGTCATCTCCCAAGGAATGTGTTCAAAGCCATACAGCCGGTGTGCATTAAAGTATCAATCATCTCTTGTCACTTCTCTGCCCTTAGGAGTTAAAACAAGACATTTCCAGTTTTCGCTACGAAGTCCTTGATTTGCTGGGTAACCGGAAGCCTCAAAGAAGAAGTTACTCCACCAGCAGCACAGAGGTCTCCCAAAAAGAAGAAGCTCCTGAGGAATGCATGGGAGAAACCTCCAAGGCCAAGGGCATCTCCTTTGGAGTGGCCAACAAAAAGAAAGACTTCAACGTGTCAGCTCTCATTAAGACCATGTCTGGCATCGAGACAGGGAAAGAAAAACCAAAAAGCAACGGGATCAGCAAGCGCTCCTTCGTTCGCAATGGCAACAGAGTCCAAAGGCTCTCCAGCTCCAAAAAGGAGTCCTTCAAGAGGTTGGGTCTCCTGTTCTCCAAGATGAATGGACATCTTGCAGAACCCAACCAAGAGCCCATGTACACCATTTCGGATGGGGTCATCCAGCCCCATTACATGTGGCAAGACATTAAATATTCTCAGATGACAAAAGAGCGAGATAACTGCTCCAAAAGTGAAATTAACCTCAATGAGGTGGTCTACAGTTCCAATATCAGGCATACGGGACAGACCCAGTGCCCTGTGGTTTGTGCCAGCTCCCTTCACTGTGCTTCCAGCATCTGTTCCTCAAATGCCAAACTCATAGACTCTTCAGAGGATGTGTTTGACTCGTGGGGAGATGCTTGTGACATGTTTAGGAACCAATGGAACGATGGGCAGGAGGAACAAGTCACCACACGCCTATAAGTAGACCTGTTCAGTAACTTGGCCGCAGAGCATCAGCACCCTGGGAACTGTTCGTTATCACAGACTCTCCATAATTAGCGACAGTTCCTCTTTCCCAGTTTATCTCTGACAAATGTAGGCCCTGGGTTCTTTTAGTTTAATTGATAGCCACAGCACACCACTGGTTCTTTAATTTGATTTCTTAGACTTACTGATGCCAAATGTTTCACTTGAAAGGTCCACTCCTGTCAGAACCTACAGAATACTTACTCCCTCAAATGGGCTTCAGGATGTCCTCCAGGTAGTTTTGGTTACTCCTGCCATCACTTTTGGATTGGTGCGTTTTTGTTACTTCAACGTTGGTCTCCCTGAGACAGCATCTCTCTCCCCCTTAACTTGGTTAGCAACTCTGCTGCCCAATGTCTTACGTTTTATCTTCTGGCCATTGACCACCATCCAGGACCAGTGGATGCAAAGCAATTTAGAAGGAGGCTAAGACTTAACTGAGGCTACTTGCAGGGGGACTGTTCCAAATATAAACGGGCTTTTCGCTTTCAAGCAATACAACTTTCCATAATTTCAACTGTATGTCCTTTATTAAAGTTGCATATTGTTTTCTTAATGTAAACGATTACCATAATGAGTTAAAAGTTGAGCTCTAGAATTTACTGTGTTCAGGTATCCAAAGCATGCATGCACACACACACATGGTTCACATACGATTATGTATAGGTATGGTGCACATGAGTGCGCGCGCGCGCACACACACACACACACACACACACACAAACATGCCCCTGTGTTCAGATCACCCTCTTTCACCTGTACTAGTAATCTTCTCCAATTCACCTATAAAACTGTCCCAGGGATTTTTTTACAAACTAAATGGTCTTGAGCAAGTTTGCAATATAAGCACCCCATGTGAGCTGTGGTGGCGCAGTGGTCAGAATGCAGTATTGCAGGCTAATTCTGCCCACTGCCAGGAGTTGGATCCTGACTGACTCAAGGTTGACTCAGCTTTCCATTCTTCTGAGGTTGGTAAAATGAGGACCCAGGTTGTTGGGGGCAAGAGGCTGACTCTGTAAACCACTTAGAGAGGGCTGTAAAGCACAATGAAGTGGCTGTAAAGCACTATGAAGCACTATGAAGTCTAAGCGCTATTGCTATTGTGATCTATCTATCTATCTATCTATCTATCTATCTATCTATCTATCTATCTATCTATCAATCATCTATCTATCTATCTATCTATCTATCTATCTATCTATCTATCTATCTATCCATCCACCCACCCACCCACCCACCCACCCACCCACCCACCCACCCACCCACCTACCTACCTACCTACCTACCTACCTACCTACCTATCTATCTATCTATCTATCTATCTATCTATCTATCTATCTATCTATCTATCTATCTATCTATCTATCTAATATCCCATTGCCAGGAGTTCAATCCTGACAGGGCTCAAGGTTGACCCAGCCTTCTGTCCTTCCGAGATCAGTAAAATGAGGACCCAGATTGTTAGGGGCCATAGGCTGACTCTGTAAACCGCTTAGAGAGGGCTGTAAAGCACTACAAAGCGGTATACAAGTCTAAGTGCTGTTGCTATCTCTTTGCATTTTACACAAACCTGCATTCCAGATGGGAAATAATTGATGAGTCTGCAGCTCAAATTCCTTCTAGGAGTATTGGCCATCGAGTTTGAAAATCTGTATCCTTTCTCTGGTGTTGCTTATGGATAACTCCTTTGGTAATCATTTCAGTATCCCGGATGCTATAAGGCAAGCCTGGTAATTGCAATGGCATTGGCTTTATTTGAAAGAACATCAGCAAACCCAGCAGTTTCAGAGATGTATATTTTCCAGGACTTTGGGAAATTAAATGCTCAGCAGCAAGGGTGCCAACCCAGAAAACTCCCGATGCATTCAGTGTTTCAGTATATACCCATGGTGGTGAACCTATGGCACGCGTGCCACAGTTGGCACGCAGAGCCCTCTCTGTGGGCCCGCGTGCCGTCGCCCCAGTCCTAGGCCTTCAGCTGGGTTTTATAAAACCTTTTCGCTTTAGGCCTCCACTGCTGTGTGCAAAAAAAAAAGATTCAATCAATCAATTTCAACTTCTCGTGGGGAAAAAAAAGATCTCGCAAAGTTGGAATTGATTGACTGAACATTTTAGTCCCACCCAATCTGCCGTTACCACTGCAGCCATGCCCACTCAACAGGCCATGTCATCCAATGGGCCACACCCATCCAATGAGCCACGCCCACCCGGCACCCAACGATACATAAGTGGGTTTTGGGTTACAGTTTCGGCACTCGGTCTCTAAAAGGTTCGCCATCAATGGTATATACATTTTGGGGATGTGTTGAATATTTGCAGAGATGGACACGCCTGAAATTCACATGTCTTATACTTTGAATCATAGCAGCTTGTCCCAAAATTTGAAAGTCCCTTTGTTCTCTCTTTTCTTTTCTTTTTTCAAGAGATTGGGCAGCCATTTGTCCAGAATGCTCGTGCAGGGGGATGAGCTAGAAGACCTCCAAAGGCCCCTTCCAAACTCTACTATTCTGTTAAAACAAACACAGTTACTTAAATCATACTCTGGCTAGCATATATGCAAAGGTGGGTATTTAACTTCTGAAAAGGGAGACATTCTGGAGATCATTCATTCATTTTGGAATGCAATCAAATCTAGGAACTCTGCAGGCTACTTTATTTACAGGCAGCTAAAAAGCAGACCATAATGAAATAGTCCACTTTAAGCCAACAGCTCAGCTGAGCCAGAACCCCATAGAGGAAATTGTCCAATTCTTTAAAATCGATCTCATTTGTTGCTACTGCAGTTGGAATGTTTCTGTTTGGCACATTCGTGTTCAGATCATCTTTCTGTTTATCTTGCACTTGCCTTAATATACATATAACAATAGTAATAGTGACAACATCAAGCACGCTGAAGTCAAGAAAAAGATTAGAGGTGAATACATCAAGAGAGTGAAGAAGATCTTAAAGTCCAAACTCAATGGAGGAAATACCATAAAGGCAATCAACACCTGGGCAATTCCAGTCATTAGATACACAGCTGGAATAGTGGACTGGACTCAAGCAGAACTAAAAGCAATGGATAGGCAGACCAGAAAAATAATGACAATGAATCATGCCCTTCATCCATGCAATGACATTGACAGACTTTATCTACCAAGGCAAATAGGTGGGCTTGGAATTCTGCAAGTACATCAGATGGTTGAAGAAGAAAAAAATGGCCTTGGAAGAATATCTGAAGGACAGTGATGAAGATGCACTGAAATTAGTACATCAGGAAGGCTTACTGACTACTGGAGAGACCAAACTGGCCTACAAGAAAGACCAAATGAAGAACAGAATAGAGGCATGGGAAGACAAAGCACTACATGGCCAGTACATTAAAAAAAATAGCTGGGAAATCAGATAATAACAAGACCTGGCAATGGCTAAGAGCAGGAAAATTGAAGAAAGAGACCGAGGGACTAATTTTGGCTGCACAAGACCAAGCCTTAAGGACAAATGCATATAAAGTCAAAATTGAGAAAACAGCAACAGACAGTAAGCGCTGCCTATGCAAAGAAGCTGAAGAAACAGTGGACCACTTGGTAAGCTGCTGCAAGAAGATTGCACTGACTGACTACAAGCAGCGGCATGACAAAGTAGCAACAATGGTGCATTGGAAGACCTGCAAGAAATATCATTTGCCTGTAAGCAAGAACTGGTGGGATCATAAAATTGAGAAAGTCATAGAAAATGATAAAATTAAACTGCTCTGGGACTTCAGAATTCAAACAGACAAGCACCTGCAACATAACACCCCGGACTTAACAATTGTCGATAAGAAAGACAAAAAAAGTCTGGATAGTGGAACGTGGCAGTGCCTGGAGACAGCAGAATAGACGAGAAAGAACTGGAGAAGATAACAAAATACAAAGACCTACAAATAGAAATAGAAAGACTGTGGCAAAAGCAAGCAAGGGTAGTACCAATAGTCATAGGCTCCTTGGGTGCAATCTCAAAACAACTGGAGCACCACTTGAACACGATCATCGGCACTGACAAATTTGCCATTAGTCAATTGCAAAAGGCAGCCTTACTAGGAACTGCTTCCATCCTGCGACGATATCTGTAGTAACATCAAACATCCACATCTGCCTATCCCAGGTCCTTGGGAAGGACTCGATAGGTAGACAAAATGCCAAATCCAGTCTGAACATCTGGCTGACTGTGCGATGATCCATAATAATAATAGTAAAATTGGAAGGGACCTTGGAGGTCATCTAGTCCAACCCCCTGCTTAGGCAGGAAACCCTATACCATTTCAGACAAATGGCTGTCCAGTCTCTTCGAAAATTTCCAGTGTTAGAGCATTCACCGCTTCTGGAGGCAGATTGTTCCACTGGTTAATTGTTCTAACTGTCAGGAAGTTTCTCCTTAGTTCTAGGTTGCTTCTCTCCTTGCTTAGTTTCCACCCATTGCTTCTTGTCCTGCCTTCAGGCACCTTGGAAAATAGCTTGACTCCCTCTTCTTTGTGGCAGCCCCTGAGATACTGGAACCCTGCTATCATGTCCCCCTTCATCCTTCTCTTCACTAAACTAGACATACCCAATTCCAGCAGCCGTTCCTTATATGCTTTAGCCTCCAATCCCCTAATCCTCTTTGTTGCTCTTCTCTGCACTCTTTCTAGAGTCTCAGCATCTTTTTTACATCGCGGTGACCAAAACTGGATGCAGTATTTCAAGTGTGGCCTTACCAAGGCATTGTAAAGTGGTATTAACACTTCACGTGCATATATGATTCCACATCTCAGTACAGGTAGTTCTTGACGTACGGCCACAAGGGAGCCAAAAATTTCTGTTGTTAAGCGAGACATTGGTTAAGTGAGTTTTGCTCCATCTTACGACCTTTCTTGCCACAGTTAAGTGAATCATCGCAATTATTAAATTAGTCACCCGGTTGTTAAGTGACTCTGACTTCCTCATTGAGTTTGCTTGTCAGGAAGTCACCAAAGGGGATCACATGATCCCGGGACACGGCCAGCGTCATCAATGTGAGCCAGGTGCCGAGCGTCTGAATTGTGATCATGTGTCCCTGGGGATGCTGCAGCCGTTGTACGTGCGAAAAATGGTCCTAGGTCACTTTTTTCAGTGTTGTGGTAGCTTTGAACAGTTGCTAAATGAACTGTTGGAAGTTGAGGCTTTCTGGCCTCCATAACAGGACAGGGATGTGTTATTTTTAGGGGCAAACTGTGTGTGAGAATCGCCCTGTATTTGTAGAGGAGATTCTTCATTTAAGAACCAGCTTGCAAGAAAAGTGCTCCCGGGCAGGAATAGTTGTGAGATAGGAATGCTATCCAGTTTAGATCCAGCTGCTTCTGCCTACCAATTGCAGGACATAAAAAGCTCCTGTTAAGCAAAAGGGTGCTTCCCCAGGCAAACTGCTGGTGCAAAAGCTCTCCTCTTTCCAATTTGGAAGGCTTCCATGCCTCGCTTCAGTTTCGGTCTCGATTTTCCCCTCTCCAAGCATTTTGGGAAAGGGACAATCCAATCATCGCAAACAACGGATGTAATTAATTTCAGCCCCTAGATTCTCTATCCAGAGAAATGCATTTTTTAAGCAGCAGCTGCAGATCTTGGGCAACGTGCAATTTCAGTTATGAGCTTGTATAAATTGGTAAAGCTAGGGATTCACTTGTCAAAACACACTAATGCGCCGTATGTCCAAACCCCCCAAATTTCTCATCCAGATTTATGAGTCATCACCCTTGCCTATCAGAAAGGCTCCTTTACAGAAAACTAAATATTTGCTGGAATAAACCCAATTCACAAAGCACTAAATTGCAGCTGAACATCTAAGAGAATAACCAAGTTGGAAGGAACCTTGGAGGTTTTCTAGTCCAAACCTTGTACTATTTCAGCCACGTGGCTGTCCAATCTCTTCTTAAAAACCTCCAGTGATGGAGCAACTGCAACTTCTGGAAGTAAGCGGTGCCACTGATCAATTGTTCTAACTTTCAGGAAATCACAGAACTAGTCCTAACAGACAAAGCAATCGAGCAGTGTTTCTCAATCTCAGCCCCATTAAGATGTGTGGACATCAACTCCCAGAATGGCCCAGCCAGCATTAAAAAAGTAGCTTTTAGTCTTTGGACCTTCAACACACTTTTATTTAATTCACCACTGAAACCTTTTAAACTGACTCCAGGTGCTGTAAAATAACAGCCACCAGCTTTTAGATCAGTGGTTCTCAACCTTTTTAATGCCGTGACCCCCAACCGGTCGTAAGTCGAGGACTAATCAACTGGTCGTAAGTCGAGGACTAATCAACTGGTGCAGCACCGTTTGCAGAATGGGACTTTTGGGGGGCTCAGCAGGGCAGAGACAGCCTGGACAATTCCTATTGGCTTTTGAAAGCCAATAGAATTAGACTCTATTCAAGAGAGTCTATTCTATTGGCTTTCAAAAGCCAATAGAATAAAAGGGAGTAGCACAGCTAAGGAAAAGGGGAAAAAAATGGCGGACTGCGTTGTTTGGCGACCCCCGTGAAATGGTCGTTCGACCCCAAATGGGGTCCCGACCCACAGTTTGAGAACCACTGCTTTAGATAAAATGGCTATTAACGTCTGCACTGCATGTGCCTTAGGGGGTGATAGAGGTCATCTTCCTGGCTGGAGGCTCTGTCTGATGAGAAAAGGTTTACCTGCTCTATCTTGAAGCTAGAATTTATTTTCCATTCAGTTTTTTCTTTAACTAGCTAGCATTTTATTCTTATCTTCCTCTGCAGCATGCAGAATGAATGAAAATTTGAGGTGTTCAGAACTTTGATCGTTGCTCCTGCCAATAAAGGAGGCATGTGCACACCACAGGTGGGCACATAAAGCTAGATCAGTTATTGCACAGAAGTGTAAAGAATTGTGGTGGTGCACTGGTTAGAATGTAGTATTGCAGGCATACTCTGCCGACTGCCAGGAGTTTGATCTTGACAAGGCTCAAGATTAACTCAGCCTTCCCTCCTTCCGAGGTCAGTAAAATGAGGACCCAGATTGTTGGGGGCAACAGGCTGACTCTTAAACTGCTTAGAGAGGGGTGTAAAGCATTATGAAGTGATATATAAGTCTAAGTGTTCTATCTATCTATCTATCTATCTATCTATCTATCTATCTATCTATCTATCTATCTATCATCCATCCATCCATCTTGCTCTAGTGGCGTAACAGTTAGAATGCAGTATTGCAGGCTAATTCTGCCGATTGCCGGCAGTTCAATTCTCACCAGCTCCAGGTTGGTTCAGCCTGCCATCCTTCCAAGGTCGGTAAAATGAGGACCCAGATTGTTGGGGGCAACAGGCTGACTCTTAAACCGCTTAGAGAGGGGTGTAAAGCACTATGAAGTGATATATAAGTCTAAGTGTTCTATCTATCTACCTATTATCCACCCACCCACCCATCCATCCATCCATCCATCTTGCTCTAGTGGCGTAATAGTTAGAATGCAGTATTGCAGGCTAATTCTGCCGACTGCCAGCAGTTCAATTCTCACCAGCTCCAGGTTGGTTCAGCCTTCCATCCTTCCAAGGTCAGTAAAATGAGACCAGATTGTTGGGGGCAACAGGCTGACTTCTATAAACCGCTTAGAGAGGGCTGTAAAAAGGACTATGTAGCGATATATATGTGTTACTGCTAAGTCCTATTGCTAATTACACCTTCTGGCACCTTCAGACTGTGAAAGTACTCGCTTGGTACCAGCTCTTGCTCCACTGATCTGTCTTTTTGTTTTTAACTCTTGGTGCATGAGCCATTGCATCAGAAGAGGAATTGCAATCATCCACAAAAGGAAGGATCTGCAATCTGCGTAGGGGTAGGTCTGGATGGGTGTTCACCTCTGTTAGAGCTTGAAACACCTGCCTTTTGAGAACATAGCTTTTTATTCTCAAGACAGGAAGTCCTCGACTTATAACCATTTGTTTAATGACTCTTTGAAGCTACAATGGCATTTTAAAAAGTGACTTATAACCCTTTTCCGCACTCCCATGTTGTTAAACAAATCTGGCAGCCCCATTGACTTTGCTTGTCAGGTTGCAAAAAGGCATCGCACACACACACACACAGAGAGAGAGAGAGAGAGAGAGAGAGAGAGAGAGAGAGAGAGAGGAAAACATAAAGTACTGACAGTTTATTCTTTGGACACTTTAAACAAGGGGTGTCCAACCTTGGCAACTGTAAGTCTTGTGGACTTCAATTCCCAGACAAAGCTAAAAAGATTAAATGCTGCAAAGCAACCAGAGCACCTTGAAGCAACTCCATAGCTGAACAAATACCGAGCGAGTCTTTTGATGAAGTATTTTACATTTTCCAAAAACCAAATTCAGAATCTCCAACCTGCCTTTTGTCTTTTTTCGCCTGATGTAGACAACCACAGAGGTGGGAAAGACAGCAGAGACTGTTGGCAAAATATGAGCTAAGGCCAGGAAGGAAAGAAGGCGATAGAAATTTAGTGACTCTACTTTGACAATCTTGGTGTGAGAGGGAGGGAAAAAAAAAACAAAACACTATCAGGCTTCCCAGATTGTGTTACCCAAACCTATTTAGCAGAGTTAACAGTTGGAAGGGACCTTGGAGGTCTAGTCCATTCTCTGCTCAAGCAGGAGACCTTATGATATTCTGGATAAATGGTTGTCCAATCTCTTCTTAAAAACCTCCAGCGATGGAGCACCTACAACTTCTGAATGCAAGCCGTTCCACTAATTGTTGTCACTGTCAGGAACTTTCTCCTTAGTTCTAGGTTTGATCTCTCTTTAATGGTCTTCCACCCATTACTTCTTGTCCTGTCCTCAGTTGTTTTGGAGAATAGGTTGACCCCCTCGTCTCTGTGACAGCCTCTCAAAGGATAGAAGACTGCTGCTATCATGTCACCCTAGTCCAGGGGTCTTCAAACTTAGCCCTTTTATGACTTGTGGACTTCAACTCCCAGAATTCTTCAGCCAGTTGAAGTTCACAAGTCATAAAAGGGCCAAGTTTGAAGACCCCTGCCCTAGTCCTTTTCATTAAACCAGACATACCAATTCCTGCAACTATCCATTATGTTTTAGCCTCCAGTCCTCTAGTCCTCTTTATTGCTCTTCTCTGCACTCTTTCTAAAGTCTTCACATTTTTTTTTTTGTGTCCAAAACTGGACGTAGTGTTCCAAGTGTGGTCTTACAGAAGCAGTATGAAATGGTTCCATTATTTCTGGTGATGTCTCTATCCTTATCTGGTGTAACCTGAAGTGTTGACACCCAGCCTGGTGGTTTTAGTATACGTGATCCTATTTCATTCGCTCAAACAAAGATTAGACAAGTTTTTGTGCTTTTCAAATTTATTTTGTGCTCTTGGTGCCAAATTTCTAACCCTCCCCCACAATTTTACCACCATTTGTGCAAATTCTTTTCATAGACAGAATTCAGACTACAACAATAGTAGGTCTTAGTAGGCCTTAGTCGGCCCAAGTCTTCACTTTCAGAAGCCCAGACAAGAAAGAGAACAGTCAATACGGCTTTGTCTTTTAAACCAAATATACTATGGAAAGGGGTTACAATCAAGGAAGAGTTGCATCAGCAACGTTAAATGGTCCCAAATTTCTAACATCAAGCTTTATTTTGCACTGCTGTTGCTTTTGTATTAAAGGGGAAATGATGCCCAGATTTCAATATCCATGAAATCCAACAAAGAATAGCGTTACAGAGTTAAGCCATTTAGCTAATGACTTAATGAACATTATTATTTTGAGGCAGAAAATGTCAATAGTTTAATCAAAAATCCTCTGCACACATTACATGCTCTCCTGATGCAGCAATATCCGATGGAAATTTAACGTTACAGCGTCGTCTATGGTACTAAAGTGTTAAAGACTGCACCCCTCCCGCACCACAAATACAAATCAAGATTGAAACACAACATTAAAAAAAATAAAACAAAATCTCCTTGTTAACCAAAACATGGTTAGCAAATGGAACAATTATAATAGGAGGACACAGAAATGAACCGGCCAACATAAAAAGCAGGAAGAGTTGTGAGCAACCTTTAGATCAGGGGTCTCCAACCTTGGCCACTTGTGGACTTTAACTCCCAGAATTCAAGCTGGCTGGGGGAATTCTGGGGAATTCTGGGAGTTGAAGTCCACAAAACCTAAAAGTTGCCGAAATTGGAGTCCGCTGGTTCAGATCACCTGGAGGTCTTCCAGGCAGTTGTGTGTGCCACGGCATTCTGGGAATTATTGTTCCAAGTGGGGGAAGGCTTCCAGACTCGGTCCTTCTGAATCTACATGCTTTGAGCTACAAAATGCTGTTGTGGATTGGATGAGGTGACGTAGCTAACCTGCTGGAAATGGCTGGGGTTAACCGTGTTATGGATTCGGGAAGAGTTTCCATAGGATGCGTTGACGGGATACCATGAACCGACGCAGTGATATGCAGGCACAAATGAGACACAAGATTCGTATCCTGGCACAGGAGATGGGGTGTATGTGTCTGTTACCACAGGGTAATAGACGGTTCCAGAAGGTGGTGGAGAGGATTCTGGGATGGCTAAGGCACCTGAAAAAGGGGAAAATATTGCATATAAAAGATCAGCGGAGCGTGTATTTCTTGGACCTTGAAAAAATTAAGTGGTTAAGGGCCTGGACAGTGCTCTAATTATCAGACTGGTAATTGATTGTAAAGGAATGTTTGGAGTTGTTTAACTGACCTCTTTGAACCAAATTCAATTTATCCTTTGCTGATCTCAATAAAGGTGTCGTTTTAAAGGACTAAATCTGAGGCCACTGAACTAAACCATGGTTTGCATTGCTTTCTTACAGAATAGAATCAATTAAATCAGTGGTTCTCAACCTTTTCTTTACCACGGACCTCCTTTAAATACCTTTTGTGGCCACAGGCCATGGCCACAGACCCCCAAGACTTAACTCAAGATTTAAATCATGACATTTTTTTCCAGCCTTCGTGGACGCCCAGGGATGAGAACCACAGGTTGAGAACCACTGAATTAAATCACATGTACAGATGCATCAAGACCTCCATTGTCACCATCCCCAATGATTCATTCATTCTTTTTCACTGCTTGTTATGCCACCAAGTCTTCTGAATCATGGAACCCTTTTCCAGAATCTGTCCCCAGCTTGTTTTTTTTCAGACCTTGCAACAGTGAATTGATTTATACATCGCCTTAATCCATTAACTACATTAGGTGGATTTACCTATCACCTAAACCCAGCAGCCTCTCCCAATTTATCAACTATCACTGTAGTTTGGACAACAAATTCCATCATCCTCCCCTTGCTGATGCAACAGTCATGCTGGGTAGGTGAGAGCCAGTTTGCTCCAGTGGTTAAGGCACCAGGCTAGAAAGTGACAGACTATGAGTTCAAATCCTGCCTTAGCCAGGAAAGCTGGCTGGGTGACTTTGGGCTAGTTACTCTCTCTCAACCCACCTTGCAGGATTGTTGTGAAGAAAACAGGAGGAGGAAGCTACGTTTCATGTGTTCGCTGCCTCGAGTTATTTGCAAAAATAATGAAGACTGGGTACAGTAACGCAAGTGTCCAGACAATATCAAGCTGGATAAAAGCTGTACTACAGGTAATACCTTGACTTGGAACCATTCATTTAGTGACTGCTGAAAGTTACAACGGCACTGAAAAAAGTGATTTATGACTGTTTTTCACACTTACCACCACTGCAACATCCCCACGGTCACGTGATCAAAATTCGAGTGCTTGGCAACCGTCTCGTATTTATAATGGTCGCAATGTCCCGGGATCGTGTGATCCCCTGTTGCAACATTCTGACAAGCAAAATCCATGGGGGAAGCCAGATTTACTTAACAACCATGTTAGTTACTTAACAACTGCAATGATTCACTTAACAACTGTGGCAAGAAAGGTCGTAAAATGGGGCCAAATTAAAAAAAATCTTGCTCAACAATGAAAATTTAGGCTGACCAGATATACGTATTGCAATTTGCATGGCTGCCAGCTTTAACTACATAAAATCCCCATCACTTCCACGGCACCCATTGCGTGGGACCATCCGTAACAACAACAGAAAGCAAATTACTACGGCCGCTGTTACTCATGTTGAAGCGTGAAACTCCATTACTGCCACGCCAGAATTGCAAATGAAGTAACGCAATTCAGTGATGCCCACGACTGAACCAATCTATGTTCTGGCAGGGTTTGATACGAATCGAAGACGCGTTAAAAGGAGGGCGCTTTGCATGATCAGGCGTGTCACGTGCTGTGCCACAGCATTGTTTTCCCTGAGGTTTTCTTTAAAAAAAAAACAGAATAAAAGCTCAGAGCAGCTCCAAGGAATAGCTCCTGGGAGGAAAGGAAACGGTTCACTTTTCTTATTAAAAAAAAATGCTATTTTTCACCACAGCTGTCTTTTTTTTTTTTCCCTCCTTGCTCCTGAGGGAGAAAATATGTTAGTATTACCGCAAAGTCTGGAAAGCAGCATTATTAAAATTAGAAAGTGGCAGACTTATAACTGGATTATTGAAGGAATCTATAATCCAAAGATCAGGATAACTGAGGAGCTTATGTCTTTCTCTAGCTAGCCTAGAGCAGGCAGCGCTTGGCTGACTCCGACTGAGGTTCAAAAACCATACGGGAAGCACAGGTAATCCTCAACGTACGACAACAATTGGGCCCCAGATTTCTGTTGCTAAAGGAGATCATTGTTAAGTAAGCTTTGCCATCCAGTTTTGGTCATCACGATGTAAAAAAGATGTTGAGACTCTAGAATGAGTACAGAGAAGAGCAACAAAGATGATTAGGGGACTGGAGACTAAAACATATAAGGAACGGCTGCTGGAGTTGGGTATGTCTAGTTTAACGAAGAGAAGGACGAGGGGGGACACGATAGCAGCGTTCCAGTATCTCAGGAGCTGCCCAAAAGAAGAGGGAGTCAAGCTGTTCTCCAAGGTGCCTGAAGGCAGGACAAGAAGCAATGGATGGAAACGAATCAAGGAGAGAAGCAACCTAGAACTAAGGAGAAACTTCCTGACAGTGAGAACAATTAACCAGTGGAACAACCTGCCTCTAGAAGCGGTGAATGCTCCAACACTGGAAGTTGTTGAGACTGGACAGCCATTTGTCTGAAATGGTGTAGGGTTTCCTGCCTGAGCAGGGGGTTGGACTAGATGACCTGCAAGGTCCCTTCCACCACCAACACCATTATCATCATCATCATCATCATTATAGTTGTTAAGTGAATCTAGCTTCCCTGCTAACTCTGCTTTTCAGAAGGTTGAAAAAATTTGAACTGGTTGCCAAGCGTCTCAATTTTTATCACCTGACCCTGGAGATGCTGCAGCAGTTGTAAGTGTGAAAAACGGTCATGCTGCTGTAACTTTGAATAACCACTAAAGGATTGGTGGTAAATTGAGGACGACTTATACTCAGATGAAGCTCACAACTAGAGACACAGAAAAAAAGAAAACGGCAAATTACTTCTGTCTTCCTGCATGTCTATGTCTTAATAAGTCATCAGGAATTGAACTAAATGTGTTTATCCCTTTAAAGCAGGGCTCTCCAAACTTGGCAACTTGAAGACTTGTGGACTTCAACTCCCAGAATGCCTCAGCCAGCTGTGGCTGGCTGAGGCATTCTGGGAGTTGAAGTCCACAAGTTTTCAAGTTGCCAAGTTTGGAGAGCCCTGCTTTAAACTCTTCAGGGAGGTGTGGTGGCTCCATGGTGAAGCTGCTGGGCTTGATGGTTGTAAAGCTGGCAGCCCAGGTTTGAGACCCAAGCGTCCTGCAACAGGGGTGAGCTCCCATCCTCCTCCCCCCATGGTAAACTATATGAGGCTAGGCTAGGATTTAACAGCTTTTGGTTAGGGTGGCACAGTGGCTCAGCGGTTAAAATGTTGTAGGTTTGAGACCCGAGCGCCACATGACGGGTGAGTTCCCGTCCTCACCTCAGCTCCTGCCAATCTACCAGCTCAAAAGCATGCAAATGTGAGTAGATCAATAGGTACCACTTCAGTGAGAAAGTAACAGCACTCCGTGACGTCGTGCTGGCCACATGGCCACAGAAACGTCTTTGCACACCACTGGCTCAATGGCCTTGAAACGAAGATGGTCAGCAACGAGTAGCGGAGTAAAATCTGCAGGGGCTCTTTTACCTTCATCTTGTTAAAACTATTCAAGGGTTGTGTTAGCTCTACAACATCCTTTTTGTTTTGATCTTGTTCACCTGAGTCTCACTGCCCTGGCAAACAGTGGGAAGAGTTAATGGTGCCTCTGCTCTTTTCATTAGTATCACGTTAGCAAAATGCTCTAAAGTGAAATAAAATACTTACTCTTTCATTAACAAAATTACTGAATTGTGCCACAAAGAAGGAGATTCAAAAAAAAAAAAAAATCAAGCAGGTAATCAGGTTCACAAATGAATAATCAAGTCTTAGCCTCAACATGGGCCATTCATCAGTCTGGCTGAACGCAGGACTGAAGCTATGAATGCATCATTAGTCCCCTCGATATATGATCACAATCACAGAATTTCCATTGCTAAGCAAGGGGGTTAAGTGAGTTGTACCCAACTTTCTGACCTTTTTTTTTTTTGCCATGGTTGTTAAGCAAATCCCTGCAATTGTTAAGCAACACACACGGTCGTTAAAAGCGAATCCAGCTTCCTCCATTGACTTTGCTTGTCGGAAGCTGGCTGGGCAAGTTTCAAACGGGTGTTTTACGTGACACCGGGATGGTGCAACAGGTGTAAATACATGCCCATTGCCAAGTGCCCAAATTTTGATCATGTGACCGTGGGGATGCCTCAACAGTTGTAAGTGTGAGGACCAGGCATAAGTCACTTTTTGCAGTGCTGTTGTAATTTTGAACGATTGCTAAATGAAAGGTTGTGAGGACTACCTAGATCTAAACACTATTTTTAAAAAAAGGCCCAGAAATCATTTTGGAAGTATTGACTCTGCCATGCCAAATTGACACTCAGATCAACTTTCTGAAGCAACCACGACACAGAGACCAACCGGTTGATGAGGAGTCTGCGGGCATCTGGCGCAGATCATTCCTCCCGACGTCGTTGTAAGGCAAAGGCGCTGATGAATCAACCACAGAGACTTGCTCTGAATAGGTCTGGTAGGTTTCCATTTGAGGTGGTGGGGACGACGGTTGCTGTACATACATCACAGGGTTCCAGCAGGTCTGGTGGTAATACTAGCACAATTCAAGGTGAGAAAAATCAAGTTTTAACTAGGTGAGTTACTGCTGCTCAGACTGACAAAAGTAGCTGTTGAAATCTGCCCATTTAGATCAGCTTCAGAAATGCCCTGTGTAGATCAACTGTTTTGGATCAAGGGCAAAACACACCTTAATCCTTAATCAGCAGACCACTAACAGGAATGCATTGTTCTAAAATGTGGTCAAGCTGTTTAGTGGCTGCCTAAAACCTAATTCTTTCCAAACTGAATTTTCACAGAATTCTCTTACACAAGATTTATTGAGATGGGAGAGGTATGTTGTAGGAATTCCAGCAATGGAGCTATTTGCTGTTTAGAAACAATCTAGTTATTACTTATAATAATCACCATGGTGGCCCAGTGGTCAGAATGCAGTATTGCAGGCTAACTCTGCTCACTGATGGGAGTTTGATCCCGATTGGCTCAAGATTGATTCAGCCTTCCATCCTTCCAAGATTGGTAAAATGAGGACCCAGATTGCTGGGGGCAACAGGCTGACTCTGTAAACCACTAAGAGAGGGCTGTAAAACACTATGAAGTTGTATATAAGTCTATATACGATGAATATCCAACAACTGAAAGAAGCTGTTCTTGATTGGGTAGCATGGAGAGCACTTGCCTATAAAGTCGCCAAGTGTAGGATATGACTAAATGATTAAAACAACAAAGGCGCAGAAATTATTTTTCTGTGCTTTATGCGAGGGACAAATAATGCAGGAGAAGAATGGGAATCTATTTCTTGTGTAAACATTAACAAAAAGAGAAAGTGGGTATGCCCTGAGGAAGTAATATATCTCTTGTCATACTCATCAATGCTGTTTCTCTTACAATCTGCTTATCAGCACCGATAAATATTTACCTAGCTATAGAATAGCAGCTTAGGAAGTCAGCATGGATAAAAGCAATACATTTACAATATTTTAAGAAAAGTTCCGGGTCTTGTGTAGACGTCAAGCAAAGGATTCCCCATCCGACTTCAGAAAATTCTGAAAAACATCCGCCTCTTCCAAAGACTGCCACCCCATTCTCACAAAAGGTGGTTGTACCACTAGACTTTTATTGGGCACTTACCTGCAAGCCCAAATTAAAATAATACTGTAAAACCTTTGGATCTAAAACAAGGAAAAAAATACTTGGTCACTGCATTTCATACAGATCCTATAAAAAGGTATGAATATTTACATTTTTCTCATGTTTGCCCACCAATCCGTATCACTTACAGATATTTGTCTCCCACATAGTTAGCATCTAAATATTAATTTACTAAACAGCTGTGGTTAGGAAAAGAAAGTCAATTTTAGAAAAATCCATTGATTAATTCTGCCCTGGGAGAGATCCCTGTGGTACTTTTGTAGCTGTACCCGCAAATTCAGGTAGTCCTCGGCTTATGGCAATTGGGATCAACATTACCCTTGCTAAGCAAGGCAGTTGTTAAGGGAGATGTGACCAATTTGACAACTGTTTTCCCATGGTTGTTAAATGAATCACTGCAGTTGTTAAGTGAATCCAGCTTCCTTCTTCGGCAAAAGAGCAGATGTAATTCTCATATGCAGGTGTTCGACTTAACGACCATGAGTGGGTCTCTGCTGATAAGCAAGGTAGTTGTTAAGTCACACCCAATTTTGCCACGACTGTTAAGTGCTTCGGTTGTTAACTGAATCATGTGGCCATTAAGTGAATCCATCTTTCCCCCATTGACTTTGCTGGTCAGAGATTGGCTGTGAAAGTTGCAAATGGGGATCTCATGACCCTGGGATGCTGCAACCGTCGTCAATATATGCCAGTTGCCAAGCAACCAAAATTGGATCACGCGACCGTGGGGGATGCTGCTATGGCTGTAAGTGCTGTCATTAACTGTTGTTGTAACTTTGAACGGTTGCTAAACAAATGGCTCTAAGTCAAGGATTATCTGTACCCATGAGAGGTACCCACGACACCAGATCAGCCAAAATCTGCAATGTGTAAACTCTCAAGGAATAAAAACAAAAAAAGAGAAATGTTTGTAACACCTGGAAAAGCAAATGCAACTGACAGCTAAATTTCCCAGCTCGGCTTCTCACAGGGCCACAATTTTTGCGATGAGATTCAAAGCCAAATGCAAAATTTAAAACAGAGGAAAGAGGGGGGGGGGAATGATTATGCGCCAATAGTTAAGACAGATCACAGCATGGGAAAAATACAATTATTATTGAGTCATCCTTCTGCAATCTATTTCACACCTTTTTTTGTATACTTTGCTTTTAAACTATTGAATGTTAGCACTGCCTGTCCTAAATGTTTATGTAATACCACAAATTAGCAGAAGCACAACGAGAAGGAAGTTAAGAAACTGAATAGCCCGTTTTCCCTTTTAAGTTGTTGTCGCCTGTTTTGCTTTTGTATAGTCGCTGTTTCTTTCGCAACATGCACAAGCAACAATAAGGAACAATCTACTGGAAACTTTAGCGTTAAGTATTCAGCTGAAGACAGAAACCTTTGAGGTACAATGAATACATTGATGTAGTTCCCAGCTGCTTATTAAGGCGATATTCAGCTTTGGATGTAAAATCTAACTAATGCTATACTTAATACCAACACTTCAGAGCATTGTACCTTTTTTAAAAATTTAACACAACACACAACATACATTCTATTTACAAATTATACTTATATTTATAAACATTGACATTTCAAAGCGTGGTCAGTAGTGTGACACCCTTTTAAAAATCTAACACAGCACACAATGTACCTTCTCTTTGCAAATATAGAATTGAGGCAAGCAGATAGTCCTGTACCTAGCTTCCAATTTATTTTGATTACAGCCAATTCCTGACCCACTCTGTGCAGCTAGCCCTCAGCGTACAATGGCAATGGGGATCAGAACTGCCATCGCTAAGAGACCTTGTCAGGGCCCTTCCAGGATGCTGCCATTCTGAGGGAAGGGGGGAAGCTCTGTTTGTTTCTGTATTGTTTCTGCTTTCACACTGATGTTTCTGCATGGGAATTGGGGAGGGGGATGGTTTGACTCAGGGCCCTCTGGTTTGACTTCTTTCTGGCTAACTCCTGCCTCTTACCAAGGCCCCCCGGCACCAGAGAACAACTTGTTATCACCTTTTCGGCTCAGAGTTCTCACAACAACTTCACACCAGTTGACTGGCTTCTGATGGACTGGGGCAAGGGTAGGCAACCTTGGCTCTTTTATGACTTGTCAACTCACAGAATTCCTAAGCCAGCTATGCTGGCTTAGGAATTCTAGGAGTTGAAGTCCATGAGTCATAAAAGAACCAAGGTTGCCTACCTCTGGACTGGGGCAATGAGGTGTTGTTGGACAATGAGAAGTTAACATCATTAATTTTTGTGCAGGAACTTCAGATTCCGCCTGACCTCTCTGCAATCCCTGTCTGTCAGTCAAAGATCCTTTGGAAACCATGCTTGTTTCCATGAGTCACGCTTTCCCGAGGAGATAGCTGAGGCAGGTCCTTATTATCTGAGCAGGCTCTTTTTAAGCAAGGAGCGCATGGATTGTCAAGCGAGGACCTCTTGTGATTGCAACCTCTGACTTCCCATGGGCTTTCCCTCTTGACTTTGTTTCTGGGATGCTCTCAGGGAATGTCAGAAATCACAACCGTGTTGACTGTGGGGATGCTGCAGTGGCCAAAACTCTGACGAGCGGTCATAAATACCAGTAATTCAGCGCTACCATGACATTCAAGTCGCTGAACTAATGGTCATTACCTCAATATTTGCAGACTTCAGCTGGATGACAACTCTAAAATCATGGAGTTCCTACTAAAACTCTAGTTTTCTTTGCAGAACAGCCTCAATGTTTTTTGGGGGGGGGGGGTGGAAAAGGAAGAAACATATAATTAGAGTTCACTTTCCTAATCCATTCCTCCTGTAATGTGTTTGATGTATAGTTTCTTACACCAGGGAAATTCAGAGAGTACCAACACCAGGCTTAGAAAGAGACACAACCAGATGATCTGTTTCGATTTGTATTCCAAATACTTGGATACATCCATGATTATGTTTCCCTTGTCAAAGCAGTTAAGCAAAAGCACATTTAATATGGCTACATATCTTAAATGCATACTCTTACAAAAATATGCCTTTAAAAAATATTTTGAAGCATTTCTCCAAGCCAAAATAACTGAATCAGAGGTTTCTGGCATTTAAAACCTGCCACGATAATGAAGTCCCACGTTGTCCTTTCATCTGGATAGTCCAAACTAGTTAATGCATATAATAAAATGTAATTCCATAAGCATCTCTAGAACCGATTCATTTTATGCAGCTAAAATTACTCCCACACGTCAGAGAAAATGGTATCTTACCTCTAGGCAGGTCATTTCCACTTGGATCACAAGAATAAGGGGGTGTAATATTGCCATTTTCCCCCACGTCACTCACTGGAGGAAGGGGAGGTGACTGATACACTGATACAACTATTTAAAAAGTGGGGAGAGAAATGTTAAATTAATTCCGAAAGCAGTGGGATCCATAAAACAGACCTTAACCTTTATGTAATGGATCCATTGGGAAAATCTAATCCCTCTCAGTGTTCCCGAAATGAATTTAATTTGGATCAACAATCCAGATTAACAATCCAGTCAAACTGAGAACTGAAACAGATCTCAATTCGCTGTCTCTGCCAGGTATCTTCTAAAACAGTGGTTCTTAACCTGGGCGATATTGCCCCCCAGGGGGCGATTTCATTTTTCAGGGGGGCGATGGAATGAAAAGGGGCGATGTGAGGGCGATGGAATGAAAAGGGGGCGATATGGGGGCGATGGAGCGAGGAGTTTTGGGAACACTTTTGAGACTTTTTCGTACAGTGAATGGTTGTATATCTGTCATACAAAAACATCAGATCGCTCGCTATTAGTGGATTGAATTGTGTTTTCAAATGTTCCTCCAGCTAGCTTCAGTACAGAATGCCGTACATATGTGAAGACGCATCGCTTATCTTCATGCGCGTTGCACAGCAGCCTCTACCCATACAGTGGTGCGCCATTGGCCAGAATATGGGAAATATGGGGAAAAAGACTGGAAATAAATTATTTGCATCGATATGTCCTGATGACAATTTTAAAGAAACCAAAAAAAGTGTTTGCATAAATTGAAGAATTATTTCCTATGTTGTGATTGAGAGGTTGTGTTGGGGGAGGGGGGCGATGACAACTTCCTCATTGGCTCAAGGGGGCGATTCGTTCAAAAAGGTTAAGAACCACTTTTCTGAAATATGGAATGAAGTCAAAATTTTGCATGCATAGAGGAAAAAACACAGTATAACCAGCTCCTTAAAAAGCCTCCATTCTGAAGGATTTGACTTAGAATCATAGGGTTGCAAGGGACTTTTGAGGTCTTCTCAGCCTACCCTTGACAAAGGGTTGTCCACCTTCTCTTGAAAACCTCCAGTGGTGGAGCACCCACAAGCTGTTCCATTGATTAATTGTTCTTCTTCCCTGTAAGCCTAAATACATTTGACTCCTCCAGAGGATCAAGTGAACTTACTTCAATGCCATCTGAAGGCTAAACAACTATTCTGATTCAAAAGCCACTTGGTGGCCAGGAACCATAAACTCAAAGCGTTCTCCAGAAATTCCTGAAATGAATTGAATACTCTACCTGGTCTTCCCACAGAAGGGGTTACTAAGATTGGTGGCACAGCATTCTGGGGGGTAGACGCAGTGATAGTGACTTGAGTTGAAGCACTACAGGTGGAGGAGAAAATGGTAGTCGGAGCCGAATTCACACAGGAAGCACTGGATATAATGGCAGAATTTACCATGACCTATGAAAGAGAAGCATCTTTTTGCCAAATGGTGAAATTCAAACACAAAACACCCCGGGACCAAATGATTTTGCATATGAAGTATCTTCTGATGCAGTTAACAGATTTCAATTTAAGTATTTGGGTTCAACGATAAACTTTAGTTTAGCATTATCAGCATGCGTGGCGAGTGAAATAAGCTGTGTATACAATTAATAAATAAGCAATTCTTCTAATAAACAAATAAATAATTAACGGGCAAAAATTCACTTCTAAAGCTCTTATCCGAATGTCATAATGGGCCAAGGGACTTTTATTTTAAAACATCCTAAAGTTTATCAGCCTGATGGAATATGAATTTTCCGAGGTGAATTACACAGATGTCTTCTGTAAAAAAAAAGCACCGTTTGCAATGAAATGCGATACAAAACATTAGCAATTTTCCTATTTTTCTTCCAACCACTCTGGCCGTTAAGAAATCACCGTGGTTGTATAAATGACACAGGTTTGAAGCAGCTGGGTTGGGGGGGTAGGGTTGCTGAGGAAGAGACAAACGTTACATTTGGTCTTTGAATGATATGGCAGAGAAAGTAACTAAATCCTATGATCAAAAAAATTGCTGTGATTAATCCCCTTGAAGGTAATATCTTTTTCCTAAAATTGCATTAAACACTGAAGCGGTGTTTCTCAACTTCAGCAACTTTATGATGCAGAATTTCCCTGCTAGCAAATTCTGGGAATTGTAACAGAATAACAGAGTTGGAAGGGACCTTGGAGGTCTTCTAGTCCAACCCCCTGCTCAAGCAGGAGATCCTAGACCAGGGGTAGGCAACCTCGGCTCTTTTATGACTCATGGACTTCAACTCCCAGAATTCCTGAGTCAGCTATGCTGAGGGGAAAGGGAGAGTTTCCAAGCTGAGCCATGCTGATTCAGGAATTCTGGGAATTGAAGTCCATGAGTCATAAAAGAGCCGAGGTTGCCTACCCTTGTCCTAGACCATTCCAGACCAGTGGCTGTCCAGTCACTTCTTGATAACCTCCAGTGTTGGAGCATTCACAACTTCTGGAGAAAAGCCATTCACTGTTGGGAATTTTCTTAATTCTAGGTTGCTTCTCTCCTTGATTAGCTTCCATTTATTGCTTCTTGTCTTGCCCTTTGGTGCTTTGGAAAATAGGTTGACCCCCTCGTCTTTGTAGGAGCCCCTCAAATATTGGAATACGTCTATCATGTCTCCCCTAGTTCTTCTCTTCACTAGACTAGACATACTCCATCCCGGCAATCGTTCTTCATGTGTTTTAGCCTCTGGGCCCATAATCATCCTTATTGCTCACCATATTTTATATAATACGATCCACATATCTTAAAGATGTTGAGGCTGAGAAACATTGCACTGGAGTCTTGAAGAAAACTTTTGGGAGAAATACAACAGTGAATTTCCATTTGAGTTAGCTAAATGTTTCATTTCTTTTATCAAAGTTAAAATGTAATTTTTATGAACACTTTGCGGATCTTCAAGACCGTGAAACTCTTCTTGACACCAAGTTATGTCCTCAGAAAAATGTACTTTCTGAGAGTAACTGAAGGAGGTAGCTGCTTTCTGAGAAGAGACACAATTTGTTCCTGCATCCTGCAGAGACTACTACACCATTCATTTAAAAAAGAAAGAGTGGGAGAGATGAGAATCAACCTTATGCTATGTTATTAAAGGGTCACTTGGGCTAATGAAAAACAGGAGCTATTAAAAGAGTGTTCAGAGAGATGAAAGTGGCCAGGTCTTTGAATTTAGACGTCTTGTGCCAAACTCTGAATTTTGTTTTCTGTCAAATTCCATTATCCAAATCCACCTCAAGGATTTGTGTCCCGATCTTCAGCTACTTTCAAACCATGGTTTCTGTAATCCTGTTTTGCTCAAAATTGGTGCTGTTCAAATGTTCTGGACTTCAAGGCCTATGATTTCCAGAGAACATGCATATCTAGAAGGCAGTAGGTCAATAAAGTCTTGAGCCCAGAAAGTTCCTCAGTAGGCAGTTCCTGTGAGGTTCTCTGAACTACGTGGCGTCCATGGTGCTCTCTGAGCTTGTTTTCTTGCAGACATTTCATTACCCAAACTTGATAACATCTTCATTGCTAGCACTGATGATGTTACCTAGTTGGGCCATGAAACATCTGCAAGGAAACAACCAAGCTCAAAGAACACCATGGACCCCTTCATTTCAACCCTGAGCTACAAATAGTCTCCTTTAGTTATATCTTTGAACTATGGACCCAGCATTTCATCTCCATCACAACCCAACGGTTATCTTTTTGTACTAAACTAGGTACATTTATCATGTCAGCTAGCTTTGGAAGCCACGTGCAGGGAGGAAGAACAAGATGCATCAGATTGCTTTGCTGGCATGTTCATTGGCCACAACTGGACATCTCACTTATAAACAGAGAAACATTCAGAAAAGTGGAGCTAAACCCTCAGACAGTAAATTAGCCAGCAGATCAACAAAACTGCTATTATACAGGTAGTCCTCAACTTATGAAAGTATTTGAGCCCGGAATTAGAGTTGCAAGACTTTGCTGTCATTAAGAATGACATGCTAATTATCTTTTTCATGGTGGTCACTAAGGGATGGTAGTGTCATTAAGTGAATCTGTTTTATCCAATAGATATTTTTTTCCTATAAGATCTAGTGTTTCTCTCCCTCACTCTTACATTGTTTAACACTTTTTGTTGCAGATGATATAACATTCTTTATACATGAGGTTAATAAATTTCCGCTTCATAAAATTTCCGCTACACATAAAAACCATCTGGCTAAGAAACCGATTAGTGTTTTAAGCTGTATGATTACGATCTTACCATTGCTAACAAATCCAATAAACACACAGGCTCTCCCATTTTGTAAAACGTTAAAATCAAATTATCATCTGTTCCATAAGTCAGATCCAAAAATGAGACCAATAATAAAAATCCCCATCAAACCAGGTTCTACTTACTGGAATGGTAGCTAAGAACACCATTTTGTTATCTTTAGAACAGGCAGTGAGAAAACAGGCTTGTTTATGGTTTATGGCTTGTTTATAATTTGATTCCTTACCAAGATGTCTTTCAACACAGAATGGGACAACTTGGTACAGCCAGCTTGCCACGGCCAACTCGCCACCACCAAGTTGTTGTAGGAGAACTCAACATGGCCTACTCACTGTTGGGGCAACTCACCAAGGTGGTTGAAGGGAGAGCCAGTTGGGCAAGTGAGTGAATGTGGAGGGAGAGCCAGGCTGGTGGGTGAGTGAATATGTGAGCACAGTGCAGAGCAGCAGTGGTGTTCAGGCCGTTTGGCGGCGAGTTGTCCACATGGCAAATTGGCTTTGTTGAATTGTCTGACGACTTGGCAATGGTGAGTTGGCAGAGGTGACTTGATGGTGATGAGTTGGCCACAGTAAGCCGATCATGCTAAGTTGTCCTAGACCAGGGATAGGCAACCTTGGCTCTTTTATGACTCGTGGACTTCAACTCCCAGAATTCCTGAGCCAGCCATGCTGAGGGGAAAGGGAGAGGTTTCTAAGCTGAGACATGCTGGCTCAGGAATTCTGGGAGTTGAAGTCCACAAATCATAAAAGAGCCAGGGTTGCCTACCCCTATCCTAGACCCTTTCCAACATTAGCAACTGAGCCACTACTAAATTGGAAAAGTGACAACTATTTTGCACACCCATCACCTGAGCAAGCACCATTTTCATTATTTTGGGCAGATTGGTAGAAATTTGCCCAATTCAAGGACTACTATCACAACAGGTATTATATGACAGTGCCAAGGTTGGAAATTGCTTTCATATCTCCTTTAGGTTCTAACAGATTCTGAACGTGCTAATTTCAATGTTTTTAATGTTCTTACCAAATTTGCAGTAGATTCAGTTGCATTAAATACTGTAGTTGCTTCACACTCTGGGTCTGGAAAGCAGGGAGAAATATGACATTGAAAGCACCAGTGATTATTTACTAACAAAAACAATCAAATTATGAAGTAGACTTTTAGAGAAAGACTCTAGTCTCACCTGGAGGAGTATATAAATAATCTTCTTGGTATTCTCCTTGAAAAGCAGAGGATAAGTGCACTATTAGAGATACATATCGGAAGTAAATCTCATGTAAAATAAACAATTCCAAGAGAAAGAATGAAAACCCAGCCTTACATTTTAGAGTCATGTAATTATGCAAAAATCTTTATACGAATTTCTCCCCGTGCCTTAAGCTTCAAATTCCACAATCCCCAAATTTCAATTCCGATTGGAAAATTCGGGAGATGAAAAGGCTTAAACCATGGAATATGGTAACAACATTTGCCATACTATTGTTTCATTTTTTTTTTTAATCTGTGCAAAACATTCGCCAGATACAAATTCAGCAAAGTTCAAGTTGCTATGCTGGCATCTAACCCGTCTATATAAAACCCCACAAAAATAACTAGATGTAGTCAAAAGTTTTAGGATAGCATATTTGCTGGAAAGAAGAAACCTTTTCTCCAAGGACTACAACAGACCTATGGCCACAACTGAGCTCGACATAAATTGTCAATCAACATATAAAATCAATTCAAAATAAAAATGAGTTTCTAAATGCTTAGAAAAACATGCAAGGATCATGACTGCAAAGTACTTCAAACGTTTGGCATAGTTATCAATTTTGGAAAGGTAACAGATGCATCTGAACTTATTAACATTCAGGCTATGCCAGGTCTAGAGTCTAACTGAGAACACATTTTTGAAATAATGAAAAAAACCACTGGTGCCTGCAATTGTACATACTGAAATTTTCAGATCACATCCATTCTGAAAAATAACGGCATGTTCCATTTCAAGCTGGGAGGCTTCTGCGAAGAATTTTTTAATGACTTTTTTAAAAAAAACTCCTAATCAATGTCCCAAACTTTATGAAAGAAATGAAACAGTAACCCTGGCAGAAGGCCGAATTTTGCTTTAATAGTTATGAGCTGGCACAATTCACAAAAGTTCTCTTGAAGTTGGTAAGTCTGAACAGTAAGATCCTGGACTTACAAATGGTTGCTTAGCAACTATTCAAAGTTACACCCTACCTGTGATAGAGGACTTAAAACTGGGATCTGAAGATCCGACGGGCGCTCCCCTTATGGTCACATGATTTTACTTTGGGTGCTTCGCAACATGGACATTTGAAGCACCCCACAATCGTGTGAGCACGTTTTACAACAGTTTTGCTGAAAACCGGTAGTTACTTCCAGTTTTCTAAAAAAAAAAACCCTGTGCCCATAGCAAACCATTAGTTCGCATAACAGTCATGGTGTTTGCTTAACAGCTGTGGCATTCACTTCACAATTGCCACAAAAAAATGTTGTAACATTAGAAGTACCTGTCATTTATGACCATTACGACTTACCACCATAATGGGACAGCTCCATTACAGTTGTAATTTGAAGACTACCTGTACAACTTACAACACAGAACGAGTTGGAAAGTGGTGGCGCAGTGGTTAGAATGCAGTACTGCGGGCTAATTCTGCTGACTGCTGGCTGCCAGCAGTTCGGCAGTTTGATCCTGACCAGCTCAAAGGTTGACTCAGCCTTCCATTCTTCCCAAGATGGTAAAATGACGACCCAGATTTTGGGGGCAATAGGCTGACTCTGTAAACTGCTTAGAGAGGGCTGTAAAGAACTGTGAAGTAGTATGGAAGTACTATTCCTATTCCTATTCTATTACCCTACCCTACCCTAGCCTACCCTAGCCTATCCTATTCTTACCTGGTGGTGCAGTGGTTAGAATGCAGTACTGCAGGCTAATTCTGCTGACTGCCAACTGCCAGCAGTCCAAAGGTTGACCTAGCCTTCCATCCTTCCAAGGTCAGTAAAATGAGGACCCAGATTATTGGGGGCAACAAGCTGACTCTGTAAACCACTTAGAGAGGGCTGTAAAGCACTGTGGAGTGGTATATAAGTCTAAGTGCTACTGCTAGTATTATTCTGTGTTTATCCTTACCAGTATCAGTTGGTTCTTCTACTTCTTCTTCTGAATTATTCAGCCCTGGTTTATTTGGTGGGACAGAATTTGAAGTCCTTCTTGTTACCCAGAATCCTGCAGGAGCTGGAACTATTGGAGCTGGGTTGCCCCGCTTCTGAGAAACAAGTCAGATTATTTATCAACATTTATGCTTTCACCTTATTGCAAATATGCAGCACAGTTTCAGCATTTCCTTCTAACCCCAGTAATATAGAATATGTGCACTAGATTTCAATAGATATGAGACAGTCGGAAATACACAGCATGATTCTAAAAAGAGGTTTACGAAACAGCTTGCTAGTCTTTCTTAATTTGGAATATATATATATATATTATATATATATATATATATATATATTATATATATATATATATATATATATATATATATATATATATATATATATGTAGGTCTTTGGTTGTTCGGTTTTCTCCCGCGTAAAATTGGAAGTGTCTTGGCGACGTTTCGACGAAGTCCCATTTGTCATCTTCAGGCTGGTGTTTTCAGCTTCGTGCTTCGAGCTGCTCGAAGCACGAAGCTGAAAACACCAGCCTGAAGATGACGAATGGGACTTCGTCGAAACGTCGCCAAGACACTTCCAATTTTACGCGGGAGAAAACCCGAACAACCAAAGACCTACATACAAACCCCCCGCGAAAACCTCATATATATATATATATATATATATATATATATATATATATATATATATATATATATATATATTATATAGCTTTTAGAATTTATTTTTAAAAACTGGTGCAGAAATAAGGGCAGAAAGGGCAAAAGCAAGCGGTAAAAAAATCCTCATGTACAAAAACCTCATTTCGGGTTTCTGACATAAGCAGAAAATCTCTTGTTTTGGCACTTTTGAAATCCCTAAATTCAATTTTATGACAGCAGAAATTGCCCTGAAGGTTTTATTATTGTTATTATCTCCAAAATAAGATTTGCCAACACACATTTACACCTTCAAGAGATACCGTTAAAGCAGCAATTCTGTTCCCTTTGTACAATTAACCCTTTTAAACAATTTTGTTGAGCACCACTCTATTAATAAATGTTAATCCCGTGAAGAAAATTGAGAGCCTGAGGCTTTGCAATTATATTTCATCTGTGTAGATTGATCTTTTCCCATAATGAGGATTTAACCAAACTTGATTATTAGAGCCTGCTTGATTAATCTAGAGCCTGCTCAATTAATTCAAGGCTATTTAATCCAGCACTATCGTAGGGGTTGACAACTTAAAGTTGGCAACTTTAAGACTTGTGAACTTTTCGCTTGATTTACCTTGCCCAACTTATCTTGCTGCCTACTTGTAAAATATTTACTTTGGCACACTTTTCAAATTAATGCAGCTCCAGGACTTACAGGCAAAGCAGGAAAATTTGCATCATCCCCTTCTTCAATCTCATAAAAAGTGATGGTTTCTTCCACACCTCGAGGCTCTTCTCCATTCTCAGGTGAAAATCCATACTGGCATTCCTTATTAACACACTGCATCTGTCTGCGACTACGGCTGTATGAACTTCCAGAACAATCAATAGGTTAAAATGTCATGACCATAACCACCACCGCCGTATATTCTAAGTCTAAAACAGGGATCTTCAAACTTGGCCCTTTTATGACTCATGGACTTCAACTCCCAGAATTCCTCAGCCAGGCACACTGGCTAGGAATTCTGGGAGTTGAAGTCCATGAGTCAAAAAAATGCCGAGTTTGAAGACCCCTGGTCTAAAACATTTGGAAGAAAATGCCTACAACTGCATCTACAGGACTAACGGACATTTGTGTGCAATTGTTACCAGGCTGGCATTTTTTGCAGCTAAGATTCACATAACGTGTCCCTGGCCTGCTGCATCAACAAAGCAGCTGCTCGGAACCTGAAGCGGCTGGGATCTTGGATTGTTCTGAAAAATGTCTCGGTTGGAAATGCTTTAACATTGCTCCAAAGGATACAGAAAGCTGCATCCCTGGAGCTGAAAAGCTTAGAGCAGGGGTCTTCAAACCTGGCAGCTTTAAGACTTGTGGACTTCAACTTCCAGAATTCCTCAGCCAGCCCTGAGGAATTCTGGGAGTTGAAGTCCACAAGTCTTAAAGTTGCCAAGTTTGAAGACCCCTGCTTAGAGGAACTAGGACAACAACAGAAAAGTATTTTTATAGGTAGGAACTCACAGGTCCCATCAAAGGCTGTTGTGAAACCTAGCTAGGGAAATAATTTCATCTCCCAGCGGTTGGAGAAAGTTAACAGATAATCCACCTCAGTACAGATAGTCCTCGACTTACGATAACAATTGGACCCTCAATTTATGCTGTCAAGTGAGGAATCTGTTAAGTGACATTTGTTAAGTGCAATTTGCCCCATTTTACAACTTGTTTAGCCACAGTTGTTAGGCCAATCACTTCCAGTTGTTAAGTTAGTCACACGGTTGCTAAGCAAATCTGGTTTCCCCATTGATTTTGCTTGTCAGAACGTCACAAAGGGGGAATCCCGTGTCTACGAGACATTGCGACCGTCATCAATGCTAGTCATCTGAATGTAAATCATGTGACCCTGGGGATACTACAACAGTTGTGTGAAAAATGGTCACAAGTCACTTTTTTCAGCGCCGTTGTAACTTTGGTCACTAAACTGTTGTAAGTTGAGGACTACCTGTATAGGACAGGTTCAAAAATTTCTCCCAGTGTTGTCTTTTCACCAAGAGAAAATCTGAAGTCTGAAGTCAGCTGACCCCAAACGATAGCTGAGGAATAACATTTACTGCCTAGTGTACTGGATTCGTGTACTGGATTACAACTATAAGGTTTTACACTGACCGCCTAGTGTACTGGATTAAAACAATAGGGTTACAATTACTTACCGTGATCTATATGAGAAGTTATCATAGCTCTGATAACATCTCTTTCCTGGACTAGGATAAAATGCTATTTCTGGCCCAGTGATGTTGTTCCTGTTTATAAATCGGGCAGATCCCCTACATTTCAAAGGACAAAAAAGCAGAGTAACTACGAATTTAGAAGGCTCAAGGTGGACTCTTAACTAGCACCATTCAAGTATCTGTGTTAACATGTCCATGAGTGAAGAGGCTGCAAAGGAGTTCAGGCTCAGCTATCGTTTGGCACTGTGCAAGTGTGTACAAACTGGGGAAGGTCCGGCATTTCTCTTCCATCCAGCATGTTCCTGGAAGACATTTCACTTCTCATCTAAGAAGCTTCTTCAGTTCTGGAGAAGTGAAGCCTCTTGGATGAGAAGCGAAACATCTTCAAGGAAAAACGAAGTCCAGTTGCCTGGTGGAAAAGCACCTTTGGGACAACCAGGACCTGGATGACTGAGAATCTCCACAGACATTTTTAATTGCATGTCAACTGTACCAAATCTCACTTGAGTAAAAGTCAAGAACATTGTCAAGTCCACCTCGACTTCCAATGACTTGATAAGACAACCATCCACAGACGTGGGTGGTGTAGAGATTTAATAAATAAACAGGGCTTTCTTGGCAACAGTACAGAAAGTATTTGCTGGTGTTGTTGCCTTTGATATCTTTTCATCTTCCCAATTTTGTTTGCAGCTCTGGGGTTTCCTAGATGAGCTGACTTCTCACATCCTGGACATAAGCTGTTTCAACTTCTTCCCTCAAGGCAACGCTATAGGACATTGTGTGCCAAAACAGCTAAACACAAGGACAGTTTTCCCCCCATTCCATCATTCTGCTAAACAACAAATGCCCACAACACTGTCAAACTGCCTTCCTATTACCTATTCCTTATCTTCTTAGGACTATAACTTTGTTGCTCATATCTTATAATTTATATTAATTATTTGGAATCCCAGCATGATTTATGTTGACTACTTATTTAATATCCTATGACCATCACTGAGTGTTGTATCTTACGATTTATGATGAATGTATTTTATGATTATAATCACGATTTATCACTTGTTGCTTGTACTGTATGTACACTGTGAGCTTTTACACTGGAGACAAACTCCTTCTGTGTCTAATCAAACTTGGCCAATAAAGCTGTCCTATTCTATTCTATTCTATTCTATTCTATTCTATTCTGTTCTGTTCTGTTCTAGTTCTATTCTATATTCTTTTCTACATTCCTTTCTCTTCTCTTCTATTCATATTAATTCTATTCTATTCTTATTTTAATTCTATTCTATTCTATTCTTATTTTAATTCTATTCTTATTTTAATTCTATTCTATTCTATATTCTTTTCTACATTCTTTTCTTTTCTCTTCTCTTATTTTAATTCTATTCTCTTCTTATTTTAATTCTATTCTCTTCTTATTTTAGTTCTATTCTCTTCTTATTTTAGTTCTCTTCTCTTCTATTCTATTCTTTCATTTCTGGGTTTATGAGTCCACTAAAAATCATCTGGTACTTCCCCTCTGTAAGGTCATATTAGTTGGGGAGGGGGAGAGAATGAGAGCACTTCACTTTCACTGTTTCTTTAAATTAAAAGTTCTCCTAGTCTGGACATAGCATTAATTTAGAGAATGCAGCTTTGGAAGAAGGGAGTGTATGAACCCAAATTACAAATGAATTAGGTGCATGAAATTATGGTTTAGCAGGCTAGCAAATACCCTCTGCAAATCTAATCACCCTTCTGATCATTACTACAAATAGTTCTCGCTTAACGAGAGTAATTGGAACCAGGATTGGTTGCAAAGTGTGACATCACGTGACCATGGGGAGGCTATGATGGACAGGACTTCGAGGAGAGCCCATAAGCCTTTTCATTCAGTGCCGTCATAACTTGGTTGATGAACGAACGGCCATTAAGCAAGTATACGTAGTCCTCGACTTATAACCACAATGGAGCCCCAATTTTCTGTTGCTAAGTGAGTTTTGCCCCATTTTACGACCTTTCTTGCCACAAGTCGCTAACTGCAGTTGATAAGCTAGTAACCCGGTTGTTCAGTGAATTTGGCTTCCCCATTGGCTTTGCTTGTCAGAAGATCACAAAAAGGGATCACATGAACCTAGGACGCTGCAACTGTCCTAAGTACATGCCAGTTGCTAAGCATCTGAAGTTTGACAAGCAACCATGGGGATGCTGCAAAGGTTGTAGTGGTGAAAACGGTCCTAAGTCAGTTGTAACTTTGAACAGTCAACAATGAACTGTTGTTTAAGTCAAGGACTATCTGTACTACTGTATCCATACATACGCTTCAGTTAAAATATTCCTTTCTAACCTGCAAGGGAAAGGGGTGAGAATAAAGGCTGCAGAAACAGGGGACGGTGTTCAGAAGTTCCATGTAGCTCTGGGGATATTTTATGACACTATGATGCTCAAGTCAGGGTGATGCTGATGGCCGAAATCAGCAAGACCACCATCTCTGAGTTGCCTAAGGGTGAAAAGTGGGGAATCGATTGCCAATCTCCTTACCTTGACGTTCCATATCCCCGGCCAGTTCTCTGAAAATGGTAATGATCGTATGGATTTATATGTCCGTTCGGAGAGCAGTGGACCATAGGCGAGCTGTGCTGCAGACGAGGAGGCAGGATAGGGTGGCCTCTGCTGTAAGCCACCGTCATGTACACTTCCTTTCCGTGTACTTTCTTGAACAGCTTCTTCCGTGTTTTTATATCCATATCTGGAAGAGAAGTTAAGAAGAGGAAGATAGACTGAAGGGGGTGTACAACTGGGTCAACATCTATGGAGGTTCTCAGTCCTTCAGTTCATCGTCGTCCCAAAGGTGCTTTTTCAAATGGCAAGTGGACTTCCTTTGTTTTTCCTTGAAGATGTTTCGCTTCTCATCCAAGAAGCTTCTTCAGTTCGGACTGAATGGTGGAGGATGGAAGGATTTGAGGCCACTTGGAGGCTTATCTGTGTCCTCAGGGTCACCTGAACAGTCAGAACCGAAGAAGCTTCTTGGATGAGAAGTGACATGTCTTCATGGAAAAACAAAGTCCAGTTGCCTTTTGAAAAAGCACCTTTGGGACAAATGGGTCAGCTTTCTTATTTTTACAACTTTTTTTCTGGGTTATTTTTTTTGGGGGGGGGGGGAATAAAACAGTGCTGGGGTCAGGAAGGGAAAAATTTAGAACGATTTTAGGAAAAGCTGCCGTGGAACAGTACAAATGCTCTGTTTTATTTAAAACTGGACTTTTCCTTCTTGTTTTTTTTTTTTAATCATCCATGTTTGGGGATATACACCCAAGTAAACTAACACACATGAATAATATACCGATGGTGTCTGCATTTTCTAACAAGTAGAGGTTAGTTAATGAACCTATTTAGGTTTTCTATTTAGAAAATTCTTAAGAAAAGGTTGAAATGCTCCTGGTTGTTCTCAGTTGGTTACTAAAATATCTCTCTCTCTCTCTCTCTCTGTGTGTTTGTGTGTGTGTGTGTGTGTGTGAGAGAGAGAGAGAGAGAGAGAGAATGAGAATATGAAGAATTAAGGAATTGGAATATATTTGTATACTGTATAGGTTATTAGCTTTAAAATAATCAACTACATACAAAACAGTGTCTTGCACAAAGTGTTGAGGTAAAAAAAAATCACATTATGTAGGCTATTGACCTTTAGTTAATTAAAATTGATCAGGTTTTACCCAGCTATTGCCCTTATTTCTCTGAAGTAAACATTAGTTTTTACTGTTTCACAACATTTTTTTTTCTGAAATATTTTTGTTCAAACAACACGCAAGGAAGTCCAGTAAGAATTCATGGCAAACAAGATGTCTGAGGCAGCAGAGCAGACATGGGTGATCAGACAGCCAAACCTCTCTGGATAAAGGAGAGATTGTGAGATCCCCCATTTGCACTCTGTATTGGTGCTCCTCATGGGTAAATTGCAGGAACTGAGGTTTCTGCAGCCGACTCGTAAGTTAAGCGGCTGGGAGTTGAATGGTTTCCACCAAGCTCACAATCTCAGTGTGGCCTTAGGGACACAAAGTTCTGCCAAGCCTTATTTCTTAATCACTTTTGGAAATTGCTTATTAACTTTTCAGCTATTAAGAACCTTTTTAATTGAAAACTTTCATAACATGCACTGGATGAGGTTTTTCTTAATCCTTATAGAAAAAAAGTGTTAAAGATAAGCTTAAGGACATTTTTTTTAAAAAAAACCCTCTTCTTTTGGAATCAAACAATATGGATTATTTGTGTGTCATGTTCCAAAAACTCAAACTCTCACCTCTTTTAGCCCGTTCAAGTTAACTCTTCAGATATAAGAGTAGTTTAATAGATCTGCAGGATGGCAATTAGAGATTAGGTTCCACATCTTTGGGGAACGGAGACAGTGGGAATGCTCTTAGAAGGTACAAAAAAGCTGATATTTTAAGTGAAGTGTCTACTTATAGAAAATTGAGCATGCCCTACATTTAAAGTTATTAACAATGATAATGTCAGAATCCAATTATATTTCATCTCTAGTTATCGACTATGGAAAACCCCATTTCTGCCTTCTCTGGATTCTGTCATAGGATGAAGGGGAAGGGGGGTGAACAAAAGGGGTTTTATGGCCCTCACTTCCTTCGGTACAACTTCAAAGGGATTGAAAGTGGATACCACCAAAAAGACTAAATCATAACAATGGGGCCATCAGCTTTCATTTACTCCCCTCTGAAGTCTCCCTTCCACTGGCAGTGAGGAAAAAGGGGGTGGAAATGTAATGCCTGGGATTGTCACTGGAAGGATGGTGGGGTGGGGTGGGGTTGCTGGGAACCCCTTAAAACCTTGAACCATAGGGCTTGGCCCCCAAGTTTTGTCTAGAACGCCTGCAACCATTTTCTCTTAATAAAGGATGCCTGTTGGAATAAATATTCCAAGAGTTCTGTCTTCTTAAGATGCAAAGTGGGGTGGGTCCTTACAGATAAATTCTTGAAGCAAGATTTGTTGCAACAGGCCCTTAAAAGGTTGTGAACTTTAAATTTGTTTGTTTTTTGGGCAGAGAAAACTTTCCAATTATACACCAGTAAAATATTTTGATTGTCTAAAAACATACTCCTTACAGTTTTTTTTTTTTACAGTTTAACACAGGAAAATGTCAGGGATTAAATATGCGTTCACCTAATGAAGGTTGGTTTTAATATTCTTTGCTTTCTGAATGCTCATCTAGTTTTATGATTTTTTTTGTCACTGTAACTTTATTGCAGTATCTATCCATGTTTAGATCCGTTTAACTTTACTTGGTTAAATCTGCATTAAGTCTGCATTTCACCAGGATATTTCCAAACAGGAGGAAAAAAAATTCTTTAAAAGTAACCTATTAAACATCTAGCTAGAATTCACATAAAGCACCATAAACAGTAAATATTCCTTTAAGAGAGATGCTTAAATAATAAAAAGTTTTCAAAATTGATTCTCTTTAATTAATTAGCCAAACCAAGTGTTTTAAAATGATTAATTCAGGGATCAAATATGACTTCAGGTGGAATTTTCCTTATAATTGCTTAAATATGGCAGGATAGTCCAGCAACTCAAAAAGCAAACAAACAAACAAAAAAGAATTACTAATAAGTTTGATCTACTGGATCTCACAAGTCAATTATTGATGACAGCAAAACAGAGGAATAAGATATTTGTTTAGGATTCACATTTTGGTGATCTCTTAATCTGTTCTTAAGTGTTAACCTGAAGGGATTTGTTTAGACTTTTACAACACAGATACTCTGCACATATGTAGTAAAAGCACTTATAAAACACCATGTACAAGAGGAAATGGCACCTAAAACCATAGTTGGGAAGCAATTAGCCCAAATTAGCTCAAACATGAATATGAAATTCCTTGTCACAATGCATTTCAATTAGTAGGGCAGTGCTTCTCAACCTTAGCAACTTTAAGATGGACAGATTTCAATTCAATTGAAATCCACCCATCTTAAAAATTGGCAAGGTTGAGAAACATTGTCAAAGAGAAATGAAGAATGGGGAAATGGATGACAAATTCATTTCCAGACAGAAGGTGATGGTTTATACTACTATTGGAGCACTGTTGTAGGTTGCAAGCGTCATTACTACTCCTATCCAACCATCCCATTACTGTCTTTACCTATGGGTGTACCCACCTGGTATCTTCTGATAACTTCCTCCTTTTCTATTGGACATCACATTCCAGGCAGGAAGTGGATTGACTTGAGTCACAGGCTTCAAATTTACCAACGGAACAACGTGCCTACACATCATCCCAACCAAAAATAGTACAATCACAAAACAAACCTTAGAACCATAATGATATAATGACTTATGACATCTAAGATTAAAAACTACTGTTCCTTCCATGGCTACTTATCTTCAAGAGTTCCACACGAAGATGATCAAGTTTGCACAATGATACCAATCACTAATCTAAATTGACTCATGTCACAATTACAATTTAAATTAGTTTTAACTTTATTTAAGTTACTCAGGCAAAGTACAGAATCATAGGGCTGGGAGGGACCTGTTAAGCAACCCCCTGCTTCACAGGAGATCCTATATCATTTCAGACACATGGTTGTCCAATCTCTTCTTAAAGACGTCCAGTGTTGGAGCATTCACAACTTCTGGAGACAAGCTGTTCCCCTGGTTAATTGTTCTTCTCACTGTCAGGAAATTCCTCCTTGGTTCCAAGTTGGATCTCCCTCTGACAAGCCTCCATCCATTTGCTTCTTGTTCTGTTCTCTGGTGCTTTCGAGAATAAATCTCCCCTATTTCAGCCTTTCAATAATTGGAGGACAGCTATCATGTCACCCCCAAGCCTTCTCTTCGTTAAACTATGTACTAACTTAAGTAAAATAGCCTGAAGAATTGCCAGAACTGCCTTTATTATATGCAAGCTGATAGTAGAAATAAGCCCATTTTCATCAAATTTTTAGAGGACTGTCGATTTCTCCTGATTGTATTTACTTACAGGTATTATTCTCCTTTTTTTTTATTGAAAATTTTTAAAATATTTTTACAAAAAGCAAAAAGAAAAAGAAAAAAAAACAACCCTAACCCACCCACCCTAACCCTCCCTCTCCATCCCCCCCGACCTTCCCAGAGCTGAATATAGGCTTAATTAAAATTTTTAAGAATCTTTAAAAAAATTACAAAAGTATAAATCATAAATATATCTAAATACCTTACATAAACAACTTATAAAGTAATTAACAATAAGATATATGTAAAAAAAGCATAATAAAAAAAGAAAAGAAAAAAGAAAGAAGAGATATAAAAAAGTACAATCTATAAAATATTGAAATTTACATACAAGTTATTAAAAAGCTAAATGATATTTTTTATATCCAATTTATATTGTATAAAATTTATCCATTTTTCCCATACCGCAAAGAATTTCTCTTGCGATTGCTCCTTTAAGAAAGCCGAAATCTTTGCCATTTCCGCCAAATAAGAAACTTTAAGAAGCCACTCTTGCAAAGTAGGCAAAGATTCCTTCTTCCAATATTGCCCTACTAACAGCCTTGCGGCTGTGATTAAATTTAAAGGTATTATTCTCTTAATAGGTTTCATATTGTCTTCTTTTGTAATACTGTAATTTGTTGAGTTTCCAGAGAACTCAAACAAAAACGAAGGATCAGGAAATATATTAAAGATTAATACATTTATTATCACAGAAACTTCATGGACCACAAGATATTTGATCCACAAAAAAAAAAAAAATACAAGGAAAAGGTTTGTTTTAAACGTTCCATAAGACTATGTCTTAATTTTTTTTAAGCGTCAAGGTTACGCCAGGACAAAAATGAAAGCTTTCACTTCCAACACACTTTCCCCTGGGAAATGAAATTAAAACCTTTTCATGTTAGAAAACTGTTGAAGGGAATCCCCCATACTGTAAAAGAATTAAACCCAGTCTGAGGAAACGATAGGGAAAGAGAGATGTCAGGTTTTGTATAGTATTAGTTATAACACTGTCAGCATGATCTTGAAGTAGCACAGCTAAAATTCTGATACCGATAGCTCTTCCAATGAATACAGTTGTATGATTAAAAGGAAACAGATACATACTTTTCTGCCAGCTCTTCAATAAAGACGGTCACCAAATTATCCTGTCCCACATCCTGTATATGGGCATTGTAATATTTTCCCCCAGTTTCTAGCCGTACCTGGGAAAAAGAAGACTCTAATTAAACCCAAAGGGATAGTCAGAATAATTAGCACTTGAGTTTTTTTGCCAAGCAGCAGTGCCAAAAAGTGAAAATAGCCAGATTCAACTTTGGAACTGATCTGTTTTATTCTTGAAAGCAATTCCAGCCTGGCCTTGACTTCGATCCAACAAGCTTTGTAATCACTGTTTATAATCTGAAGTTCATTTATATTTTCTGCCCTGGATATTTGCTACACCAGATATTAGGGTGTAAGAATCCGTATGTTATGAAATGGCTGGACTGCAAACTCTTAGATATGATTCATGTTTAAAGAACGTAAGTTACATTTTTAAAAAAATATGTGATGTATATGTATGTGTAAATCAATATGAGACATTATATGTAAATATGAGACAGTGTATGTCAGGGGTCTTCAAATTGGCCCTTTTATGAGTTGTAGACTTCAACTCCCACAATTCTTCAGCCAGCATGGCTGACTGAGGAATTCTGGGGGTTCAAATCCACAAGTCATAAAAGGGCCAAATTTGAAGACTCCTGGTGTATGTAAATCACCTTGCCTTGTTTTTTTGTGTCCTTGCCTTGTTTTCTACAAATACACACACACAAACACACACACAAGCTTTTGATACAAGCCAGAACCATTTTAGAACTACCTCTGGAAATAGTGTTAAGCCCTAACATTATACGAGGTGAAAACAAAGTATTGCAGCCTCTTTCTCCTATACAGTCACAGAAACATTCCCTCCACAAAGTAGTACAATGTTGGGGATAATTCAAAACCCATTTATAAAGGAGGGGGAAGTGGCCCTGTCTTCTCTCAGAGATGCAATTTGCCTATCCTAGATGGTCAAAAGTGCTCATACCGTACCATTATTATTGGAAATGTAAATGTATGTTTCTTTTGAAATCTCACTAGAACTGGTAACAGGTTCATGACTTAAACACCAGTGAGATTGGAGAAGATCTCAGTTAATGGGGCTCACCTAATTTGGGGTAAATGTTGTAAGAACATACAAGTCAAATAGAAATTTATGTATCAAGATAAAGTGCATGCATGGAATTTTTCTCAAAAACAAGAGGACAGAATTAGAAACCTCAATTATTCTTTGTTGTTGTTAGTTGCGAAGTTGTGTCCGACCCATCGTGACCCCATGGACAACATTCCTCCAGGCCTTCCTGTCCTCTACCATCTTCTGGAGTCCATTGAAGCTCACGCCTCCTGCTTCAGTGACTCCATCCAGCCACCTCCTTCTCTGTCGTCCCCTTCTTCTCTTGCCCTCCATCTTTCCCAGCATTAAGGTCTTCTCCAGTGAGTCCTTCCTTCTCATTAGGTGGCCAAAGTATTTGAGTTTCAACTTCAGGATCTGGCCTTCTAAAGAGCATTTCTACTAGGACTGACCGGTTTGAACGCCTTGCAATCCAGTCTTCTCCAGTACCATAGTTCAAAGCCTTTCTTATGGCCAACTTTCTAGAGTCAGCGATATCAAGCTCATATTCCAGAATTAAGATTGTGGTATGGAACTTTCCACATAGAAAGCATAGCCTTATTCTCTGAGCCACAGAAAGCTGGTTAACTCATATCAAAAACAATCTACTGTACAAGTTTTCAAGCTCAAGATTTTTTTCCCCAGCAAGCACTCTTAAACTCCCTTGCTATCCATTTTAAAAACTTTTTTGGGGGAGGGATCACAACCTTAAATATTAAAAAGTACAGTTTGCTACACCAGGTATCAGGGTGTAAGAATCCGTATGTTATAAATGGCTGGACTTCAAATCTCTTAGATATAATTAATATTTAAAGAACTTAAATTATTAAAATTGCCAGTGCATAACTGGGTCTCTGTAAAATTAGGTCAGAATTCTGAGAGGAAGAATTTGGTCCCATCTGGATGAAGGATTTGGGATTCATTGGAAAAAGGCTCTTAGTTAAGTCCTGCCATTGTTACCACTGGTAAGTAAAACTAAAAAAATCTTTCTGATTGTGAAGGCCTATCTCTGGAACTCTGGAACCCAGACATTTAAGTTGCCCCTCTGTCTGATGACATTGTGTCATATTGATAAAAATGTTTTAATTTCACTAACTCTTCTCAGATTTTAACCCCCTTTTTGCTTAACTCTGAGCTTTTCCTTCTTTGAATCAACCGCACCAGCTACTTTAGCTTTTAGTTATCCAGAAAGATGGGGTGTTATTTTAAAAAAAATCTTTAAATGACTTGCTAGAGTAAACACCCCATGTTTACTCTAGTAAGTCGTGATAAGGGATGCAGTGATCCCTTTCCATTTTTACAACAGGCCCTAAAGGGTCCATCAAATTAAATGTTGTAAAGACATTGCTTCCCAACACACATCTGCAAGAGTTAGTAATCATCAAAGTGGAAAATTGGGGATAAAACGGTGCAGCGATGGCCAAGTCACTGGAATTATGAAGAGGAGACCTCAACAAAACCTCAATTTAACTGAGGTCTTCTTATACAATAAGGAAGCTTAGAAAACTAATTGAAGGCTATTCCTACTTCTGTCAGAGCATTTTAAAATGAGGCATCCAGCAAAACCAGAACTTTTCCTATTAGGTATAACCACACAAAAGTACGATAAAGGCGTTCTTTATTTAATGTTACACATTCTAACGGCTTCCAGACTGGTCTTTGCTCAAAATTGGAAGAATAAGAGAGTTCCAATGGAAGAAGAGATCCTGTATAAAATCTTTTCATGTGCTGAGATGGACAGGCTCACAATGATTATGAAGGACAAGACAGAACTCAAATACTTCGAAATCTGGGACAAATTTTACCGTTGGTATGAATTAAGGAGAACTGCTTGGATCTCAGGTTAATGATAGGATTGAAATGTATATATAACTGTACATATAATTGTATATTTAATTGTATTACATAGAAGAATGAGGCTTATATAGAGGTTAAGAATGGTGTATTATCTTTTTGTACCACGAGAAACAAACTATTTGAAATATTTACTCTGGAATGTCACGCTTGTCCATTTTTGTTTTAATTGTATTACAAATAAAAAACTTTTTTTTAAAAAAAAAATGAGGCATCCAGGTCAGGATCAGAAACCAGGAACGTTGTTCTTTAATAAACGAAGGAAAATGTGTTCTGCTGATTGCAAACAATTTTAAAGAACTCTTCCACAATGACCAAATACCCCTTTTGCATTCAATAAGCTTAATTAGGGCATATCAAATGTTGCTTCAAACAATTATCTTTCCTAAATAAACACAAAACACGTACCTGACATTTGTCTCCTAAATAGTACTGTCTCCCAGCAAACACCAAGTAATCTGTTTTTTGAAGTTCTACGAAGGAAGATCAAAAGAAAACTTAAGCTATTTATCAAGCATTCATGGATATTAATCTGATGGTAGAATTTTTCGCTTGGGAAAAAATATTATGTAACTGGCTTATTTTCCCGATATTAGCTGCAGCTGGAAAGGACATTATGCATACCATAGACAATGAATATTATGTCTGTATAGCCTTCTCCAGTGCAGAAGTCTTCACATGCTGCCTAGGGCATGCTGGCTGAGGAATTCTGGGAGTTCACAACTCATAAAAGGGCCAAGTTTGAAGACCCCTGCCCTAGGGATTCATGTCCAACAATGGGGGAGGGCAGTAAATGAGAAGGCTGCACAGATAGTCATTGTTTAGTTACAATTGGGACCAGCAACTTGGTTGTTAAATGAAGCGGTCACTACACAAAATCATGACTCTGCTTGTGAGTTGACTTCAGCCTGCCTTTTGTTCGACAGACCTGTGAAGGTCATAAATTAGAGAACTAGTGGCAGTGACTTTTTTTTATTATCACCGTTGTAACTGCAAACTGCCACTCAACAAGGCAGTCCCTATACAAGGACTCTTTGTGCAACAAATAGAGGAGCTAATACAGACAGGATGAAATTATTCATGGGTTAGTGTGAACGTCATAATTAAAACATCTAAGTTTCATTCCCACTTAGTTGTTTTCTGTTAGATCAGGGGTCTCCAAACTTGGCAACTTTAAGAATTGTGGACTTCAACTCCCAAAATTCCTCAGCCAGTCAGAGCTGGCTGAAGAATTCTGGGAGCTGAAGTCCAGAAGTCTTAAAGTTGCCAAGTTTGAAGACCCCTGGATTAATCAGTGGAACAACCTGCCTTCAGAAGCGGTGAATGCTCCAACACGGGAAGTTTTTAAGAAGAGACTGGACAGCCATTTGTCTGAAATGGTATAGGGTTTCCTGCCTGGGCAAGGGATTGGACTAGATGACCTTCAAGGTCCCTTCCAACTTTATTGTAATTGTAATTGTTATTGTTATTTTTACTACTTCTACTACTACTACTGCTACTGCTGCTGCTGCTGCTGCTGCTGCTGCTGCTGCTGCTACTACTACTACTACTACCTTTTCTGCTCTCCAGCCAAACATCAAACTCTATGTTCCGATAGATCTCAGGGTCCAGGGCCTTCAATACTTTGTAGGGAAAGGGCATCCTTTGGTTGTCAGGAGGCTGTGAAGTTGAAAAGGAACAGATTAGAAGATCTGCTGGCTACATTTGCCGTCTCACCCTGCCGTCTGTAAAAGAAATGCTCAAGTCGATCTACTAGTTTACACTTTGCACCACTAGATGCACCCCTTTGCATCTACTAGTTTACATTTTGCTCCTACTATTTGATGTTTATCTCCTAATTGGCAGTGCAAGTTGAACTTCACTTGTTCTCGGCTGAGCAATGGCCCAAGAACATGGCAAGTTCAACTTGCACGTGCCAATTAGGAGATAAACATCAAGTAGTACAACAGCAACAGTGCAATAAAAAGAACTTGAACCACTGATTAGGGATTTTTACACACTTCACTAATCACTGAGGCTGGGAGACAAGCTAATTTAATTGAATTATTTTAATTTAAAATAATTTAGAGCTTGTTCCCATCCTGGAGACGAAGTGTAAAGCAGTTCTCTCCTCTTGGGAATTCTGTTTATAAGTAGATAGCCAATGACCAAAAAGGACATAGTTTGTTAATGTTAAACAGTCCTAGGCTAAACTATTCAGTATTAACCACAGGTACAAGATTTAGCAATAGCAATAGACTTATATACCGCTTCACAGTGCTTTACAACCCCCTCTAAGTGGTTTACAGTGTCAGCCTGTTACCCCCAACAAACTGGGTCCTCATTTTACCAGCCTCGGAAGGATGGAAAGCTGAGTCAACCTTGAGCTGGTGAGACTCGAACTGTCAAACTGGTGGCAGCCGGCAGTCAGCAGAATTAGCCTGCAGTTCTAACCACTCTGCCACCACGGCTCTAATTTACACCTAGGTTTCACGCATACAAGCAGCAAACCACATCAGTTCCTAGTTGGCTAGTCCCACTTTCATGGGACTAGTTGCCATTTTGCACTGATCTTCCACAGAGAAGAAGAATATCATAGGTGCATGGTAACCTGATAAGAGTCCTTTTCCCAAAAATAATCCCCCACACCAGTAAGCAGTAAAATAAGAGTAAATCAACTTTGATTTCCCATTTCTGGATTATGCCTCATTTTCCTGAAGGATTGCTTAATCCTAAAACAGCCATTACTTTGAGTTTAGGCAAACAGCAGAGAAACACAACACTTATCTGGGTTTAGATAAACTACATTACGGGTTTGCATCCCCCGTATTTTGAATGGTGCAAAATCATGTTATAGTTCAGGGGTCTCCAATCATGGCAACTTTAAGATCTGTAGACTTTACCTCCCAGAATTCATACTGGCTGAGGAATTCTGGGAGTTGAAGTCCACAATTCTTAAAGTTGCCACAGTTGGAAAGTCCTGTTAGACAGGTAGTCTTCAATTTACAACAGTTCATTTAGTGACCATTCCAAGTTACAACAGCACTGAAAAAAGTGACCTATGCCCATTTTTCACACTTATGACCTTTCCAGCAACCCCACGGTCATGTGGTTTACATTCGGACGCTTGACAGCTGACTCACATTTATGATGGTTACACTATTGCTGAGTCATGTGATCCCTTCTGAAAACAAACTCAATGGGGAAACGGTTCACTTAACCGGGTTACTAATTTAAGGTCATGCACTGAACAAAATGTGGTCAAGAAGAGTCATAAAATGGGGCAAAACTCACTTAACATTTTTTTTTTACGTAGCAACATAAATTTGGGGCTCAACTGTGGTTCTAATTTGAAGTCTACCTGTAATTAGTTCTAGTCCAGACAACGAAAAGCAATTTAATGCAGAGTGGTGAACAGCTAGAGAAGGAATCTGTAATTATTTGTTCTATCAAAAGGAGTGATGGAGTTGAAAAAAACTACACACAGAGAAAGGGGGGACATGACAAGGGAGGCTTGTTTTTTGTTTTGTTTTTTTTTAAAAAAAAACTCGTTAGAACAGGAAAAGCTCAAGAACAGAATATTTAAACACCACATTTAGGTAGCACAGCTCCAGAAAGCCAGTAGTATGTTAATGACATCTTAAGTATAGTTTTCCAAGATGTTATTTTCCCAGCCCTTGTACCTGCTTCCCCTGAAGCCGAATTTAAACATTTTAGACATGCAAGTGTTTAACCACAGCAGTGTAGCATCAGAAGAAGAGGCAACATTAAAAGGAAGACGATGTGACACTGTGCTTCCTGCTACATATATGCCTGCATATATACTACATAGTTGCTTGCAAACATGGATCGCCTTGTCTGAAAATTGTCGAACCTTTCCTTCTTCAGTGACTTGCTTGCATTTTTCCTCCGCTGGGTGGACCGAATCAAAGCTTACCCAGTCTTCCAACCTAAACAATTAAAGACACATTGGATCAAAAAAAAAAAAAAGAAAAAAGAAAAGTGTGTCTATCCATCGCTGTCCAGTGCTGAAACTCAGAAGCAGGAAAAGCAAAATGCAGCAGCATTTTGGTGCCACCCAGTGTTGAATGATCTGGGAAGCACCTACAATTTTTAGAATTTGACCTACATAAACAACTCGATGACAGCAGCTTTGCATTCCCCACGGGAGAGTTTCCATCTGTGAGAGGCTGCAAGGAGGCTAAGAAAGGAAGGGGAAGCAGCCATCAACCATGGAGAGACAGAAACAAAATCAGCTGACAGTTGCTTCATAAAAAGCAACCCAGCCCAGGGGGTGAACAAGCTAGGAAGATGACCTGAATGAAGTCACTATAAATGAGTTTGGAAAATTTCTCTTGCAGGTTCTAAGCTTCTATAGCTACCCTAAGATTAGCATTCAAGATACTATTCTGAAGTGTGTATAGTTCTGGCTTTCTTAATCTGGGCTGGTTGGCTTGGGTTGACATCATCCGATACATCTAGATACATTCCAGACAGCAGCTTTCTTTCACCTAGTGCTCCCTCTAAATTTGTTAAGCAGCAGCTTCCAGAATTCATTGGCAAAATTAATTTTGGCCAACTACTGAAGAAGACTGCTGAATTAGGACAACCGGTTGTGCTAAAATTAGCAATGGTGTTGTCCCAAGGACAAAAGCAGCTGGGAAGCGGAGACAGTCTGAACTCCGTGGGAGCACTCTGTCACCCCCAAAAAAGAAAAATTGGGGGTACATAAGAGGCTCTACCACTATTCAGACTACCCTCTGCCCCCCCCCTTTGCCCGGGAGGGGGATTTTGAACCGCTGAACAGCTGATGTCTGCTGTTCATAGCGGTTCATTACACTTACCCAGGAGGACGGCTACAAAGTAGCCGCCATCGCCCAACGCAGATCCACCGGAAGTCCAGACATGCAATATTAAGATGCCCTGGAACACCGTCTCATGAAGTCTAAGGAGATGTTAACTGTAATTCTTTAATTTTCAGAGCGTACCTCTTTTCTGGAGCATTTCTGGATGCCCTGTCAGGAAGGCAATCAAAATTTGCATCTTCGCTGCCGACAGACGCACTGTTTCTATTTTTCTTAGTCCCATTTCGAAACATCTCAAGGGCGGTTTTCAATTCTTCTTCATCCACTTTGAAGACATTTTTGTACAGAGTTTCGTAAAGGACAGCTAGGCAAATAAAGGGCTGCATCTTTATAAACAGTTTATAAGCTGGAACACACTTTTGAACACAATAGTTTTTCTCCAATTGCTACGTATGGCTGTGAAATGTGGACTCTGAAAAAGGCAGATAGGAGAAGGGTGGGACGCTTGAACTGTGGTACTGGAGGCGTCTATTACGCATCCCATGGACTGAAAAAATAACGAAATGCTAGACCGAACCTCACCAAAAATATCACTTGAAGCCAAGATAGCCAAACAGAGGCTGTCATACTTCGGCCATGTCATGAGAGCTGACTTGCTCAAAAAGGCAATCATGCTGGGAGTGATCAGCGGAAAAAGGACAAGGGGCCACTTTAGTATCCACTGGCTGGACACAATAAAGGATGACACCAGGATGACCATGGCGGATCTGAAGGAGGAGCTGCGAGACAGATGGAGATTGCTGGTCCATAGAGTGTCCAAGGGTCAAACACAACTAAATGGAGGACAACAGCACACTTTTAAAATTAGGGGATTTCTGGGAAGTTAACATCTTACACAGGATAGATTTATTATTATGCTACTTAAAATAGAGTGGTGGTATAGAAAAGGCAATGTTTTATTTACCCTGGCAGATTGCAGCACTGGCTTGAAATTGTTTGGTATACACAGAATCATAATGACCATTACTGGAACAGCACAGTAGAATCTGAAAGGCAGAAATCTGACTTTAAAAATAATGCTGGGAATCCGAAAACATGTGTAGTTTTGATCACCACATAGAGGAGCAGTCAGAATGCTTCCCCCGTTGACAGAAGTTAAATGTCATTCATAGATTAAATGCAAAAATGATTTACATACAAATAAAAAGGGTGCATTTAAAATTAATGTCTACATATAAAAGAAAAGCATAATGCACGATAGTTCTTATGAGATTATATTTATGAAGCATGTTTTGCAAACACTATTGTTTTGTGTCGTAAACTGATTTGTACGATTGTAAACGTATCCAGTTATATATCACAAGGAGAGAGCTGTCCAATTAATCAGGACACCATTAATCTATTAACTCTTTCTAAATGCCCTACTTTACTTATTTGGGTATGATAAAGGTATGGTATTAAGGGGATAGCATATTTTTTTAATATTCATACATCTTAGAATGAGATTATCCTATAGGATCCTGTTTGACTACAGTGGTCTTGTAACACAGGTGCAAATAAAATTAAAGAGATGGCATATACTTTACACTTCCATATAAATGTGACGCTGTGAAATGAATCATATAAATCTTTTACAGTTCATGAAATGTCTCCCTTCAAGTATGTTTCAAGCATTTCAGGAGTGGGATATTAACAAAAAGTTTTATACTTTCCCAATAGCCGAAGTGATTTTTGTACTGTACTTGAGGAAGCTAGAAACAAGACTTCTGCACATCACCTAACACAGGGGTCTTCAACCTTGGCCCTTTTATGACTTGTGAACTTCAACTCCCAGAATTCCTTAGCCAGGCACGCAGGCTGAGGAATTCTGGGAGTTGAAGTCCACAAGTCATAAAAGGGCCAAGTTTGAAGACCGCTGACCTAACACCTAGACTGGTACTCTTGAGTTTTTCTCTCATAAGCCAAGTTCACTTACCTTGTCTTCAAAGCCATTATCAGTGGCGTAAGAAGCAGGTTTCCCAGGATGCCGATAAAGAATGAAGTCTCGGCTAATTAATTTCAAAGGTAAGAGAGACAGAAAATAAAAATAAGTTGCCTTTCTTGGAAGTGTATGACCAGTCATCTCTTCAAGGTAATTCAGGTCAAGAAATAAGACCCCATAACTTTGATTGAAACTCTTCTGAGCCAGTATTTCCCAACATCTAGACCAGTGGTTCTCAACCTTTTTAATGCTGCGACCCCCAACCGGTCGTAAGTCGAGGACTACTCAACTGGTCGTAAGTCGAGGACCACTCAATTGGTGCAGCACCGTTTGCAGAATGGGACTTTTGGCGGGCTCAGCAAGGCAGAGACAGCCTGGACAATTCCTATTGGCTTTTGAAAGCCAATAGAATTAGACTCTATTCAAGAGAGTCTATTCTATTGGCTTTCAGAAGCCAATAGAATAAAAGGGAGTAGCACAGCTAAGGAAAAGGGGGGGAAAAAGGCGGACTGCATTGTTTGGCAACCCCCGTGAAATGGTCGTTCGACCCCAAATGGGGTCCCGACCCACAGGTTGAGAACCACTGATTTAAAGCTAGTGATAGATTTTTCTGTGATGTATTTCTGACAACAAAAAGTGTAACCCTATGACAGGTCTTTATTTTTTTCTGAACATATTGCCAATTATTGAGGTCTCCTCTAGTTTACAATAAAGTGTAAGATGAAACTAAATCAGTCTTTAGATTGGAAGTCAACTTCTCTCCCAATATCTAAGCAAGATCCAGAAAAGGAAAGAGCAAAACAAGGAACACACACACAGAGATAGATGAAAACGTAAAGTACTGATAGTTTATTCTTTGGACACTTTAAACAGGGGGTGTCCAACCTTGGCAACTGTAAGTCTTGTGGACTTCCAATTCCCAGAATTCCCCAGCCAAAATCTAGACAAGAATGCAGTCTACAGTTTGAAACATGGCCAAATGGAATTCACTTGATTTAACCTAACCGTAATTATTTCTAAGAGTCCTAAAGATGCAAGAAAGGAGGATTTGATAAAACTGGAGAAAGGAATAGCGAAACAAAGTTAAAAACAGTGATTCTACTGCAGAATGTCCCACCCTGTAGAACCTAATGATCTTCAAGTAAGTGCAGCCAATGAAAGAGGGGTACCATCTCTGCTATAGGGCAACACTAATTTCAAATATAATATATTGGTAGATTATTAGTCCAGCCAACTGACCAAGCAAAATGATTGGCACATGATGGATCATGAAAGAAGACCCTCTCCCCCACACACTACTGTAGTTATTTCAGTGAGTGAGGTTTGTGCAACCTCCAGATGTTTTGGAAAAATAAAACAGAATCGCACATAAGACAGTCTCTGGATTTCCAGGCTCTGCTTGTCTACCCAGCTGGCAAAGCTTCCCAATAGTGCTGCTTCTGGTAGCTTTTCTGCTACTAAACACTTCTTGTAAGTTACAAGTAGCTCTGTGCTTTTTTTTTTTTATCCATCAGAAATCAAAGCAGCTGGAACTCATTTTATTCACCTTAGATTCATAGAATCATAGGACTGGAAGTGATCTTGGAAGTCTCCCAGTCCATCCCCTTGCTCAAGGCAGGAGACTTTATACCAGTTCTTCCACAGAATCATAGACAGAAGCTAGCTGATTTTATTCACCTTAGATTCACAGAATCATAGGGCTGGAAGGGATCTTGGAGGTCTTCTAGTCCAACCCACTGCTTAAGGCAGGAGACCCTATACCATTCCCAGCAAATGGCTGTCCAATCTCTTCTTAAAAACCTCCAGTGATGGAGCATCCAGAACTTCCAGAAGAAAGCCGTTCCACTGATTAACGTTCTCACATATGAAGCTGTTCCACTACACTTTTTTACCAACTCAGTATTTTTTATTCCTTTGGTCTTAAAATTCCTGCTGTGATAAATTGTCCCAGCAGTTTTAATTTGATAGCTAAATGCCTACAAAAGTCTTGGAAGCTGCTTCTATTAGTTAGCCTTTAATTTATAATTTTAGATAACAGGTTTTATGGTATTTTTATGGCATTTGACTGTACCCCCGTCTTGAGAAAGCTTATTTAAAAGGCAGCATGTAAATCACCAATGGATCAAGGAAAATGATGCTATGTTGCTTTTAAGACAGATCCAATAAATTCTTGCTAGAGAATAGTGATTGCCAAATAGATTTACATCCTGTTCGAACATGGATTCGGATCATTTTTATTACTGCTAAGAGCTGTAAGTGGTGGAAACTCTTTGATATCTATGAAGGAACAAATGATGAATACCTTCTTGGGTTCCATGTGCTTCTATTAAGTTGCAAGATGTATATTTTGTTTAAATAATAGAAGAGATCAAGTTCTGACATTCAAAAATGTAATATAGTACTTACTTATAAATCAGTGAGAAGGCACTAATCTCAAGTTGTCCAGCACTTTCCTGTTTAACAGAAGGGAAATGAAGTGACTACTTTGCAATATAACAATTCTGGGGTGGCTCCAACATAAGCCCTCATCTAATGCTCAATCTAGTTAATGACGCAAGCATTAATGTTCATACAAGATTGCCATAATGCATGCCACACAGAGGTCTCCTTGAAGGCAATTCAAACACAGCAGTGAGTTCCCAAATCAAGCAGCTACATGATTGTCCCAAAGAACTGAAAAAGCTTCTTGGATAAGAAGCGAAACATCTTCAAAGGCAAAAACAAGAAACTCCAGTTGCCTCATTAAAAAAAGCATCTTTGGGACAGCTATGGCCTGGATGATTGAGAATCTCCATGGACATTCAGCTACAATTCAGCGGTCTTCAAACTTGGCAACTTTAAGATTTCTGGACTTCAACTCCCAGAATTCCTCAGCCAGCCCTGGAATTCTGGGAGTTGAAGTCCTCAAGTCTTAAAGTTGCCAAATTTGAAGACCCTTGGGCTACATGACTGAGTCAAATTAGAAGAGGGATCTCCAAACCTAGCAACTTTAAGACTTGTAGACTTCAACTCCTAGAATTCCCCAGCCAGCCATGGGGAATTTTGAAGTCCATAAGTCTTAAAGTTGCCAAGGTTGGCAACCCCTGATTTAGACTATCTAACATTGGTTACATTGGAGATAGTCCTTGACTTATGACTATTTGTTTAGTGACCATTTGAATTTATACCAATGCTGAAAAAAACATAGTGCTTTACAGCCCTCTCCAAGCTGTTTACAAAGTCAGCCTATGGCCCGCAACACTCTGGGTCCTCATTTTACCAACCTCAGAAGGATGGAAGGCTGAGTCAACCTTTGAGCGGGTCAGGATCGAACTCCAAGCTGTGGGCAGAGTTAGCCCGCAATACTGCATTCTAACCACCGCGCCACCAGGGCTCATAAATACATGCCAGTTGCCAAGCACCTAAATTCTGACCATGTGACCACGGGGATGTTGCAACAATCATTAAGTGTGAAAAATGGTCCTAAGTCACTTTTTTCAGTGTTGTTGTAACTTGGAAGGGTTACTAAATGAATTGTTGCAAGTCCAGGGCTACTTTGTCCAGCTTGATATTTTACACTGCTTAAAACTTTTGTGGGTTTCTCGTTCAGTGGCTCCGATGAATCCAGAGCAAATTTGCTAAATCTTTCTTACCTTCGGATTTCCAAGTCGTTGCAAGTATTTTTCAAATGAGCCTTCCACATACTTGATAAGAAAGAAAGAAAGAAAGAAATTAGAGATTCTGCTTTTACTCAACATCCTAAAATCTGAGTAAAACCTCCAACTCTTGTTTAGACTACCAATCTCTGAAAGCCATAACTTTGCATTCATGTTTGATGCTATGAAGAACTTCCGGGTTGAAAGGATTAGCAGGTGATATCACTGTTGCCTTGGGGATGCCCAGTTGGGGGGCTCCTTTCATGGAGTAAAGGACCACAGTTCAACCCTGCCTCAAGCAACTCTCAGCTCTCAAACGTGTGCTTACTAACCTCTTGCCCAGTGTCCCAACTACTTGCACTCTAAGGGCCACCACTGACTCGCGCTCATACATGGTTACAGCACATAATTAATTGACCAAAACTGTGCCTTGTGAATCTATGATTTCACCTTGAAACATCACAGTAAATCCATCGTCAGATGTTGCAACATGAAAGAAAGTACTAAATAAAGTAGGAGAAGAACTGAGCCAGTCTATAGTGGGAAAATATCAGGAGCCTATAACACAGGGGTAGTCAACCTTGGCTTTTTTATGACTCGTGGAGTTCTGGGAATTGAAGTCCACGAGTCATAAAAGAGCCAAGGTTAGCTGGCTCAGGAATTCTGGGAGTTGAAGTCCACGAGTCATAAAAGAGCCAAGGTTGACTACCCCTGCTATAACACCTTTTCCAGGTAACATAGGTTTTTGCAAACTACAATTCCCTTCATTAGATACACAGTGGTTAACTATTTTATGCTGCTGATAAAGGGAGCGGCAGCTCACAAAAACGTGTGCCTTTTAATAACATTTGGAAAGATGCTACAGACTTCTGATTTTTGCCAATAAAGACTGACACAACTTCTTCCCCCTATAACTGACACGACACAATAAATCAAAGTGTCTCGATTTGGAAATGTGACAGAATAAAGTATGTATGTGCCTATATAGATATCTACAAATGGATTTAAAAGTGTTTCAGTCATACTGAAATGCACACAGAGGGGAGTGGGTTACTGATGGCACCTAGTTCAATAATGAAATATCTTCAAGAAACCCACCAAGTTCAGAGAACAGCAGGGACCCCACATACTGAAATGATTTGACACAATATTTTTTATTAAACTTCAATGACGTCTGACAGTCAACTCCAAGCAGCTAAGAAAATTACCATAAAATAACAATATAATAAAAATTAGGATTCAATTCCGCAGCTAAAGTCATTTCAAAATTAAAAACAAATTAAATGTATTATATGTGGTTGGATAAGTTTATGTATACATGCTTCTAAAACAAATATACTCACGGACTCAAAATTTATCTGGTTTTTCCTCATGAAGGAAACACAAGCATTTCTGACTGCCGTGTGATGAATCTGACAGGCATAAACCTTAAAAAAGTGGAGATATCAATTAAAAAATTATGGCAGTATGAGCCAACTACAGTTTCACGAAGCAGAATAGAGCTATGCGCAAATTATATCTCTGTTCTGAAGCATCAGAGTTATTAATGCTTGCCAACATATTCAAAGATTAAGACAATAAGAAAATCCTTTAACTTTGGAATGTAATTCATGTTACCTTGTCTTAAAAGCATCAAAAAAATAGGAGCAAAAATAAACAACAGCATGATTCTTCTGTCTGATACTAAATTCAGGGCTCAGAAAACATACAAGCCTACCAGGTTTAGTCTTAACCTTTCTTTGGTGAGATTCCGAAACAGTTTAAATCTTGTACAAAGTACATTTGTTCAACAAATGGTCTTTGGGTCACTTCTAGTCAAAATAAGCAGATCCACTGTTATTTCAAATTAGCTAGATAAGAGGTCAAGCATTATGAATACTCCATAGTGATCCATAAATGGCTTACATTAAAGCAGCGTTTCCCAACCTTAGCCATTTAAAGAGATGTGGACTTCAATTCCCAGAATACCCCAGCCAGCAATGCATATTCTGGGAGTTGAAGTCCACACTCTTAAAATGGCTAAGGTTGCAAAACACTTTATTAGAGTAGGAGTCCTCAACCTTGGCAACTTTTAAGACTTGTGGACTTCAAGTCCCAGAATTCCTCAGCCAGCCAGGAATTCTGGGAGTTGAAGTCCACAAGTCTTAAAGTTGCCAAAGTTGAGGACCCCTGTATTAGAGCATTCATAATTATTCCCAGAGACCCATTACATCTCAAAGTAGTCCATGGAACTCAGATGGAGAAGAGGCTACAGGTCCTTAGCTACTCAAAACAGTTTTTTAAGTGTCGAATGTTTGTTTACAAACCATGTTACATCACCTTGCAGTCCAGGCAAAACCTCAAGCACACCATACTTACCCATAACTCAAATCCGAAGTACAAAGAATAACCCCTTAAAAAACTGTTACAAACTCTGCTAGTTTTTGCATGACATGATCATGATTTTTCTCAAGCAAAATAATAAAAGGTATTAAGTTTGGTACTATTCTTTCGGCCCAACAAATCAGTTGGGTGCCAATCCAAAAAGAGGCAGCACATCAACTTTGCCATTTCTTGGTGTTGTGTGTGTGTGTGTGTGTGTGTGTGTGTGTGTTAAATTCCCAGAATTCCCCAGCTGGCGTCGTCACTTGCTGAGAATCTCAAGAGCAGAGGTTTGGATACCTGTAGGTGTCTCCAGTTAGAAAGGCTGCGTTACATAAACTATCAAATATTCTATTATTACTTGGGCAAAGACTTTCCACCCTCTTACTCTGCATTTAAATTCTATCAGAACAAATACTACTCTAGGTTCTGTTTTCTAAAAAGAAAAGTGGAAAAATGTCCGCAAACCAAGTTCTCTACTCCTGGTGTATACAGTACAGATCTTTTCAGGGCAACCATACAAAAGAGATTTTTCACTGAAACGTCTAGGTTGCATTCTGGATTTATTACAGCTATGCTGTCACCTGCTAGTTCCCAGTCAAGTACTAACCAGGCTTAACCTAGTTTAAGAGCCTGAGCAAAACTGGCCAGTGCTGAGCTACAGAACAGCAAAGTTGGTTGAATTTCCTGAACTGCGTTTATGCAGTCAACTTGGAACACAGCCCACCTAAACAGCAATTGAGTTCACATTGCTAAACCCCATTTTAACCACAGCAGCCAGGTAAGCCACTATGTATCAGTAAACTGACTACAAATGAAGGTAGCTGGAAGTCAAACCCAACCCATGTTTGAAGTTTAACCCACGGTAGGGAACCAAACTCGTTTAAAAGTTGCTTGTAAGTTAGACCCGGTTTAAAATAAAAAGAGCAAGCAGGACCATTTCACCTGAAATGCATTATCTTAGGATATGCTTCTGTGTCAACCAATTCACTGACTGCAATTTATCCCGGGATAATCTTTTCCCCTCTACAAGGCAACCGGTAAGGGGGGGGGGGGAAGCGCATCCAACCCCCTTTTACCAAACCAGAAACACAACTCCACACTTTCACTTAAAGCCAAGGAGGTCGGCGGTGGGAAGGGGTCTAAGTCGTTGCATCTTCCGCTTGGCCGCTACCCTGCTTGGAAAGAGAACCCCCCCAAAAAAAGCCAACATTGACGAGAAGGAGGAAGAGAAGGGGTTTTCACCCCCTTTGCCCCCCCAAAAAAGCCGGAGCTCAGCCCTACTCGGGGCCAAAAGCGGAGTGGAGGGGCGTCCCCACGGGCCAGCCCGGGCTTTACCTGCTCGGAAATGGCCCGGAAGAGGCAAGTGGCGTCTTTGGCCGTGAGCTTGCGGTAGAGCCCCTGGCTGCCCAGGTACTCGTCCATGGTCACCTCGCTGAGGGACTTCTGGCCAAAGTACTTCTTCCAGCCCTTCTGCATGGCCAAGGCGGGGGGGGGGGGGAAGAGAGGCAGGCAGGCGAGGCTGCGGGGAGCGCAACCCCAGGAAAAGGCGCCCGGCGGGGGGGGGAACCAAGCGGGGGTCCCCAAGCGGGCAGAGCGCGGGGAAGCGGGGGGCGAGCAGCGCGCAAAGGGTCGAGGCGAGGGGCGAGCGCTGCCGGGGAGGAGGGTGTGGTCCGGGCCGGCCCTTTCAAGGCGAGGGCGAGGCGGGGCAGGGCGGCGGCCGGAGTGTGTGTGTGGTGGTGGGGGGGTAGGAGTCGTCTCAGCTGTCTGCAATCTGGCCCGGGCCAAGCGCGCGCCCGGCTCACGTGGGAAAGCAGCACGTGGCGGCAGCCCGCCTTTGCTTTTCCACGAGGCGCGTCGGGGGTGGCTGAGATCCAGGGCTCGTGGCTGGCCGGAGGGGGGTGGGTGGGGGTCCGGAGGGCGAAGGAAGCCCCTCGTGGCCCTGACTGTAGGGACGTGTGTGTGTGTGTGGGGCGTCTCTGTGGTCCAGTCTGTTTGACTGGTCAAAACTGGTTAAGACTGGAGACCTTGACCGGGATGGTATATATAAGGTCTCCTGTCTTGAGCAAGGGGTTGGACTAGAAGACCTCTGACGCCCCTTCCAGGCTTAGGATACTGTGTTCTATGATTAGTTAGTGAATTAGCTTTGTTTATTGTGGGGGTTCGGGTGGGTTAAGGAAGGCTCCAGGTGTTGCACATAGACGCGTTGACCTAGCGGCTGGGTTCCCACCATGCATTTACCTGTAATTAACTGGATCATTACTTAGACAATTACCAGATCTCCCCGTGGATTGGCGATTACAGGCAAAACGAGGACCTGTAAAATAACCCATGGGCTTGGTTTAGGCAGTGTGTGCTAAATTAAAGTAAAAGGGGTTGTAATATTTTCATAGACAGTAATGGTTCAGCCAGTTCAGCTTGCTAACCGTGGTTTATCCTAATCTGCAGACAGCTGTTTGACAACATGCTGGGTTGTCACCTGTTGTTTTCTCTACTTCAGTGGTTCTTAACCTGTTTGACTGAATCGCCCCCTTGAGCCAATGAGGAAGTTGTCATCGCCCCCCTCCCCCAACATAACCTCTCAATCACAACATAGGAAACAATTCTTCAATTTATGCAAACACTTTTTTGTTTTTTTTAAAATTGTCATCGGGATATATCAATGCAAATAATTTATTTCCAGTCTTTTTCCCATATCTCCCATATTCTGGCCAATGGCGCACCACTGTATGGGTAGAAGCTGCTGCACAACGTGCATGAAGATAAGCAATGCATATTCACATATGTACGGCATTCTGTACTGAAGCTAGCTGGAGGAACCTTTAAAAACACAATTCAGTCCACTAATAGCGAGTGATCTGATGTTTTTGTACGACAGCTATACAGCGATTCACTGTACGAAAAAGTCTCAAAAGTGTCCCCAAAATGTCTTGCTCCATCGCCTCCTTTTCGTTCCTTCGCCCCCGTGACGCCCCTTTTCATTCCATCGCCCCCCTGAAAATTGAAATCGCCCCCTGGGGGGCAATATCGGCCAGGTTAAGAACCACTGCAGTAGAGGATGCAAAAGGGAATTACAGATATCGTCCCAGGATGGAAGCAGTTCCTAGTAAGGCTGCCTTTTGCAATTGACTAATGGCGAATTTGTCAATGCCAATGATGTTCAAGTGGTGCTCCAGTTGTTTTGGGATTATTATTATTATTATTTTGCAGGCAGCATGCAGCCTAAGATTTGAACTTAGGGTAAGTTGAGTTAAAAGATTTACCCTAACCATAATTACCTGTTAGAGTCCCAGAAGTGTAAGGAAGAAGGAATGGCTGGAAAAAACTGGAAGAAAAAACACAAAAACGGCATTGGGGAATTGAGTGATTCTACTGCTGATTGTCCCACCATGGGGCCCTCCTGATCTTTAATTGCAGGCAGTTAAAAGAAGTTCTCCATCTTTGACAGGGAGCAAACTTAATTTCAAATATGACCAATAATTGAGCCGACTGACCAAGCAAAATGATTGGCTCGGAGATTCTTATGTATTTAGGTCCAACCAGAGAGTGGGGCTAATGGTCCCCAAGAAAAGAAAAGAAGACCCAAATCAAATTGTGAAAATGTGAACAGACCAAAGAATCAAGAGAAGAAGGGTTTATAGATTGCACAGAATTTGTGTTTTTTTATGCAGAATGATGACAGGATTTAGACGTTTAAATAGCATGGGAGCCTCTTGGCTATTCATATTAATTTGATGAATTTATATAGGAAACATTATTACATTGATCATGGTTTGTTGAATGAGCCGTGATTGCCTAAGTCACAAATCATGTGTTTGGTTCATCTACTGTGGGAAATCATCCCGCTTAATCATGTTTTACTGAATGAGACTTGAGTTTACATAACATAAATATCATAACACAGATTGGTTTTGGCACTTTGTCCACTGTGTGAATCAAGCCAAAAGCCTCTTTGCATTACGTGCCAGGCAAGGTATATTCTCATCTCTGTTTTAGGTTTACAAAATGTGGTATAAAAATTTCAGCTGGTTTCACACAAAAGCTGGCCCTACTGAATGCTTTAATTCTTAATTTCATTGGAGGTGACAAATACTGTTGTAAGCTTGCATAGGTCTTAGTCCAGTTTCAGTTCTGGCAGCAATTTGTTATACCGCACGTAGCTAACTGCCAATCACGTTGTCTAAGAAAGCAGCAAATTTTTCTGGCTGTCCAGGAAGGAATGGCTTCAGAGTAGACAAGTCCATTGATCTGAGCATCTCCACAAGGGTCCTATGAAAAAGAGAGAAAATCAAAATCATCACAAAATACTTCTCACACATGTATCTTGGTTTTCCTATAGTCTTGGACTATGTGGTCACTGAATTTGAAACTTTGCTTCACACCAGCGATAGAAAGAAATCCCAGGTCTTCAGGAACTCAGCCCCGCATAGCGGAAGTTTTCAACTGTGAAAACAAGCTGATTTATTGTAGAAAAGAAAGAAGTCATACAGCATATACAAAAAAAAGCCAGGAATCAATCTCTTCATGAAGTACACGCTACCATTCAATTTCCAGGCCTTTTCTCCTTGTTTTTCAAGACATTATGCTTTTGGCTTCCTTTTCGCCGTCTTGAAAGTCAGACATTCCTGTTCCATGTTTATATAACAATTTTGTCTGGCCTAACAATCCTTGGTTCCTGCCTCATCAGCTTCCACAGAAATGTCTCCACATGCCGATATCTGACTCATCAAAATTTTCCATTCATAAACAAGAATCTAGTATACTAAGACTGTTCCTTATGCATTTTAGAATTATTTTAAAGCAATGCCTACTGTTTATATTCTCCAGAAGGTTTTAAAATAGCGCACCAAATACAGTTAAGACATCATCAGTTATATTCAAAAACTCAAGGATCCGAAACACAATGTGTTTACATAAATGAAAAAGTCATATGCCGGTATAACGTGACAGCCTAGATCATGTAACACATTGAGGCCATGACTGGGCTACCCCAACATATTGAAACACAAATTATCCGGCCTCATTTTAGCCTAGCATGTTATACAAACCCAGTGTCAACGCTGCCAACAGCCCTCTTTTACCTTTTGCTTTTAGAGTTAGATGATGTTGGGAAGAGGGGTGTGAACGAGAATCCAGCTAGACATAACAATACTAAACCTAGCGTGAGAAACAAGGTTATTGTAACCAAGGTTATTCTATTCTATTCTATTCTATTCTATTCTATTCTATTCTATTCTATTCTATTCTATTCCTATTCTATTTCTATTTCTGTTCTGTTCTGTTCCATTCCGTTCTATATTCCGTTCTATATTCTATTCTATATTCTATTCTATATTCTACTCTATTCTACTCTATTTTCAGCTTTGCCAGCTTCAGCCCTCACACCATGGCACAGAGGGTTTGGCATTGCTTTAAAAACAAATTGGCTGTTAGATTGGAAGAAATTATCTGGATCTCTTTGAAACTTTCCAGCCATTTCCTTCTAGCAGTTCAGGAAGCAGAAGAAGACAAGATCTTCATGAAATCCTCTGTGAGATTAATCAGCAGGCAGAAGAACGTCCATTCCAAATGAACCAGGAGTTGTGCTGTATGCCCACAAGAGGGCAGACTTATAAAGAAAGTCCAGAGCAGGGGTCTTCAAACTTGGCCCTTTTATGACTTGAGGACTTCAACTCCCAGAATTCCTCAGCCAGCGTGCTTGGCTGAGGAATTCTGGGAGTTGAAGTCCACAAGTCATAAAAGGGCCAGGTTTGAAGACACCTGGTTCAGAGAATGGTCCCTGTCGGCACCATGGACAGCTCCCACCTAATAGGCAAAGGACTTGTAAGAAGTTGGCAAATCTAGACTGAGCACTTAGAGTTCAGCAATGCCGGGTGCCAGATCTAGAGTCTAGACAAAGCTGAAAATTGTTTTCTTCCCCCAAACTGAACCAAAGGAACAAGAAAATATCAAAGAGCCTCACTTTACTGGTTTGATTAGGAAATACACATCCTCACAAGCTGTTACTACTAAACAATAGAATATTTATATCCTGACTATAGTTAGGATTAAAAGTTCATGTACTGCTCTGGTTCTTCATAATAGTGAGGGTTCAGGATAAGGAAATTGATTATATTACTGGTTTAGGAGAAGTTTCACAGGATCTCTGGTTCAAATTTGTTCCCAGAAAGCATGAAATAGGAGGAGGAAGGAACATGAGTTATATTCACCATCTTGAGTTATCTGTTAAAATAATAACGTGTGGATAAAATATCTAAAGGAAATAAACAATAAAATTAAGGAATTACCCCATGGCTACAGCACAAAAAAGACATATCTGCTTTGCTTAGTTCAGATCTTAAGATAACTGAAGCACCATCCTTGGCAACGGTGAAACTGAAGACCCAAAAAGCAACTAACTGCTGTGCTTTCATTTGTTGACTTAAGAGCCAAGAACATCTCAATGGCAACTAAGGAGATTATGAAAACCCATACTTGCATGTGCAGTAAAAGAGATGTCCATCTTTGTGCAGCTGCCTGGCCAGTTCCAACTGATGGTTGTCCATAAGTTGGTCATTGATCACAACCAGGAGAGGTTTCCCAGCTTCCAAAACTTCCAAACAGCTGCCTGCTCCTGTGGCAGAAGAACCAGAACCGGATCATTCTACTTGACATAGCAGCACCTGTCCATCAAAAATGGGTTGATAGGAACCAACCTTCTTTGGATTAAATTACAAGGCTTCCCTTGCCCATGGCCAGATTGCATTCTTTCATGAGCGGAAGAGAAATTGTAGAATAAAAGTCAGAGGTGTTTGAGCTAGGTACCCCATCTACCTCTAAAAGTCTTGGGCTGTGGATATTCTTTCTTTCTTTCTTTCTTTCTTTCTTTCTTTCTTTCTTTCTTTCTTTCTTTCTTTCTTTCTTTCTGTTTCTTTCTTTTTTCTTCTTTCTCTCTCTCTCTCTTTCTTTTCTGTCTCTCTCTCTCTCTCTCTTCCTTCCTTTCCTTTCCTTTCCTTTCCTTTCCTTTCCTTTCCTTTCTTCAATCATTCAGTAAATCCAAAAAATAAGGGAATCCTTTTGCTTTCTAACTGTTGCATTTAATGTCACAGAAGGATAAAATGAATCAATAGTCACGGGGTGATCTTATTTACAGTATTAAATTAAGTCCAATTATGCTTTGGTTTTATTCTGGTTCTGCTCGCTTCTTTGTTTTAGCCACAGCCATGTTTTGGAACATGCCAATCAATAATGACAAGTGGATCAGGGATTCTAAAATGGTTGCATTCTTTTAAGAAAAACTAGTAATACATTACAGGGACCATTCCTGGACAACTGACTTCTAGGCCTCTTATAAGCGCAGATTGATAGGGTTTTGTAATGAATCAGCAGATGCTCCAGAGAGCACCTACCTTTAGTTATTTGTCTTAAAAGAAATTGGAGGGAGGAATCTTTTTTATCATGAACAGTGACAGCCAGTTTTGTCTAGGGCTTAAAGGGGCAGGCTAGAAACCAGGGGGTTCTGTGTTCTAGTCCCTCCTTAGGCATGACTGTGTGACTTTGGTCAATCGTTAGGAGACAATGAATTTTAGTCCCATCTTAGGCGTGAAAGTCAAGCTGGATGACTTTGGGCCAATCACTGTTTCTCTCTCTCTGCCAAACCTACCTCACAGTTATAGTGAGGAAGAGGAGGGACCCATCTTGAATTGTGCAAAATAAAGGCAGCATTAAATCTAGTAAATAAACATGCACAACTTTGGTGATAAGGCAAAGAAATATTGGAATAGGATTCATACATTAATGCAGAACATTCTTGAAGTGAACACCAAGATTAAACCAGAAATTTTCCTTCTGGGTCTAATGGAAAGAGAACTAGAAAAAATATTTGGAACTCTGATTTTATATATGGTGCCTGCAGCGAGATTGCTCTATGCACAAAAGTGGAAGGAGGCCTCGATTCCTACTATGGACGAACAGTTACAAAAGCTGATGGGATTAGCAGAGATGGCCAAACTGACTGAGCTGATAAAAGAAAAGAACATAAGTCCTTTTGTTTCTACTTGGAAACTGCTTCTGGACTATGTGCTTGAGGTGGGGAAAAAATGATATTATGATTTGGGGTTTTACCAATTAGACTGATTTGCCAATATAGAAATGGCTAGTGCGTACTGCTAGAGAAATGCAAAAAGCTGAGATTTGATCTTAATGTCTGATTTTCCTGCAAGAGAGAGAGTCAGAAACCAATGCCTTTTGTCTCTTCCCCTCCTCTTCTTCACACCTTTTTTGTTTTTTTCTTTTTCTACTGTTGTCCCCTATTTGCTTTTGTATTTTCACATTTTGTTATAAATGAATAAAACTAATAAAAATGAATAAATAAATAAACACACACAACTTTGACATAGCTTCTACCTATATATACCAGCAGCTGGTCTTGCATAAAAAAATGTACAAATCCATACTGGGACTATAACTTGCTTAGCTAAGGCTACAGAAGAAATGTACTCCTTTCTAACATTTTTAGAAATTGTTTGGGCTATATTAGGTTGCAGACATATCCATGACTGCTTATAGTTAATCACTGACCATAAATACAATAAAAGTATCTATAGTTCATGTTGTCCCTTGAACACAAGACATTTCTCTTTTAAATCCCACCTTCCCATTTGTTTCCAGGGGGTAGTACTCTACATAAATAAAGGACATAAATAAATGTTCCAGTTTTCCACATATAAAGACAAATTATCTTCCTATGTTGCTCTTGGATCTTTTCGGTGGGGTGAGCAAAGCGTGGCCAAAAGAGACTGGATGTTTGTACTGAGATGCTTTACCTGCGTGGCTTATGACCAGATCTGCTTTTTTCACATCTTCAGAAAGTGAGCTCTTGAATCTGAACACTTCCAGAGTAAGTGCGGCTGTGCTAAATGGATCTGGACATTCCTTGCCCCGGCCAACCTGAAGGACGAGCTTGTAATAGCCGAGATCCTGTAAAACCTGCAATCAGAAAGAAACATGTATTCTCCCTGAGGTTACAAATACAAACTTGTTAGAAGCTGCAAAGGTGCATTTATTTCATTCCCCAAGGTGAGAAAATGTGCATGACATACTATTGACCACTGTGCTCCTGTATCCTATTGTGAGAGAAAAAGGATTACTAAGGCAATATTGGCTTGGGGGTTTTGGGTAGGTTTTTTTGTGACTTTAAAGCAGTGTTGTCTCCTGGAGACTGCCTGGATGAGTCCCTGCAGTTTTCTTGGCAAGGTTTCCCAAAAGTGGTTTGCCAATGTCACTTTCCCAGAGCTGAGAAAGAGGGACTGGCCCAATCTCACCTAGGTGGCTTCATGAAGAAAAGAAGGACTAGGGGGAGACATAACAGGAGTGTTCCAATTCCACTTTTGGAGATGAGAGAAAAGATAGATAGATAGATAGATAGATAGATAGATAGATAGATAGATAGATAGATAGATAGATAGATAGAAAGATGGATAGATGGATAGATGATTAGATAGATCAGCGGTTCTCAACCTATGGGTCGCGACCCCATTTGGGGTCGATCAACCATTTTTCGGGGGTCTCCAAAGGCGGCGATCCGCCATTTTCTCCCCTCCGGCGGCGGCGCGCATGCGCGCCGCGCATGCCACCACGCATGGGGTGGCGCTGCGCATGCACACTGTGCACGGGAGCGCCGCCGCGCATGCGCACCGTGCATGGGGCGCCGCCGCACATGCACACCGTGCATGGGGGCGCCACCGCGCATGCGCACCTGCGTGGGGCGCTGCCGCGCCGCGCATGCGCATAACGTTTGTGTGACGGGGTTGCCGTCACACAAACGTTGAGAACCGCTGAGATAGATAGATGATAGGTAGGTAGGTAGGTGATAGATAGATAGATAGATAGATAGATAGATAGATAGATAGATAGATAGATAGATAGATAGATGATAGGTAGGTAGGTAGTAGATAGAAAGATGGCTAGATTAGATAGATAGATAGATAGATAGATTGATAGATTGATAGATAGATAGATGATAGATAGGTAGGTGATAGAAAGGGATAGATAGATGAGATAAATATAGAAAGATGGATAGATAGATGATATAGATAGAGATAGATAGATAGATGGATGGATGATAGGTAGGTAGGTGATAGAAAGATGGATAGATGATATAGATAGATAGAGAGACAGACATACAGATAGATAGATGATGGGTAGGTAGGTAGGTGATAGATAGAAAGATGGATAGATGATATAGATAGAAAGATGGATAGATAGATGATATAGATATATAGATAGGTGATAGAAAGATGGATAGATGATATAGATAGATAGATAGATAGATAGATAGATAGATAGATAGATAGATAGATAGATAGATAGATAGATAGATAGATAGATAGACAGACAGAAAGATAGATAGATGATAGGTAGGTGATAGATAGATAGAAAGATGGATAATGATATAGCTAGATAGATGATAGATAGATAGATAGATTCATTCTATATTGGGATTCAATTTGGCCGTGCACGTCTGCATTGGAGCTTCCTTCTGACCGTGCACACACTGGGACTCGCTTTTGAGCATGCATGCACCGCGACTCCCTTTTAAGAGGGTCCCCTTCAATCTGCCTTCTGAATTTATTTTATTTCTTTGGCCAATTCAGGCGGCTTCCTTCCAATTACTGCACAGAGAGGACTCGGGGGAGAACTGCACGGCTCCCCTCCTTCCCCACCAGGATTTTCCCACGCAAGAAAACTTTCAAAGGGGCAGAAAATCCCAGGTTGGAATGCAGAGGGACCATAGAGACAAGGCAGGCCGGTGCCTAGAAAAAGCACAGGAAGTGACGCAAGAAGCGCAACCTCAGTTCTTCCGCCCTTTCGTCGCCCGGCGATTTGTTCTGCGGCGGGGCGCGGGCATTCAAAGACGGTGTCGGGGAAACGGGAAGGGCGGCCTCGGAAGACTTGCCTGGGTCGCTTCGGGGCTCGTCACGGCCGCAATGAGGTCGTCGAAGCTGGTGGTGCCGACGGTAACGAAAACGGACTTCATGGCCGACGAAGAGGCGGAGCGGTGATAGAGAGGTTGGTGGCTGGAACGGCCCCGAGAGCTGCCACACTTCCGGGACGAAAGATCGCCGAAGGGGGTCGCCCTAAGACCTGAAACGCCGGGATGTTATAGAGATATGAAAATAGACGAATACATATCCTGCGATGCACGAATTCCGGGTTCCAATTTAAGTAATGCCAGATTTAAAGTTTTAAAAAAGTGACATGACCATTTTTCACCCTTAACGACCGTCCCTATGGTCATGTGATCAAAATTCAGATACTTGGCAATTGATCTGTACTGGTAGTCCTCAACTTACAACCATGCGTTTAGTGACCAGCACCTGAAAAATATGACTTACAGCCAGTCCTCACACTTACAACCAATGCAGCATCCCCTGGTCACATGATCAGAATTTGATTGCTTGGCATCCAACATGTATTTACAATGGTTGCAGCATCCTGGGTCATGTAATTGCTATTTGCGACCTTCCCAGCCAGGAAGCAAAGACAATGGGGAAAGTGGATTTGCTTAAAGACTGCACGATCCACTTAATGACTGCTGTGATTCTCTTCACAGCTTTGGCAAAAAGAACCCTCATAAAATCAGTCATGACTCACTTCCAACTTCTCTTTGTGCTAAGCTCTGCAGGTCAGATTTGTTTTGCAGATACCAGGAAAAAAGAAGACGCTAGTTTTGTTTTCCAAAACTCCTTTTGAAAAGCTGGTATTTTAGCTGCCACCTTATGCTTACTTGTGCTTGCTGCTATGCAGTGACAGACTGCTTAGAACAGTGATGGCGAAACTTGTAGAGACCGAGTGCCCAAACCACAACCCAAACCCCACTGATTTATCGCAAAGTTCCAGGGCCACATCAGCATTGTGGTGCCCTCGGGGGCGAGGGGGGCCAGGAAGGCGCCCCTGAGTGCTGCCTCTGGCATGCAAAACCCAGGGGCGCAAAAATGAACCACTGTGCTGCAAGGCACAAAAACGGCCGCTGCACTGTGGGGTGCAGATAGAAGGCGCTGCACCACGCAAGAACGGAGCAGGGCTAGTATCATGCAGGCACTAGCCCTGCTCTGTTTGCAGTGCGTGCATGCTCGTGGACCCATGTGTGCACGCATGCATGTAAAATGCTTCCCCCTCCCTTCTAGTCCACCAATCGACAATGGTAGGTGACCTCTGCTGTACCACCTCTACTGGAGCTTGCTAGTCGGCCGCTTCACCTCCTTTGTGCTGGGCGGGGCTCCTGCTCTGGGTGGCGGTGGCAGCCTGATGCACCTGCTGCTGGTGGCGGTGTCATGCGTGCCAACAGAGAGGGCTCTGAGTGCCGCCTCTGGCACGCGTGCCATAGGTTCACCACCACTGGCTTAGAACTTTGGGGAGGGGGGAATAAAAGGGGGAAGACTTGGAGGGAAACGAAAGTAAGTGCTGTATCTCTTTGAGATGCTGCCTCAAGGTCACCCAGGTAGAAGGAGGAGAGAGCTACGTACCAAACTGAGCTTGGGCTGACCGGTACAAAATCATCTCGCCTGAATCTGATTGGTTAAACTGGGGTGGACACTGAGAGATAGTTAAGAGAGGGAAAAGTAGAACACAGGGTCTTTGGCACATGATTCTCAGTTCTGGCTTTGCAATACTACAATATGCCTGATCTCTCTTTTTTATATATATAAAGATTTTATTGGTTTTCTTTTGCTTACATATGTTAATTTTTCCAATCAACGAGTTTTCTGGGGTTAGCTATGCTAATACATATTCGATTCCTAATCCTTCATTCTTTCCTCTAACCAACAATAAAATAAATCCCAAATTTGGTAGTAGTCTGTGTCTTCTTTATCTTTCAGTCTCATAGTTAATCTGTCCATCTCTGCACATTCCAATATTTTTCTGATTATTTCTTCTTCTGATGGCAATCCTTCATTCTTCCAGTATTGTGTGAAGATTATTCTCGCTGCTGTAGTGATGTGTAAAATTAAATATAAACTCTGCTTATTAATCTTTTTAAGCATTATACCTAGTAAAAAAAAGTTCAGGTTTAAAATCAACATGTTCACCTAATATTTTTTCTAACCGTGTATGTATCTTTTTCCAATAAGCCTTAGCTTTGCCACATGTCCACCAAATGTGGTAGTAATACACCTGATCTCTCAATAGACTTTTCTCAACAAATGGGGACAAGGATCATTTCTATTTAGAGGCTTAAGTTGTGGCAGGTCTGACAGCCGGTTCCTTTCTCCCAAGAAGTGCTCTGGGAGGCAGGAGGCTGAGTTCACACCTTATGCTAAACAAAAATGCATTCATGGCTTAGCAAATTCACACTGTATAGTTCAGTGATGGCAAACCTCTTAGAGACCAAGTGCTTAAACTGCAACCCAAAACTTACGTATCGTCGGGTGCCGGGTGGGCGTGGCCCATTGGGTGGGCGTGTCTGGTGGTAACGGCAGACTGGGTGGGATTAAAAAGTTCAATCAATTCCAATTTTGTGAGATCTTTTTTTTCCCCAAGAAGTTGAAATTGATTGATTGATTGAACCTTTTTTTTTTTTTTTTTTTGCACATGGCAGTGGAGGCCTAAAGCGAAAAGCTTTTATAAAACCCAGCTGAAGGCCTAGGACTGGGGCGACAGCGCGCGTGCCCACAGAGAGGGCTCTGAGTGCCGCCTCTGGCACTCGTGCCATAGGTTCGACACCACTGGTATAATTGGCTTCACAGTGTATTCCAAACTAGGGGTCTACAGCCTTGGCTAGCTGTGGTATTCTGGGAGATGAAATCCACAGGTCTTAAAAGTTGCCAAGGTTGGAGACCCCTGTTCTAAACCATACGTTTGGGCTTTTCCAAGAACTGAGCTAAAACACGAAAGCCACATTATAGCACAAAAGCAGAATGAGCAACCTCAGCTAGAGATGGCACTCTAAGGTTATAATTCACAAATAAATAACTAGGTTCTTGCTCATGAGGTGCTTGTAGCTAGAGCTGTATTTGAAGAGATTTGACACTTGTGTAAATACAGCCCGGAAAGGGGGGAGAGGTGAATATTGTTAGCTAACTTCTGTGTGTATGAACTTATCTCAGAAAACATAAGCTGGATTATAGGAAGTTTAGTCTTAACACCCCAATGAGGGCAATGTTATGTCACAATCTCTGATGCCTTTGCTGGGGCTCCTGCTCGCCCTGCTGATCTTCGCTTCTTAATGTGCTGTGGCTGCAAGTTATTTTGTTTAATCCTCCTTAAGAACCGTGCATTTAAGAAAGATAACACCACGCAACCTAATCTCTGCCATATTTGCAACGTCGTGTAAAGGGACGTTTCAAACGTACTCTCTGATTAACTGACAACTTCCACTGAGCTTACACTGCAGCCAGCGGCTTCGATCCTTTGAAAGTAATCCTATCAAAATCCAGCTAGATCTTTAATGATCTGCCATTGAGCCAGGACTGACTCTTTGCGGCCACGTAGATAGATTTTTCCCAGTGTTGATGTGCGCTCATTACCACTCTTAACGGAGTCCACCCATCACGCTGATCGTCCTCTTTCCTTCCCCTTTTCTTAGCATCAGAGCCTTCTTCGGAGAGCTGGGTCTTTGCATAATGCAACTAGGATAATCCAAGTTTGGTTGTTTGGATAATCTGAGTTTCTCAAATGAGAAAACTGGGTTGATTGGTTTGATGTGGCATTTGTTTGTTTTCTCAGCTACGCAGGGTATTCTCAGGAGTCGTCACCAGCTCTAAGTTTAAACTTGGGGGTGTTTTTTGGAAAAGTTTTATTAAATTTTAGGGGGTTACGGGTAAAATGGGTTCAGGGTTAGGATTGGGGTCTGGGTTAGAGTTGGGATCAGGGTTGGAGTTAGGACTGGGGTTTCTGCCAGTAACATTTTCAATATTTAGCAAACAGCATATTGTCTGGGTACATATATTCAAACAGCAATAACAGATATAATACTAAATGATAACAGTAAGTATGGTTAATTATCTTAGACAATATTAGTTAATCACTCCATGTCATCCTTCTTACTAGTATGCATTCAAAGTTATATATTACACTCCTTTCTCTCTGAGTCATTTTTCTAGCCATTGATAAAAATTATCCCATGTTCTAAAGTAAACTGAATTTTCTTTCTCCTTAATCTCTAAAGTCAATCTATCCATTTCTGCACTTGTTAATATAGGTTAGGGGTCTCAAACTCGCCACGTCACGTGACGTGTTGCGATGTATCGCGACTTTTTCCATTGCCGGTGGGCACGATTTCGGCATGATGCATCCAGCCCATGGGCCAGCAGTTGGACACCCCTGATATAGGTAGTCCTCAGCTTACAACTGCAATTGAGCCCAAAATTGATGTCGCTAAGCAAGGTGGCTGCTCAGTGAATTTTGTCCCATTTTATGATCTTTCTTGCCACAGCTCTTAAGTCAATCAATGCAGTGTTTGAGTTGTAAAGTGAGTCTGGCTTCCCCATTGACTTTCTGGACCCAACTGTGGTTCTAAGTCAACAATAATAAAGTGTAGCAACCCAAGGCCTTATGCATCCAGAACAGACATGTCAAACACAAGGCCCAGGGGCCGGATGCGGCCCGCGAAGTGGTTTCATGTGGCCCGTGAAGCCATCCTGGAAACAGTGAGGGAACGGCCCCCGCTGTCTTGGCCCTGGCCCAGGCCAGCCGGGAGCCAATGTACAATTTTGTGGTGGCCATCTATGCTGAAACGCATTCAGTCTTAGCTCCACAAGGCCGTCTAGAAATAGCGAGGAACCAGCCCCTGCCGCGTCGGCCCCACCCTTTGTGAGGAATGAAGAAATGCACCATGCCTTGGCGCTTGCCCCGGTCCCACCCCCTTCTGCCAGAGACCCTCAGATCTGTCCCGCTCCTGCCCAGGCCCCCACAGGCACCCTTGACGCGAACGATGTAGAGCTGCCCATGCCCACCCGATAGGCCACACCCACTCCATCCACGCCCACCAAGTAGGCCACACCCACCCAGCCCCCCCGAGGGCAACCGCAATGCTGATGCGGCCCTCAATGAAATTGAGTTTGACACCCCTGATCCAGAAGGTACAAATTCTTTGTGTGTGTGTGTGACCTGCCCAAACCACAATCACAAGGGAATAAGTCAGGGTACTTGCTTTCAGTTAAGCCAACCTTTTGCACACCAAGTAGCATTTTGGAAGCTGCAGTTGGCCATTTTTGAAAACCTCCAGGGATGGAGCACGATTGTTAAGTGAACCTGACCTCCCCATGGACTTTGCTTGTCCAAAGGTCGCAAAAGGGGATCACATGACCTTGGAACACCGCAACGGTCATAAACGGGAACCAGTTGCTAAGCGTCTGAATTTTGATCTGGTGGGAATGCCTCGGTGATTGTGTGAAAGACGGTCATAAATCACATTTTTCAGTGCTGTTGTACCATTGAACGGTCACTAAATGAACTGCCGTAAGTCGAGGACCAGCTGCATTCCATTGATTAGTTGTTCTCACTCAGTAAGGAAGTTTCTCCTTACTTCTAAGTTAGAACTCTCTTTGACAAGCTTCCACCGAACGCTTCTTGTCCTGCCCTCGAGTGCTTCAGAGACTAAGTCAAGCTCTTAATCTCTGTTACAGCCTCTTAAGTACAGGAAGATACTTCTCACTCCATCCCCCAATCCTTCTCTTCGATAGGCTAGCCCAGGGCTCTTCAAACTTGGCAACTTTAAGACTTGTGGACTTCAACTCCCAGAATACCTCAGCCAGCCAGTTGAAATCCACGAGTCTTAAAGATGCCAAGTTTGAAGACCCCTGGGCTAGACATACCCAGTTCCCACAACTTCATAGTTTTGGGCTGATTCTCTGGCTCTGCTTTCTATCTTTAAAAACAGAATAAAGTCAGGCCGGAGTTGCTCCAGAGAAGCAGAGCTGCCTGACTTTGGGAGTGCCTGCATGCCCCTGAGTTCAGCTGGGGATACTTTCCAAGATCTTGATTGTTTTCTGTTTATAAACAACTTGCCCCAAGGTGCTCATTAGCTGCCAGGATTGCATGTTCAAGTCGAGGGCAGGCTGTGTTTTTGGCTGGTTTTGTTTTTCCATAACCAAGGTAAAGGCATCTGTGTAATCTCTGAGGCTGCAGGAAGGTTCAGTACCATACACCCATCGCCATTAACCTCACCACACCCAGGAGATGCAGATCCTTTTTGATCAAGGTGTTAATCCTGTAGGACCTGCCCCTCCTCTTTGTATGCAGCCGGCTCAGTCACGCAGAAGCATTTGTGGAACCCCCACAATTCTGTCAGCACTGGGTCAGTGCACTAAACCACTGACAGGAAAGCCTCTTTTTTTTTAAAAAAAAATGTTAGTCTCAGTTGCAGATGCAAATTTTATCAAGTAAGGTCTGGATGAATTCTTCATCAGCCAGTTGTGCCGTAAAGGGATACACGGCCTTTAGTTGGGTATCATTTGTGAGTGTTCATAAGAAATATGGAGGAAGAAGTTGTGTTTTTGATGGAAGAGGCAGTTTGGGTTATACCTGTAAAATTCTACTTACAGATTTTACGGGTTTGGGGAGGGACAGCAAAAAAAAAAAAGAAGAATTTGGAGAACGCATTGTCAAAAATCCATATAACACTAGGTTGTCATCTATGACAATCATAGACAAATTTCAAAATTTGAATTTCAAGAATGGACATTTTTGGAGGCTGTGTAGGAAATCAGGGATATACGATAAATGCACGGATTTACATTGAGAAAAATGTAAGTTTTCTTGATAGGTGTATACCAGGTTCAATTGTATGTTAAGAACCACCTATAGCAGAATCTTACAAGCCTGATTGTGCTCCCTTCTTTTTAATCTTTATGACAGGGATCTTCAAACTTGGCAACTTTAAGACTTGTGGACTTCAACTCCTAGAATTCCTGGCTGGCTGAGGAATTCTGGGAGTTGAAGTCCACAAGTCTTAAAGTTGCCAAGTTTGAAGACCTTTGCTTTATGAGTACTAGGGAGGTGAGATGCTGTATTGGGCTACACGTCTGGCCCAGACTCCAATTTTTCTTATCTAATGGTTGGTTTCCTCCTGTTCCTCAAAATTAGATGCTGTGCCCTTTATTTCTTCACAATCCTTAGCCTTAGGTATGTTGAATGGGGTTGTTTGGTCTTGTTGAACCTCAGGTTCTCAGTTTGAAGGAACTCACAGCCGTGTGGTTACTTATCAAAACAATGGTATAGAGCAGGGGTCTTCAGACCTGGCCGTTTTATGATTTGTGGACTTCAACTCCCAGAATTCCTCAGCCAGGTACTCTGGCTGAGGAATTCTGGGAGTTGAAATCCACAAGTCATGGAAGGGCCAAGTTTAAAGACCCCTCGTCTGGATCCAAGCCTGCAGTTTCATCAAAATGGCTGACTGAGGAATTCTGGGAGTTGAAGTCCACAAGTGATAAAAGGACCAAGTTTGAAGACTCCTGGTATAAAGGTTTCTGCTTGGGCAGAGAGGTTGGAGTAGAAGACCTCCAAGGTCCCTTCCAGCTCTTCCGCTATACTGTTATTCAATTGCTGCAATCCCAGATGAAGAACAGCTGTATAATTGCATCTTCTTTTTTCTCCCCTCTCTCTTACACAAATCACCCCAAACTCTCACAGGGGAAGCAACACCCCGAATTAAAGAGAGAGAGAAAAAAAACCACAGTGTATCTTCTAACAAAATACACCACTGTTTTGGACACATTGGAGGAATATGTTCTTGTTATTGTTACAACAGCTGAGAGATGTGTAGTTGCTAATTTTAGCATAGCTTGGATTGGGGAATTTCAAAGTCCACAGAGATAGGGATCCTGGCAGATAAATGTTCTATCCTAGGAGTTCCCCTGGCAGTTTATTTCTAGACCAGACCTATGTAAGTGATATGCAGGGTACAAAACTTCATTTATTTTAAGGATTAGAGCCAGGATATATTCTCTGGGTTTTTTTAAAAGTTTTTATACTCTTAAAAAATGAGAAAATGGATCAATATGTTTCTTTAGTTCTAGATTTAATGATAAGTTTGGCTTAACTTTGTTATCTTTAAGTGGTTTAACTTTATTATCTGTATTTATTATTTTCTCTTTTCATTTTTAATTTCCTGGTTGGGGGGAGATCAGTTCAATTATACGTTTTTGTTTTTTTAATAGGGACTAGCTGGGAAATCGGTGTCTACTAAAATCTATTTCAACTACATGGACTCTTCGTTCCAATCCTGATACTAGCATTCATGTAGATGAATATACATCAATCTTGTAGAATCTGTTTATTAGACCAGAAGAAGCCACACTTTCCAAAATGGATTTGGCTCCTGCATTTTGAAGTGTCAGCAGAAACTATTTTGGGCATGGTAGTTATATGTTTGGACCAGAATCTTTTGGCTGGAAAGCAGGTCTTCATTTTGCAACCCAAATTTGTAAATCTCATAGGGCAAAAGCAGGCAGGATTTGCTTTCCTTGTTTGTGGCACACACACACCCCCTCCAAAGGACCAACTGTGCATCAGTTGCCATTAGCACTTGTATCATGCGCTAAAAGATACATCTGAGACTTAAGCTTAAGCAGGAATTCCATCATCCATAAATTATAATCTTTTAATAAATGCATATCCAGAAATTCACCAAGGAAACCAATATAAACTGCCCCAGACTTGGAAAACATAAGTGAAAATGCTTAGTATTGGGATGTTTTTTTAGTGTTATGTAAAGGTGTCTTACCAATTTGCATAAATTTGCATGCATGAGTGTCGGTTGCATGGAACATCACAGCGGGTGCCTGTGCAACTCCTAAGGATAAGCAAAACCTGGTGGAAATTTTTAATAACCCATTTTTTTTTTAGGTGAGATTCTCCACATCCTGTGACTCCTTCCATGAATCCCAAAGCAATCCTGCTGCTTTGGGAGGCTGGAGGGCAACTTTAGGTTGATCTAGGCCTCCAGAAGATCTTATTTTAAAAAGTCAAAGGAAAGATAAGAAAAAAAAAGAAAAAAAACAAAATTATAGAATTGTGACTTTCACTCTTCTTTCCTTCTTAAGAAGAGACTGGACAGTCACTTGTCTGAGATGGTATAGGTTCTCTTGCTTGAGCAGGGGGCTGGACTAGAAGACCTCCAAGGTCCTTCCAGCTCTATTCTATTCCATGGAATAGTTACCTTAATCTTAATCTTTCTTTTTATTTGTCTTTGGCAAACATGTTCAAATCCTTCTTTTCTTGGGCATGCAGTTCCAAATGCAAAACTATAGCCCCTCCCTCCCAACTTAAGATGATGGTGATGATCCTTTGAAAATATGATTCAAGCCTTAAAGAGGCAGAGCTGCTAAAATAAATCTAAGACAGACTATAAAAAGCTGTAAATTGCTTTGGGCCAGAACTGGATCAAGGAATGTATTCTTTGGTTGCTGTCTGTGGTCCTGAACTCACAAACCTGTGTCTATTCTTTGCTTCCATAATTGTCTCCCAAGGTCCTGCTTCTGCCCATTGCAGCCTTGCAGCCTTCAGCTGTCCCGAAGCCTGAGTTGCCTGGACAGTTTTCAGCTGGGCCAACGGTGGACAACATCCCCACATTTCATCCAGTGAACCAAAAGATGCATCTTCACATGTCCTTTCTGTGCAACCTGTTATGTCCCATTTTTTTTAAGGGCTGGGAATCCTGGTATGCATTTCCACATCTGTGAATGCCTGGGTGTTCTCCGTTCTCTCTGGAGATGTGGTGATGGGAGATATAACGTGCTTTAAACGGAGGAGCATCGTGAACAGAAGAATGAGCAGGATGGCTAGCAGGGTCAGGAACAGCCCCACGTACATATACAAGTTAGAATATTTATCTGCAGTTGCTGCTTCTGTAGCCAATGTTGGGTGTGGGTGAGCACGGCCAGTAAGATTTCCATGGTGTCTAAAAACAAGTTCAGTCATTGCTTACTCAGGCCTTGTCCATTCTCCTCCACTCACTCATAAACACGTTGCTACTTTTTTACACAGTCCCAAAAAGGAGTTCTTGTTGAATTCATACATTGGAGTATGAGATCAATTTTGGGGGGCACTATAAATCTTTATGTTGCATAGGAAAACTCTTTCATCTTCTCCCAAGGCTTTGCTTGTTCTGTGAAATAGAAGACTCAGATCATCATCATCACTCATTTCTCCTTGAAAAAAAAACACACACCTGAGCTTTGCAAGGGATTTTCAGTCAACAGCATTGCACAACTAATGACATATACACAGAAGGCTTAGTCAATACCAGTATTGGGCTGGTTTTCATCAGAATCTTTGGTCTTCATCAGAAAAGTAAACATTAGTTAAGTTCAGGGTGAGCAATGACAGTGATGCTTTTTTCAACTTTTAATTTCAAACTTTTGTACCATATTTTATTTCTAAATTGTGCGACATGAGTTAATTAAGGGACATGTTATGCAGTGGTTCTCCATTTTCCCACTTCTAATGGACTGCTTCACAATTGCTGACAATTCCAGTTGGCTACTTAATAAACCTGTGCTGTTCTATTTGTAGCTCCTTCTTCATTCAGTATTAACATCATAAATCAAAAACAGTGCTATATTGTAAAAACTCTGAGTTTTATATTAAGGCTTTCCTTTCTTTGCCTGATGCTCTGAGCCTGTCAACAATCTCAAATCTACTATAAAAACAACACAGAATTATTGTATGGATAGTGAGAAATTTGTGAATCATTGGAATGGAGTGAAGTGATTCCTATTGTTTTCTATCAAAGCTGCCCCATTCTAGTATTTTCAACCATGCCGACTATGAATTTGGTAGATGGTGTCCAATATGTGGTGTGTGCTGTATTATAGAAGACCTTTGGTGGTAAAAACATATAGATTTAGGCATGGATTCTCCAAATTTGGCAGCTTTAAGACTTGTGGACTTCCAATTCCCAAAATTCCCCAATCAGCATGACTGGCTGAGGAATTCTGGGAGTTGAAGTCCACAAGTCTTAACATTGTCAAGTTTGGAGACCCCTTGGTTTAGACTCGTGGACTTCAACTACCAGAATTACTGAGCCAGCCATGCTGAGGGGAAAGGGAGAGGTTTCCAAGCTGAGCCATGCTGGTTCAGGAATTCTGGGAGTTGAAGTCCACGAGTCATAAAAGAGCCAAGGTTGCCTACCCCTGGTTTAGACAAACGAAAACCTCTCTCTAAAGCAGCGGTTCTCAACCTGTGGGTCGGGACCCCATTTGGGCTCAAATGACCATTTCACGGGGGTCGCCAAACAACGCAGTCCGCCATTTCCCCCCCTTTTCCTTAGCTGTGCTACTCCCTTTTATTCTATTGGCTTTTGAAAGCCAATAGAATAGACTCTCTTGAACAGAGCCTAATTCTATTGGCTTTCAAAAGCCAATAGGAATTGTCCAGGCTGTCTCTGCCCTGCTGAGTCCACCAAAAGCCCTAGTCTGCAAACGGTGCTGCAAGTTGTCTGCAGCGAAGGCGAGCTGTCTGGAAGTTTCCACCCCTCCCTGCTGAGCAACAAAAATGTAAGTAAAAGAGGGCCAGGGGTGGGAGGTGGGAGGCCGGCGGGCGCAGGGAAGGTTGCTGGCATGCGTGGGGTCTGGCGGGTGCCTTACCTCCCTTGGGCTGGGCCAGCTGGTGGCCCAGCCAATGGTCACCCTGCGCCGTCGCTGCCACTTGCCAGCTACGCCTCGGCCGGCGCAGGGGGTGGCACCACGCATGTACGGCGCTCCCGGGCAGGGAAAGTCCTCGACCTACGACCGGTTGGGTAGTCCTCGACTTACGACCGATTGAGTAGTCCTCAACTTATGATTGGTTGGGGGTCGCTGCATTAAAAAGGTTGAGAACCACTGCTCTAAAGGCTGAAGGGACCACACGAAGAAGACTTCTGTTGCTGTCACTTGGGCAGCTTCTGTTTTTCTGTTTCAATTTCAGGATAACCCAAGATTGTCTATTTTTTTGTTTTGCTGATTTTTTGATCATGGGCACAGAGCTAATGAAATACAAGTAGTCTCTGACCTATAACCATTGGTTTAGTGACCATTTGTAGTTACAGCAATGCTGAAAAAAGTGATTGGTCCTTCCACTAATGACAGCATCCTCGCACTCATGGGATCAACATTTATTTATGATGGTTACAACATCCTGAGGTCATGAAGTAGCATTTGGAACATCTTAAGCCCCAGAGTAAAGTCAGTTCCAACTCTCCTTACTTTCCATAAGAGCTTAAAGAACTGGCACTGTTAGGGGCTCTAAAGGAGAGGTTTCACATTGGGGGGTGTTTGATTGGTGGGTCTGGGGGGTTGTTAACAACAGATCCCACCTTCCCTTTTCATCATACTTCCTCCCTCCCTCCTCATCTTTTTAGCTGGGTTGATTTTTTTATATATATAGTATTGTATTTATATTATTATGTTTTACAGAGTTCTATCTTTTAATATTGTAAGTCACCCAGAGTTATCGTGTGGTAAGATGGGCAGCAAATAAATAAAATAGTTAAGTAAATAAGTAAGTAAAGTAAGTAAGAAAACAAAGAAACAAACAAATAATTTTTGTGATATTCCCTGCCATGTCACTAGGGGTATCATGATAGCAGTGTTCCAATATCTCAGGGGCTGCCCCAAAGAAGAGGGAGTCAAGCTATTCTCCAAAGCACCTGAAGGCAGGACAAGAAGCCACGGATGGAAACTGACCAAGGAGAGAAGCAACCTGGAACTAAGGAGGAATTTCCTCACAGTTAGAACAATTAATCAGTGGAACGACTTGCCTCCAGAAGTTGTGGGTGCTCCAACACTGGAAGTTTTTAAGAAGAGACTGGACAGCCATTTGTCGGAAATGATATAGGGTTTCCTGTCTGGGCAGGGGGTTGGACTAGATGACTTCCAAGGTCCCTTCCAACTCTGTTATTCTGCTTTGTTCCGTTCTAAGCTTCCCACAAGCAAAGTCAATGGAGCAAGTCGTATTTGCTTATCAAGCATGTGGTTTACCTAAACACTGCTATGATTCATTTAATAACCATAGCACAAAAAGTTTGCAAGATTGGATACTGCTCACTTAACAGCTTCTTTGTTTAAGAATGGAAGCTCTGGTCCCAATTGTGGTTGTAAGTTAAGGATCACCCTTAACGTTAGTTTTCTTTTTGTATGTTTGTTTTCCCCTTTTCCAAGCTTAAGTTCATTCCATTTCCTTTCTGCCTGACTAGGCTCGAAAACCAAAGCCAAACACCGCCAGCTTATAATCAGGAGTATTTGGAAGAGCCGTGGTGGCACAGTGGTTGGAATGCAATATTACAGGAAAACTCTGCCCACAGTCTGGAGTTCGATCCTGACCAGCTCAAGGTTGACTCAGCCTTCCATCTTTTCGAGCCTGGTAAAATGAGGACCCCGATTGTTGGGGGCAAGAAGCTGACTCAGAGAGAGTGCGAGAGCTGTAAAGCACTATGAAGTGGTATATAAGTCTAGGTGCTGTTGCTATTTGCAGGACCTCACATTAAATATCCCTTCGTCCCCAGCCTGAAGCCATTAAAAATAACGAGGCTCCACTTTCAGCCAGGTAAGCCATATTATATAACTGCAATAATGACTGTTTGAATGTCCTGAAAAAGAGGCTTATGTCTCAGCCTTAAAGGCTATTATTGCGGCAGCAGAAGTTTCATTACAAATATTATTTCTGAAAATTAGGTGGTCTGGTAGGAAGACTGTTCACCTGGAGTTCAAGTGGAGCAATGATTACAAACCAAACACCCCGACCTAATAAATGTCTATTGGACATTTCTAAATTTGAAGGAAGAGATTTAAAAAAATGGAAATAATTAAGAAGAGGAGAAGACAGCACTTAAGAATCTATTTCCTCCAAAATTGGTGGTCAAATTATCACTTTTAATTTAACCAAAGGAAGAAGCAAGGATAACTATATTGAGAATAAGCATACCACCGATGCTTCTTTAATAAAACATAGAATAATGTAATATACAGTAGAATAACAGAGTTGAAAGGGACCTTGGAGGTCATCTAGTCCAGCTCCCTGCATGAGCAGAAGAGTCTATACCATTTCAGACAAGTGGCTGTCCAGTCTCTTCTTAAAAAGCTCCAGTGATGAAGCACCCAGAACTTCTGGAGGAGGTTGTTCCACTGGTTAATTGTCCTCACTGTTCGGAAGTTTCTCCTTAATTCCAGTTTGCTTCTCTCCTTGATTAGTTTCCATCCATTGTTTCTTGTCCTGCCTTCTGGTGCTTTGGAAAATAAATTGACCATGCTCTTCTTTGTGACAGTCCCAGACTAGACATACCCCAAAATAAATGCCCGATGACCTCTGTATTCTAATGATCATTTTAATTATTTGCTGATCTTGTCCATGTTATTGTCATATCCCACGTATGGTTTAGCCCCAGAAAATGACCACTGGCATTCCAGAAAATGCTCACTATTACACTCTTCTAACCTAACATGCCACCACAGAAGATTGTTGTGAGGATAAAAAGAAGAGGGGGGGGGAATCAAGATTACCATTAAAATTAACTAGAACTCTTAGATTCCCTGTGTCTTAATAAAGTGCATTGGAGCACAATGGACATTGTTCAGATTTTAGGTCAGCAAAGTATTGAATGTCTGAAGCTGAAACCCCAAAAGGCTTTTTTTTAAAGAACTGCAGAATTTAAATTATTTCCTGATCCAATTTTCCACTGTAAGTTTTCTCCATCGTTCAGAGCTTCGGAGGTTGAGTGACAAGCATTCCGTTCGGCAAAGAAACTTCATTAAATTCTCTAATTTGAAGTTCTGGATGAGCGCATTTCCTAGGCTCCCCAAAGAGACTGAACATTAACTTTTCTAAGCAAATTACCCAAGTCTGTGGGGTGTGTGTGTGTGTGTGTGTACAGAGAGAGAGAGAGGTCTGTGTAAATTCAAGAATGGGAGACTATAATAATTAGGATATCAATTTGTTTATGTTTTGTTATTATGTTTATTTTCAATTTGTTTATATTTATGTTAAAGGGGAGTTAAAGCGCATTATGGACTTGGTTATTTATTTAGTTGGTTAATGTTAGTTAGATTATGATTATCATATTTGTAACTCTGTACTCAGCTCTGGGAAGTGGGGGAGGGAGGGGGGGTTGGGTGGGTTGATTTATATTGTAATTTTTATAAAACTTTTTAATAAAAAAAATGGGAGACTAAAAGTGCAAGAGTGAGCAAGCAATGGTGTAGGGCTAAAATTAAAAGAGGCTTAGCCCTGGTTATCTCAAAAGAAAAAAAAAACTTCAGAAAAAAACAGATCAATATGCAATATGATTTCAAGAGGTTTTGAATATGAAGCCAGCTGTCCCGCTCCGTTGCTTGGATTAAAACCTTCCACTGCAATCAATTAACTGGGTATAACTGGCTTATAACCTTCCCCCCCCTCCCCAGTTCAGGAAACTGATATTTTAATGCATGCTTTTAATTTTTTTTTAAAATCTCTTGAGAAAGAGTATTCATTTCTCTCCTTTCCTTGGCAGATGGGTGTCTCACTGCCTCTCTTTCGCATGCAAACCTAATATGCACTGAAAGACTTTTTAAGTAGAGAGAGAAGATTTTAAGAAGTGTAACCCATTACCTTTCGCTGCTGGATGGAATCCGAAAAGGTTTCACTGCTGAAGGACCCTACCTGGGAACTATTAGGGAGGTATCTTCTGGAGACACTTCTCGTCCAGACTGGTCAGATCTTTGCTGTTGAGCTACTAGATCCAGAAAATTTGACTTTCCGGAGAGAGCACAGCTGAAGTAGAGTTCCTTCTGAACGTTTGTGCTTTGCAGCGTGATAGACACAAATGGACACTGCTTCTCCTTTAGCTGTCTCACTTCTCCAGCTGGGCTGCACATTCTCCTTCAGAGGCAAAGGAATGGCGACAGATCCATCTGCCTTGTGGACAGCTGACTTGAGAGCTGATTTCATCCACTGCTTCTCCTCTTTCCTTTCTTTAGAAGTAGAGAGACAAACAGATTTCTCTCTCTGCATGCAGCTATGTTTCATCAGAAGGAGAGAGAGAGAGAGAGAGAGAGAGAGAGAGAGGGAGAGAGAGAGAGAGAGAGATTGAGAGAGAGAGAGAGAGATGCTTTGTGGCAAAGTTTCAACAGGCTTTTCCTTAAACTCTTCCTACACCCTGAATTTCTTTGTGGACTGAATAACTAGATAAAAAGCTAGGAGATAAACTAGAACTAATTCTATTTCTTTTTCTAACATTGAGACTCCTCGGTCATTGGGGAGTTGGATAAAGCACGCCGACTTGTTGATGTTACCTGTGATAGAAGCTCCAATGGAAATTTTTAGCACCTAGTGGAATTTATTCCCCAGAAGATGTGGCGAGAGCTATTAACTGGGGTAGATTTAAAAGGAGGTTGATTAAATTCCTAGAGGAATTTAAAATAAGTTCAGGAGAGGCAGAGATCTACATCCTCTCTTTGGGAGCAGCCCAAAAGAATCTGGTTGGCCATTGAGAAAAACAACATGCTGGACTAAGAAGGCCCTTTTAAGTGTTTATGGAGATTCTCAATCATCCAGGTCATGGTTGTCCCAAAGGTGTTTTTTTTCCAGAAGGCAACTGGACATTCTTGGGTTTTTTTTTTCCTTTGAAAACATTTTGCTTCTCATCCAAGAAGCTTCTTCAGTTTTTCAAAAGCAAAACATTTTCAAAGGAAAAAAAGTCCATGCCAGGTAATGTCCACTAGTTTATGGACAAGTGATGGGTAACTCTTCCAATTTTGGTGAACTCTACGTCCTGTGAGCCTTAGCCACACTGATCAATGGTAAGAGACATCAGGAGAATTGCAGTTCAAGAGAAATTATTCCACAGAGCACGATGAAACCCTGGCTTAGTGCAGTGGTTCTCAACCTTTTTAATGCCACGACCCCTAACCAGTCGTAAGTCGAGGACTACTCAACCGGTCGTAAGTTGAGGACTACTCAACTGGTGCAGCACCGTTTGCAGACTGGGGCTTTTGGCGGGGTCAGCAGGGCAGAGACAGCCTGGACAATTCCTATTGGCTTTTGAAAGCCAATAGAATAAAAGGGAGTAACACAGCTAAGGAAAAGGGGGAAAAATGGTGGACTGTGTTGTTTGGCGACCCCCGTGAAATGGTCGTTCGACCCCAAATGGGGTCCTGACCCACAGGTTGAGGACCACTGGCTTAATGCAAAGTGTTAACTTATTTGAGAATGCATCCCTTTCTGAACCTTGAAAAATCAGATTTCAGTATGGCTGCGATTAAAACAGACATCCACCCACCTCTACTTCTTCTTTCTTCTGGCCATCTGCTTCAAACATTGACCTTTGCACATTTCTATGTGTCTCTGTGTTTGTGTTTTTCAGAGGCAGGGAAAGAGTCTATTTCTTTGCCAACGAGCATTCTGTTGATCACTCAAGTGAGAATCACAAGGTTATGAGCACTTAAATCCTTGGAGTTGTATACATGTCAAGTGCTTTTCTGTAAATAAAGAAACAAACAGAAATTCAGACATCACTTGGCAAAGCATGAACTTGGAAATTTGGAGGTCTACAAGGCAATTTCAGGATAGCCCATAAAAAGAAACCAAAGAACAACAAGACGGTAGGAAGAATGAAAACAGTCAGAACGTTGATGTAAGAGCCCCTCTTTGAAGGGAGTGGGTGGTTTAGAAATATGAAATATAAATACATGCAATAAAAATGCATAGAATTCTCTTAAAAAAAGGTTCTGGAGTTCTCCATCTCAGTCAGCATTAATGATTCACCTGTGGAGATGGTTACCAGCATCAAATTCCTGGGTGTGCAGCTAACGTGTAGGCTGGCCTGGTCGCTTAACAGCGAGACAATGGTGAAGCGGGCACAGCAGTGCCTGTATTTTCTGTGTCGCACGAGAAAAGCACATCTTCCTTCCCCTATCCTGACCACTTTCTACAGAGGGACGATCGAGAGCATCCTGTCATACAGCATCACAGTCTGGTTTGGAAGCATCCCTGCTTCAGACAGGAAGACGGTGCAGAGAGTGGTGAGAATGACCAAAAAGATCATTGGCAGCTCCCTCCATCCTATCCAGGACATGGCACAGAAGCATTGCTTGAGCAGAGTCCGCAAGATTATCTGAGACATGACACATCCTCTTCACGACCTGTTTTCCTTGTTACCTTCTGGGAGGAGGCTTCGTGGTATCCGAAGCAGAACATCCAGATTCAGCCAGAGTTTCATTCCATACAGCATTAACCTTGTGAAGCTTCCTCCTTCCATTATATATTCAAGATGGACAGTATTTAATATTCATTTGCTATGTATATGTAGGGGTGTGGGTCTACACATATGTTGTTCATAGTATGTTTAGATGTGTGTCATGTATGTGTTTTACTTTGAGTGCGAGCAACTAAATTTCATTTTTGATGTGTGCTGTTGTGCCCACAGTAAAAAAAAATGACAATCTTATCTTATCTTATCTTATCTTATCTTATCTTATCTTATCTTATCTTATCTTATCTTATCTTATCTTATCTTATCTTATCTTATCTTATCTTATCTTATAGCCATTGGCTTATGAATGTGAACAGGAAGACATTTGCAAGACCCAATTCATTGAAGGAAACAGAACATGTCCAAGAGGTGAAGGAGAGGTAGCGGATGAGGAAGAAAAACAATAGTAGCATGTTACAAAGAAGGCAAGCTATGTGAATAATGGGGAGAAAAAAAAAAGAAAGGAAAAAGGAAGATTGTAGAGAGTTAGTTTCATTTTTAAATAATGTAATCACAAATGGAGTCACCTGCTCATATTCTGCAAATATTTATAGTTTCTTTTCTTTTCTTGGATATGCAAGAAACATTGGGTGGTAACTAATCAAGGAGAGATCCAGTCTAGAATTAAGGAGAAATTTCCTGATGGTGAGAACAATTAATCAGTGGAACAGCTTTCCTCCAAAAGAGGAGATTGGGCAGTCATTTGTTCAGAATAGTATATAGGGTTTCCTACTTGAGCAGGGGGTTGGACTAGAAGATCTCCAAGGTCCTTCAACTCTGCTGTTCTGTATTCTGTCCCACTCAATGCATTACAGTAGAACCCTAGCAGCAAAAGCTCACCCTACATAAACTCTTCCATTCATCAGGGCTCCCAAAGATCTTTGAATTCCATGAGTGATCAGTTACAAGTAGTCCTTGAGTTACAACTGATCTTTTAGTGACTGTTCAAAGTGCCCATTTGAAGTGACCTTTCCCCCCCAAACTGACCACAACATAAGCCAGGACAGTGGTTCTCAACCTGTGGGTCGGGACCCCATTTGGGGTCGAACGACCATTTCACGGGGGTCGCCAAACAACGCAGTCCGCCATTTTTTCCCCCCTTTTCCTTAGCTGTGTTACTCCCTTTTATTCTATTGGCTTTCGAAAGCCAATAGAATAGACTCTCTTGAATAGAGTCTAATTCTATTGGCTTTCAAAAGCCAATAGGAATTGTCCAGGCTGTCTCTGCCCTGCTGAGCCCGCCAAAGTCCCATTCTGCAAACGGTGCTGCACCAGTTGAGTAGTCCTCGACTTACGACCGGTTGAGTAGTCCTCGACTTACAACCGGTTGGGGGTCGCAGCATTAAAAAGGTTGAGAACCACTGAGCCAGGAGAAGACCAATTTCCATCAACGTAATTGCTGTTGTCTCCATGCCCCAATGATCACCAAAACTGATTATTCAAAAACATTAAAAAGGTAAGGTCTCCTTCAAACTAAGTTCAACCTTATTGGTTTATTTAGAAAATTTATATACAGGGGTGGGTTAGGAATTGTTATTGTTACAGTATTGCAATGGCTATGGTTATGGTTATGGTTATGGTTGGTTGCACAATCATCTAGCTGTTCAGACTGGAGTTGGAATTTTTATCCACCTACCGAGTCCTTCCCAAGGACCTGAGATAAGCAGATATTGATGTCTGATGATGTCAAAGATCTCATTGCAGAATGTCATCTGTTCCGAGTAAAGCTGCTTTTTGCAATTGACTTATAGTGATTTTGTCAATTATGGTTCCTGGCCCAGTCAGCCAGGTTGTTTAGACTGGATCTGGCATTTTTATCCATGTATTGAGAGAAAGAAACAACCTGGAATTAAGGAGAAATTTCCTGACAGTGAGGACAATTAACCAGTGGAACAGCTTGCCACCAGAAATCGTGGGTGCTCCATCACAGGAGATTTTTAAGAAGAGGCTGGACAGTCACTTGTCTGAGATGGTATAGGTTCTCCTGGTTGAGCAGGGGGCTGGACTAGAAGACCTCCAAGGTTCCTTCCAACTTCTATTCTATTCTATTCTATTCTATTCTATTCTATTCTATTCTATTCTATTCTATTCTATTCTATTCTATTCTCCCCAAGTACCTGGGATAGGCAGATATTCATGCATTGTCACAGGATGAAATCTGTTCTGAGTAAAGCTGCCTTTTGCAATCGACCAACAGGGATTTTTGTTATTACTTTTGCAATAATACACATTGAGCTACAGTATACATCCATCTGAATCTGGAAATCCCACAGGATCTCAATGCTATGAATTATATCTATATCTATATATCTGTGCCATCTAGCTGTCTGTTTGTTTCTCTATCATTTTTGTGTTTTTCTCTTCCATTTGCAACATCTTGGTCATTCTATTAAATAAAGAATCTAAAATGTCACAGTTGCTAAGACTGCCGCTAACTGTAGGGTCCTCTAGCCTGTATCCCCTGGTGCTCTTGAAAGACTGAAATAAATGACATGCGCACAGCCCAGACCGTATCAATGACAAAAGGCTGCCTAGACATTCAGCTCCTTCCAAGCCTAATTGGAACTGCTGGAAAATATAAAATGACAGATCTGGTATGACATTTTTTCAGGTCCTGAAGTGTACGCTGTCATCCAAATCAGGTTTTTTTGAGTGCTGATCCATGGGTAACCAGAATGCCATCACCCACGCGTAGGAGAGGGAAGGTGGTAAGTTCAAAGTAGAAAGAAAAAAGAATTGGGATAAAGAGTGTCGGGGGCCCATTGTAAGACATCTTGCTCAGCATTGCCAGAATGCTAGCTGATCTAGAAAAAGAAAGAGAAAAGACATGTGGTGTGCACATATACTGTATGAAACTTATAATCAAAATTCTTGGTGTACATCCATTCACCCACATACTTCTTTGAATTATTGCTGTTGTTATTATTATGATTCATTGCGCAATCAGCCAGATGTTCCGACGGGTCTAGTGGTTAGGTACCAGGCTGGAAAGCAGGAGGAGGTGAGTTCTAATTCTGCCTTAGGCATGAGAGCTGGCTGGGTGATTTTGGGCCAGTCCCTCTGTCTCAGCTCAACCCACCTCACAGGATTGTTGTTGTGGGGAAAATAGGAGGACAAAGGAGCATTAGATATCTTTTCTGCCTGAATCTGTTTGCATGGAGTTGTTTATAAAAATAATGAAGGTGGAAGAAAGAAAAAGAGAAAAAGAAAAAAGAAAGGAAGGAAGGAAGGAAGGAAGGAAGGAAGGAAGGAAGGGGAAGGAAGGAAAGAAGGAAAGAAAGAAAGAAAGAAAGAAAGAAAGAAAGAAAGAAAGAAAGAAAAAAGAAAGAGAAAGAAAGAAAGAAAGAAACAAAGAAAGGAA